GGCAGTCTTATTCAACATAACTATGTACTTGGTTAGTTTATTTTAAAACTCAGGAGCAGAGAAGAAGTTTTTCAAAGAAATAATTCATTTCCACTAATTAATCTTTATAGCTCCACCCTAGCACTAGAACCCCTGACCCTGGGGCCATGAAATTCACAATTTTGGAAGAGGCAGCCTTATTCAACATAACTATGCACTTGGTTAGTTTATTTAATGCCCATGAACAGAAAAGAAGAATTTCAAAGAATTTATGCATTTTCACAATATAATTTATACAGCCCCGCCCTAACACTAGAACCCCTGACCATGGGGCCATGAAATTCACAATTTTGGAAGAGGCAGTCTTATTCAACATAACTATGCACTTGGTTAGTTTATTTAAAGCCCATGAACAGAAAAGAAGAATTTCAAAGAATTTATGCATTTTCACAATATAATCTATACAGCCCCACCCTAGCACTAGAACCCCATATCCTTGGGCCATAAATTTCACAATTTTGGTAGAGGACTCAATGCTGATTATAATCATACCAACAGTTTGACTGCTTGATGTCCAGGAGTAAAGAAGAAGATGTTTAAAGATTGCACTAATTTTAGTGGTTTTGACCCCCCCCCCAGGCCCCAGGGGGGCAGGGACCATGAAATTTTTGTTCCCCTTCACCCATAAATGCTATACGCCAAATTTGGTTGAAATTGGTTCAGTGGTTTCAGAGAAGAAGCTGAAAATGTTCAAATGTTAATGCACGACAACAGACAAGAGGCCCACAGGCCTTATAGGTCACCTGAGTATTGTGTAACAACTTTCAAATAATTAAAATTGGTTCGTGTTTTACCCCAGAGGCCATGAAATTCACAATTCACAATTTTGAAAGAGGCACCATTGCTTATCATAATTATAAACTTAGCAAGCTTTCTCTATTTACTTAATACCCAGAGGTAGATCAGAGTAACAAAGAGAAAATTTTATCATAAAACGGTTGATTAATACTAAAGAGCAGATTTCAAAGCATTAATTTATTTTCAGACTATGTTACAACCCTCCCCCCCCCCACCCAAGGGGCATAAAAAATAACCTTTTTGCTAGATGCAACTTTCTTCATCACAAATATATATATACTTGAATCATTGGCATTAAACCCAAGAGAAAAGGGATAGATTTTCAAAGAATTAATGCATTTTCACTATATAATCAATAGAGCCCCACCCTAATACCAGAACCCCTGACCCTGGGGCCATAAAATTCACAATTTTTGAAGAGGCACTCTTTCTCATCATAACTATATACTTACTTAGTTTATTTAATACCCAGAAGCAGAGAACAAGATTTTCAAAGAATTAATGCATTTTCACTATATGATCAATAGAGCCCCGCCCTAACACCAGAATCCCTGACCCTGGGGCCATAAAATTCACAATTTTGAAAGTGGCACTCTTGCTCATCATAAGTTAACTATGTGCTTAGTTAGTTTAATACCCAGGAGTAGAGAAGAAGATTTTCAAAGAATTAAATGCATTTTCACTATATAATCTATATAGCCCCAACCTAGCACAAGAACCCTTGAACGACGCACGACGACGGACGAAAACGGATAGCAATAGTAGGGCTGTGCAATATTACCGGTATATCGGTATATTGCGATAATATCCACCACAATAATATATTGCGATCTGAAAGCCAGATACCGGTACTTCACGACATTTATAGAAATATAAAAAAAATTCCTTCATTGTAGAAAATGCTGAAATAATACTTGTAACTTCCCCAGGCCTTTCCAATCTAGTTAAATGAATACTTCATCAGCTAATTTCGAAGAGAGATACTCAGATAGAGAGAAAAGAGAGAGAGAGGAAGCTTATCATTCACTGTCGCAATTTTAAATATCTTACTTAAAAAATTATAATAATTAATAAAGACTTTTGAATAAAATTATTAAGAAAGAAAATATATAAAACATTTCTACAGGGTGTATACCATGTTAACCGTGGTTCTCAAAATCTCACATGGAATCTACACGGTCGATGTCACGATGATGAATGTTAAGTTCAAGATACATATTACAAGTAAATGGCCATCCATGTTTTCACTTGATACAGTGATGCTTTTATTATTTTTTAATAAGTTTCATGCCATCTTAAACAACTTCATGCTATACCAGGAGCATGTGTATTAAAACAGTAGAAATAGGCCTGATCGTACATCATAATGTGAAATTAGGTCGGATTAGACTAAAACACCAAAAGGCCCGAAAATAGGTCACAACTTCTTTCTGGCTTTAATTTTATTCTGTGACCACATGAAATTTTCATATAGTATGTATTGTTTTAATCATTAAGTTATCATTAAGTTATATTTCGTGCTATTTTAATAACCCCCCCCCCCCCCCGAAAAAAAAACCCATAAAAATGTAACAAGATTACTGTAAACCAACTTTTATTCGCGACGACTTTATTTCGCGATTAACCAGGGGTTTACTAGTTCGAGACGATTAATTTTCGCGATCAAGCCTTTTTGGATCTGTTGTTAATAGACAGATACACTTTATGGGCCGGTTCGCGGCGAGAAATATTCACGATAACGAGGCTCTCGCGAACTTCTCGAAAATTTCTCGCACGCGAATAAAAGTTAGTTTACAGTATGTACTCTGTATTAACTTTTTTCAATTTCAAAATGCTTTAAAAGAGTTAATTTTGTTTTATTATTTTACCTGGTATTTGATTAAAAGTAAAGCGTTATTATGCGTGCAATTAATATTTTATCCCCTCATCCCCTTTAAAACTTATAGATAAATTCAAATAGTCTTTGAGCTTGACAGCATTTTAAACTTTCTGCACAAATTTATAAATGATAATTAATCTACAATATATCCCAATATATTGCAATATTCATCATAAAATATTGCAATATATCGCAATATGGTTTTCACTCGCAATACCCAACTCTAAGCAATAGGTCACCTGAGTTACTCAGGTGACCTAAAAAGGGATAGCAATAGGTCACCTGAATTTACTCAAGGGAAAGCACACTCTCTCCACTCTGGGATGCTTGCTTTCTCTCTGCTCTGTTAGGATGTTTGCTTTTATTTGGGGGGAGCTTGCTCTTTGATATATATTGAATGATTGCAACTGTGTTTTTTTTTTTTACTTACAAACATATGAAGGGATAAGCTTTAAGACACACTTTATATAGAGAATATTACATACTAAAATCCATATCATATGTCATATCAGCCCGAGTGGCCCCATATCAGCCCGAGGGCCGAAGGCCCGAGGGCTGATATGGGGCCCGAGGGCTGATGTGACATATGATATGGATTTTAGTATGTAGTATTCTATTTATCATATATTTAAAATACTTAATGTGCGAGTTCATGTATTGTCATTGAAGAATGTTTCGTGCTTGTTTACGACATTTTTGTTTAAAATCTAAAAGAGCCAATTTTCGGTAACTGGAAAAAAATAAGACCACAGATGTCATTAAAGAAATATTTTACATGAATATTTAAGTAAAATCTAGTAAATTAACGTTTGAACTTAATACAAGCGTTACTTCCGGTTTGATATGGATTTTCGGCCCACCGGTCCGATACGTGATATGGATTTTCGGACCGGGCCGTGATATGGGGTATTGTGACGTCACCCGTATCACACCGTGCAGAATCGGTGTATTTACTACTAAGTATATGATAAATGTAATTAATACACCTCTCAGACACATGCAAGCACTCAGGTCACTGATATAGGGCTGTTAGGGTTGAATTGACTCATGGTATACAATTTAGTTTGTTATATTTTCCATCTGTATAATTTATAACCTCAAAAGTGCACCTTATGAACTTTAGTATACTGTAGATGTACTTTTATCCACAAGGCCATATTTCCACGGAATCATAATATCTGTTTAAGCCACAGGTAAAAAATTAGGCGGATTCTTGACATGTCCAAAAAAATATAGTACTATATACCCTACATTGAATTATATGAGAGAAAATTACTATCGCTTTTCTCAAATGCACCTAATTTCCTGTGCATATTTGTGTTTTCAAAGATCAACTTTGCGAGAAAGACTTGGAACAACATATGTACATGGTACGTTCCCGTCAGCTTGGATCTCGCTAGAATTAATGATTAACAATTTTAAAAAATGTATGAAGAATACTTTTTTCTGATTATCATACCGACTCATTGGTAAAATGCAGTTCATAATACATGTTCATCTATAATTATCAACACTGAAGTTTTTCATGTTGTTGTGGGGTGGCGGATCAATGCACACCTGTCCGTTCAAACAGTACCCCTTGTTCAAGATTTGGGGAAATCAGGGATTCTTTCATTAGTAAAAGAGCGTAAATGTGATTTTTTTCAGAAGTAACTGATTTTGGTGATCTGATTCATTTTAATACGCTTATCATAATTATTAAACCAATATCAAATATTTCAAACTTCATTAGTAACTTATTTGGGGGTTCACATCCATTTAAATTAGGTAATGAAAATTCAATTAATTACGAGTCAAAACACAGAGGAATCTGAAAACTGCAATAAAAACACCAGTCTTAGCTACTATGTAAATAAATCCTCTTGAGAACAATAGTCATGTGACATGTGCCGTTTTCTGAATTTGTGGAAAGGAGAGTTTAAATTATATGTAAGCCTATTAATAGGCAACAAGTATATTAACTTCAGAGATTTAAGTGATTATTTTGTGAATTCTTAAAACACCTTTGCAACTTTGATGTTGTTTGCACCTATTACGGATAGATAAATATAGAAAATATACATCTTTACATACGTGTTAATTATGTAGTACCTTTTATGCCCTCATATTGATGCATTTTCAATCCTAAATGCATTTTAAGTATGCTATCACAAATTTCTGCGGACAATTTGTGACCGCGATCATAGGGTAAATTAATACCACACAGAAAAAAAATACATCTCAGTATTCATAAACCATTTTATGAATAAATGCAGTCCTCTAATATTTAAATAACTTTTATTAGAATAAAAATGTTTCAACAGTAACATAACTTAGATTATAAAACTTAAATTTGCAACAAACTTAAACAATGACATTTCTTCACAGTTTTTGGTAAATGATAATTCTTACGGTATTCTTTTTTTTTGCATTTGTAAAGTAATATTTTTCATATCAAGAGTCTGAAATAAATAATTTACACCTATAAATAGCAACAGTAATGTCTAGTTTTCTCCAAAACATCTATATCTTGCCAAATAATATGTAGTTATAACACACAAACCCCAAAAATAGGGAGAAAAAGGTTCACTTTGCATATTGTGGTATTATTCATTGAATATGTACATTTGTAGATATAATGTCAATTTCAACAAGGCATTTGTTGTTTAAAAAGTTTTCACAGTTTAGACTTTTACAGGATTGAAAATTTAAATTCTGTTAACAACATATTAAACCAAATACTTGTATTAAATTTACTGTAATCAACACAAGGTCAAAGCTCGGAAAATTGTGAACAAAGGTGTGACATTAACATGGGAGAGCTGATTGGGGAAAAAATGATGATGACAGTTTGAAGTATAAATGCCCTGTACGTGTGTATATACAACAAGGAGAGTCGTGCTTCAACTCAGTAATGAGTGTTTTTAATAAATAGTGTGAAATACTATGTTTTACACTTTGGGAGATGTCTTGCAGTATAAAGTGACATAATAATAACAATGGAGGCAGCCTATAAGATGTGAATATACATGTAAAATGAACTGTAAGTTACTGAAAATTATGAATTAATTGTAGTGAATCATAATATGCTGCAGTAAACAATATTTCTTTACCTGGGGTATCTTTCAAATGATTAGTAAATGCTATGACATGCCCTTATGTAAATATGAATATGCTTTTAAGGTATTAATGTACAATAAGATGAACTCTTAATTATCTAATGCATGTTACCAGTTAATTAAAATTATCTACAGATAATAACATTTTTGAAATGTTCCTGCAAAATTTTCTTACAGATCAAATATTGTTTAATGAGTATCATAGCAGTAAACAACAAGACAAAGTGTACAGGCTATAAAGTGTCCGTTAAAATGAATTTACTCCAAGTTTCATTTGACAGAGGGAAAAACTACTGAGAGACTACAATGCTATCTTGAGTCAAGCATTTGAACAAACTTGGAACACCAGTATCTGATTTTTATATGGCTATCAAGAAAACCGATACTTCCTCGGGTTTGGAAACAGTCCTGTCATAGCCAGAATATTTTCAGTTCAGTTATTTTTTTTTTTTGGTTTCAAGAGGGCACGGCGCTTCATTTGAACAATATTTAAATCCTCTTTACCCAAGGATGTTTGAAATGGTTGATACTGACTCAGTGATTCTGGAGAAGAAAGTTGAAATATGAAAAGATTACAGACAGACAGAATGTGAGCACAAGCTCAATTGTGTACATTTATATATATGGCAAAATATAGAATTCCATGCAAGAAAATAATCAGAACATACAAAACAACAACTTCATGCATTCACTGTACTTTCTGCATCCCATGATTTTAAAGAAGAGATGTAACGTAAAAGAAAAAAAAATTTCTAAACAAAGAATTAACTTATGAAAAAGTCGTGCAACCTATCTGCACTTGTGTTGCTCCTGATGATCTCCTTGTGTAGTACAGACCACACTGCTGGGTATAGAGCCTGATTTACCGGAACTTGTCTCTTCATCCACAGAACCAGAAGACATCAGTGAGGTGGAAAGACCCGGGTCACTATCAGAGGGGCTACTAACTGTAGCAATTAGTCCTGAGTCACTATCAGAGGGGCTATTAACTGTAGCAATTAGTCCTGAGTCACTATCAGAGGGGCTACTAACTGTAGCAATTAGTCCTGAGTCACTATCAGAGAGGCTACTAGCTGTCACAATAAGACCCGGGTCACTTTCAAAAGGGCTACTAACTGTAGTAATAAGAACAGCGTCACTATCAGAGGGGCTACTAATTGTAGCAATAAGATTCGTGTCACTCTCAAAGGGGGAACTTGCTGTAGCAATAAGACCCGAATCTCTATCACAGGGGCTACCAATTGTCTGTATCTCCACCCCAACTGTATCTTCTGTCTTTTGTTGGTCATTAAGTGATGAACAGGTATGATGACCCTTGTGTTGCTGGAGATTCTTGGACTGATCAACGGAACAGCATGCCTTATTAGAGTCATTTGTGCTCACTGCGTTACCCTCCACCATCACATCGTCCGTGTCTACCATCACCACATCACTAGGCACCTCGTTATCCTCTCTCCGATGTCCTGTCAGTTTCTCTAGGGTAGATTTCTTTCTGTGTGTGTTTAATCTGGGTTTGGGCTGTAATGTAAAATTATATTTTATGTACTACACATTGAAACAAAAACAACTAAAAAATGAAACAATTAGAGTAGTAAAGTGTTTTGCAAATTAATACCTTTGGCTTTTGATAAGATGGGTCATGAGTTTTCTTGTGTTGATTCAATTTTTGCTAAAAAAAAAAAAATTAAGATTATAATTAATACAAGAGGTCCAAGAGCCTCAACAGTCACCTGAGTGACTACGAAATTTAAAATTTTCTTTCCCTTTATTCAAATATGCCATAAGTCAAAATTGTTTGAAATCAGTTCCAGACCAAAAGTTTCCCAAGTGACTAAGGCAACTTATCAACATAAAAAAGTGATAAACGATAGTAATTTAATTATTTTTAAATTAGTACCGGTATAAAAACTTGTGTTATATATATAAATCTTAAACTGAGGCAGAAATCAGAGCCAACTTTTCATCTCAAACCCAGAGGAGATCATAGGTCAGAGTTAAAGAGGTCAAAGATCCACCAAGAGAACCTTGGCTTCCCAGATCACTCAATCACTCACAACACAAGGTTGCCATGACAACCTCCAGATCTCTGAGAATGGATTGTGGAATTTTCATCATCTTTCTGAGCAGTGATTCATAAATATGTCCTCATTATTACTGACTGTCTTCATTACTTATCTGTGTTATCCTTACCCATCTCACATAATAAACAAATTATATGTATCATCAAATCACCTTGGCAGAAAACTGTTTCTGGCATTGGTCACAGGTGTATGTCAGTCCATCATGGAAGGAGCGAATATGACTGGTGAGATTTCTCTTATCCAGATAGGACCTCTGGCATCCATCGTGGGGACAGATAAATAGGGGGCGCTCTGACGAATGAATCCTCATGTGGTGATGATAACGGTACAACTTCGTGAACGTAAGGTCACATTCCTTACATGTAAAAACTGAAATATATATTGACAAATTTAGTCAATCTGTTTAAATTTCTCAATTACAATTAAATCTATGTATATTGTTGACAAGAGGCCCATGGGCCACAATACTCAACTGAGTCAATTCAGCCCTAGTCTTCTTCATAGCAACTTGAATCCCCCATTGTGACCCCACCCACCCCCAGGGGTCATGATTTGAACAAAACTGAATGTCCATAATGAAATGAAGTTTAAACTTCATGTGAATTGCCTTCACCTTAAGAATCTTTCGTTATTTTTTGTTGTTGTTAAAATTTGCCGAATGGTTATTGAGAAGTGATAAGATTACAGACAGAAGTAGAGACAAACAGATGGACAACAGACAAAACTTGATCAGAAAAGCTCACTTAGACTTTCAGCTAAGGTGAGCTTACAATGACAAATTACACTGCAAAGGACATTCCAACACCCTCCTCTTCAACAAAATTTTCAGCAGAAATCAGAGCCAACTTTTCGTCTCAAACCCAGAGGAGATCATAGGTCAGAGTTCAAGAGGTCAAAGATCCACCAAGAGAACCTTGGCTTCACAGATCACTCAATCACTCACAACACAAGGTTGCCATGACAACCTCTAGATCTCTGAGAATGGATTGTGGAATTTTCATCATTTCTCTGCTTAATTCAAGTTATTGGGATATGAAATACAAGAAAATACTGTAAACATATTTCATTTGGCGGTGTATTCTTTTTAGCGCTTTTGGTGGAAAGATACATTCACTAATTCAAGTACATCACTAAATGTCTTAAACACTGATACATGAATAAGAACATCAAGAAATACGCTAAATCAAATTTACGCTAACTTGTTAAAAAATCATTTTCCACTAAATATTGTACATGCTAAATATAATACGTTTACAGTATTTTATTAAACACCTGATGCCTAATTTTTAACCTACCTTTACCGTGCTGGAGCAGCTTGTGTTTCTGTAAGAGAGTCCATGTCTTAAAAACTTCACTGCATCCCTCCACATCACAGGAATATCCTAAAACAAGGTTTGACAATGAAATCTGTACGAATAAACAAGCTTTTTATGTTAGATTATATTATAATAAAAGATAGCTAGACTATCGCTTTACAATAATTTTTATCTCATCTGACAAGTACCACACAATTCATTCAATCAAAGAAAAGACAAACCATCATGGACTTTGCTGTGTCTTTTTAATACATTTGGAAAACGGAAGCTCATTCCACAACCCTCCACTGGGCACCTGTAAGCAATGAATTGCAAGTAAATAGAAACAGAGTTCTCATATTTTAAGATTTATTGTACATGCAATGAAAATACATATCAAATTGTAGTTGCAGATCTGTAGCGTTATGGTTTTATATATTTGTCTTTGACCATAACGCTACAGATCCCGTAATGCAAAAAAGGTGCAATTTACAGCGCAATATTTTTTGCGCACTTTTGGGGAGAATTTCACCACTTTCTAGTATTGGTCAATCAACTACCTTTCACTCCCTAATTTTAGACACATTCTGTAGCCAATATGTATATTTTATCCACCTTCCAACCATTTATAGTTGTCTCTACAGGCAATAAACTCGCTTGAAGTGAATTTTCAGCAAACTTACATGAAATTTTAATCAAGCGAGTTTATCATTTGTACGGACGACTATAAAGGGTAGGTAGATAGTTAAAATATACAGATTAGTTAAATAATGTGCCTATAGAATTGCCGATATTTGTTGGTTTTGCCCCTTTGTAGAAATATAGGTGGCGCCACAACCGTTTAAGGTCCAACAACACTTCCGGTAGCAAGTAAACACGTCAAATCTGTGCAACTGTCAATGTGATATCGATGTTTTCCAGGATTCACAAGTGTTATATCTGTTGTTAATTAAGCTTTCCTGTAGATAAGAATCTGGGGAAACGTTAGGTATCAGTCATACAAAGATTCGATCATGTATTTCGCTACAAAAACCTCGATGACTTCAGACACATTGTGTGGTGTGCCACATGCATTCGGTGAGACGTTCATCTCTGCAACATCAGAAGGTATGTTCCTCATTTTGTTTTATTTGTATTTAAAAGTATTTTTTAACTGTAAAATTTATATTTGCTCAGTAGATCCTGTAAATTATATGTCGTTTTCACATGTTTACATGAAGGGTGGGGGGGGGGGGGGGGGGGGGGGGGGTGTCAAACGTATCCGTAGTACAGTACATCACAATAAATTATAAACTATGACCAGGTATTCAATTAATCAATAATGATTTAAATTTGAAAAGGCTATAATACGAATTAATATGACTTTAATTAGTTTTTATTCTTTTATTATACAGTGTATATTGTTCTAAGTTGATCTACTATATAGTACTTAAGATACCCCCCCCCCAAAAAAAAAAAACAAAAAAACACACACATACACACTCACCCTCACACCCTCACCCTCACACACACACACACACATCAAGTCAAAATTTCAAATTCATGTAACATATTAATTTAATCTATAAATTTATCATTTTCTTGACCATTTATAGGACCAGTTTAATAAAAGGTCTTTTGAGGCCTTGATACCAAGAGCCTGACCTTTCCAATTTATGCTTGGAATGATTGGGGAAGATTTAACATAAAAGAAGGACACAGTGGGATTCTATATTAAGGTATGTAATTAGAATACCCATGACATTTGTCAAGGATTACCCTTAATTTAATTTATTTAGCAGTTTACTTGGAAATTTTGGAACAAAACTGTAATCTTGGGATCAGAGAATTTCATATGTAAAGAATATGGCTTTAATTAATTTGACCCCCCCCCCCCCCCCCCCGCCTCCTACAGAACTTTCAAAATCCTCTCATTTATCTTGATTTGGAGATATCAGGGAATTTTTATAATAATCAATTTATAATTTTTATTATAAATATTGATCATTAAATCCAGTTTAAATGCATTAATTTTCATGTTTTAGGAGACTGGAATTTCAAGAAAAGCAGATACTATCACTAGGTAGTCTCTAGTCTGGACCAAGATTGATGAGGAAATCAACCATTGTATTAAACTTTTCTCATTTTACATCAGATTAGCCTTGGCAGTATATTTTGATAAAAAAAATATATGTTATGAATGCTGTAAAAATTCATGACTGTCACAGTTTTCTAAAAAGATAAATAGGTTTCCTTTGGGAAAAAAACATGGATATAATTCTTAATTTATATGATTGAACATATAGGACTTGAAAGACTAACATGGCTTTGGAAATTATGTACAATATTTTAGGTGTATGATTTGTAATTCAGCATATTGCACATTTTAGTTGTTTTTGCATATGTCATTTTAATAAAACAATTGTATACAATATAAATGTTGTCTACAATTATTTGAAAAGATTTTATTGGTTAATTTACTTTTGCAGAATGAAGATCTAGGTTATATATATAAAGTAAAGGTTTCAATGTCATGTCATAAAAATTATTTTTATGTTTGGCTGCTAATTAATATAATATAGAGCATGATCATGTACATAAATGCATCTATAAGGGAACTTAAACCTTATTAAAATCAAAACTTTGTTACCCACTGAATTTCTGTACAATCTTTGATAAGATAAGATAAGATAATTTTATTTCCAATTTTGGGCCCAGAAGGCATAAAGGTTTCTTACAATGACAATATAATTATATGACAATAATGACATCGGGTTGATAATTTGTTAAAATTAGAGAAATTCATTGATTAACCCCGATGTCATCAATCATATTAATGGCATCAAAATTAAGCATGCAAAGAGAGGTAAGAGGTTTCTTCTGGCCCAGTTCTGACCAGGATAAAGTTTTTGGTGCAGTACGTATTCTTATTTAAGAACTTCTATGCCCTACATGAATCAGAGATAAATAGAGGATATATATATGCTTCTAGTGTGTTTCATTGTACCAGCAGCCAAGATTTCAGATGCTGCAATTTCGGCAAAGAAATGACCAAACTGATATGTTTTGGAGCAGGTAAACATTTTTGGTGCAGGTTAAAGTTTGGATGCAGCTAGGTCTTATTTCCAAGTAACTAAATCATGAGCCCTATGTTGACCAAACTTGCATAGATGATCTAGGGATGCATTCTGCCAGGCTTGCTTTGGATGCTGGATATGACCTACATTTTCTGGTTGAGTGACCAGGTTAAAGTTTTTGGTGGAGGTCCAGTTTCCAAGTAATTATGAACCCTATGTTGAAAACTAAATTGCATGGATGATGCAACGATAGATGAACACTTTTAGCAACACCCAATACAGCTGCACTAATATGACAGCCCACAGCCCACCATACTTTCCATGTTATCACGATGTTGAACTACAAGCTCAAGCTGTATCAGATTTTATAGGCGGGACTTAAAGTCTCCTTTCACTGAACGAAGAGTCGACAGGTAATCATCTGTTTCAAACTTTCTTCGTTAAAGGTGATACTCTAATCCTTCAGCTATTTTCACCATGTTCACGTCACGGAGACGCTCATATGTGCTCCCATTTTACGCGGGAAAATTCAGACAGACTTTATTCTTACCCATAATATTGATAAATCAAAGGGCCAAGTCTCTTTACAAGGGGAGATAATCAAGAAAAGACAAAAAGAGGCTGGGGTCATTAAAAAAAATCTTCTCAAGAACAAGGCTGGTGGATATATAATATTATGGCTATAATTTATTAAGCCTGGGTTCAAGATATTTTGGTAGCAACCTTTCACAATTTTTAACAACAAATTATATATTATAGATAAGATAAGATAAGATAATTTTATTTCCAATTTTGGGCCCAGAAGGCATAAAGGTTTCTTACAATGACAAGATAGAAAGTTCTAAAAGAAAGGTTATAGTAAACATATACAAACATAAACACACATACACACACATGTATATATCTGATATAATATTACAAGTAACTGGACATGTAGATGCAGCGATATGTACAGCGACCATCAGACATTCGGAGGTAACAAAGATCTGATTTAAATCAGATTGTGGGCACATTATACACACTCCAATTAAGAATTTCTGCTGTAATAATTTTTAAAAATATTTGTACAATATTTAGCAGGAATTACTTACAGGTTGTTTGTTTTATATGCACCAAAGAAATAAAAAAACCAGAAGTCTCTGTCGAGACTGAAGCTCTACTGGTTTGAACTTATAGCAAAGGAAGAGAAGAGTACTTAAGCAGCTGGGATTTGAAACTTTACAACAGCAATATATAGAATAATGATCGTTGATAAAGTCTCTTTATGTTCTTAGTGTAGTCTACTTGTGTGCCAAGTTATATTGAAATCAGACCAAAACTGTAGGAGGAGTAGCATTTTGAAACAATTTTACAGACATTTCAATTTTTAGTAACCACGGCAACAAAGTTCATCAAAATTAAAATTTGATACACAGAATTATGTATCTTAGTGTATTCTACTTGTGTGCCAAGTTATATTGAAATCAGACCAAAACTGTAGGAGGAGTAGCATTTTGAAAGAATTTCACAGAAATTTCTATTTTTAGTAACCACAGCAACACCGTTCATCGAAATCAAAAACCGATACACAGAATTATGTATCTTAGTGTATTGTACTTGTGTGCCAAGTTATACTGAAATCAGACCAAAACTGTAGGAGGAGTAGCATTTTGAAAGAATTTCACAGAAATTTCTATTTTTAGTAACCACGGCAACACCGTTCATCGAAATCAAAAACCGATACACAGAATTATGAATCTTAGTGTATTCTACTTGTGTGCCAAATTATACTGAAATCAGACCAAAACTGTAGGAGGAGTAGCATTTTGAAAGAATTTCACAGAAATTTCTATTTTTAGTAACCACGGCAACACCGTTCATCGAAATCAAAAACCGATACACAGAATTATGTATCTTAGTGTAGTCTACTTGTGTGCCAAGTTATACTGAAATCAGACCAAAACTGTAGGAGGAGTAGCATTTTGAAAGAATTTCACAGAAATTTCTATTTTTAGTAACCACGGCAACACCGTTCATCGAAATCAAAAACCGATACACAGAATTATGTATCTTAGTGTAGTCTACTTGTGTGCCAAGTTATATTGAAATCAGACTAAAACTGTAGGAGGAGTAGCATTTTGAAAAATTGTTTACAGACAGACAGACAGACAGACGGACAGACGGACGGACGCCGGACGCATTACTATCGCATAAGCTCTTCTGGTCTCTGACCAGTAGAGCTAAAAAATACTTTCAAGAGTTACACTGAGTATCAGCTGGTTAAATATGTTTCAAAGGGATGTCAATAATTATTTCCTTAAAATGTAGAAAATTCTAATTGATAAAGGGTTATCTTCATAAAGTTGGTGGTAAGAATCGGAAGAATCTTGCATAAGACAGTTAGATAAAGGGACTTAAGATGTCCTTGTCATCTTAATATATTTTACTAGATCAAGGGGGCTTGCTCCCGGTGTGTAAAATTAAAAAAAAATCATATTACAATGTGTTGTTTTATTATAAGTGTTTATGATTTTTTAAAAATAATTATTACACGTCGGGAGCAAGCCCCAATCCGGCAAATCTTAGCACTCACTTGAAGTCACTTCTCCCCCATATCTATTTTCTCTCTCTCTTTCTCTCTCTCTCAACATGTTCGGTTAGGTCTACCAACGTTTATGTTTATATGATACGCTTCATCTCAGAAAATGTACACAAAATAATTTTTTTCCTTATTTATTTTTATATACTGAGTACTCAGATTCTAGGGACGTACACACTGCACTCAGTGTCATTGTCCCAGGCATTAACAGCTGATTGCTACGTGTGTTATGTGCATGATTACATAACTTGTTATTCCCATTAAAAAATAATGTAAGACGAATAAAAATCTAAAACAATAACAGTGGATTTACTTTATAATGTTTATAAAACATTGTAAATGCAGGCGTATTTCTTTCCGATCTATTTTATTTCCTTTATCAGTGTTTTTTTATGCTAAACGCGATAGCTATTTGACAGAGGAAATTACGATTATAATCTCAAAATACGGAACAGACCTTTCCACAATCTCCAATTTCGATCAAAGTATCGTGCACGTCGCCGATGTTGTTCATTTTTGATACTTTAAGACACCAAACACCGTAATCAGTCATTCTATTACGTAAATTTTCTCAACATTTGATACCTTGAGATATTGAAAGTGATCTCTAATCGCGGAGGTAAAAAGAATCTTGAACGTTAACGGTGCATACGCCACCTATATTCAGGGGCGGGTAATTTGAAGTTTTATTTGCCGTTAGGGAGTGAAAGGTAGATTATTAACCGATGCTGGAAAGTGGTCAAATTCTCCCCAAAAGTGCGCAAAAAATATTGCGCCGTCAATTGCACCTTTTTTGCATTACGGGATCTGTAGCGTTATGGTCAAAGACAAAAAAACCCATAACGCTACAGATCTGCAGATAATCAGATTGTTATTAAAATAATCAGGAAACATATACTTACATAAATGGATTGATATGAGTGTGCTCAAATTCATGGACTTTCAGATGCTGGTGCTTTTGAAATGCTTTTCCACATCCAGCATATAAACACTGAAATAAAAGACATTATCTCATCAAACTATGTACACTACAAAAGATCACAACTGACTTTTTTAAAACAAAATCTATATTTCAATATAAACTCTATACAGCCATACACCTTTATAAACATACCTTGTATGGTCTCATTTTGTGAATCCTCACAATGTGTTTTTTGAGTGCTGTGATTGAGTAAAAATACTGGCCGCAGTCAGCCTCTTCACATCTGTAGAAAAAAGAAAATATCCTATTCACATCTAACGAAGTTTAATTCTAATACAGAGAGATAGCATATCTCTCCCTCCACCCCAATCCATGGTACCTCAATAGAGTCTACATGATAGAGGATCAGTTCTATTGTATCCTGTAAACTACCTGACTCTGGTTTCCTGTTTCTGGTGACATTTCTCAACATGTCTCTTCAAATGTGAGGCCCGGGCATATTGTTTCATGCAGTCTCCTTCTTCACACAAAAATGGCTTCTGGAATAAATTTATAACAAGAGGGTTGTTATACATTTTCAAGGCTTTTAATTTTTTCTAGAACATTCTGCTTTCAATTTCAAGTAAACCTGGATACCTGTAGATATTTATAGGATTAAGCAAAAACTAGAAGGCCATGGGCCACACTGCTAACCTGAGTCATCTTGTCCTGACTCATCCAACATATTTTTAAAAAGATTTTTTCCTTATTCCCATGAAAACTTTTGAACCAAAATTGTGGACCCTTCCCTGCCCTGATGGATTAAACTATGCGATCAAAACAGTAATTGGGAAGGGCTTGCGCCACGCGCTATAGTCGCATTGAAGTGAAAAATAGCGCATTGAATCAATCAATGTTGGCGCCAAGGTGTGCATTCAATTTTTAGTGATTATATTTGGCAACATTTTGCGTATGACTTTCTAACTTGTTATATTTTCGTTTCAAATGCAGTCAATTTTATAACAACAAATCTCATTAGTGGAAGCCTGTCAAAAACTGCTTCCAGTTTAATCACTTTAATGAAGTACTTAAGATTTATAGAGACATTACTACATTCATTTGTAGGGTAGGGTGGTCCTCAATCCAAATTTTGACGTAATTTAACACAAATACGGGTAAATTACATTATATGTGGGTTCCTTTAAATCTGCTACATTGCCTTTGTTAAAAATTATATTTGGTTAATTAAAAATGTGTTTTCTTTAGTATTTCATATTTGTTTGTCATTTTGTTATTTCTTAATATGGCCCCTCAGATTATATTGATGGTCCCTTCATTTTCAAAATGGACCATTAAAAATGTTGACAGTTGACCTTTCTGGACTTCCCAATCACTGCAATATCATATAATTTACACTGCCATATTTTTTTCTGATTTTTTTTTTGGGGGGGGGGGGGGGGTGTCCTTTGCACAAGCAATGTGTTCAAGTCCACACACTCAATCATGGCTGCATGAATTTGAGAAATATTTTAATGACTCAACCCTCTTTTCAATATTTCACAATCATCTATCACTGGGAAGGGATGAGGCTTTTCAGTCATTATCCTAGTCACCCACAAATGTTTTATTAAATGTTGGTAAAAAATGAGGTAAGTGATTCTGATGCAGAAATAACTATACCTAAAAAAAAGAGATAAAAAAAGCAGCTAGCTAGGTTACTTGAGTGACTTTAATAATATAAACTTATCATTTGAGAAGAAATCAGAGCCAACTTTTCATCTCAAACCCAGAGGAGATCATAGGTCAGAGTTCAAGAGGTCACATGATCCACCAAGAGAACCTTGGCTTCACAGATCACTCAATCACTCACAACACAAGGTTGCCATGACGACCTCTGGATCTCTGAGAATGGATTGTGGAATTTTCATCATCTTTCTGCTCATCAGTGTTTCTAAAGATTATTTATATAGATTATCAGATTAACAAAACTAGAGGGGTCAGAAACCATGTTAAGCTTGTTATCTCTAGATTTTCCATGTAATATCAAGACACCTCTACATTTTTCATTGTTAGAAATCGGCACTTCCGTTGCTTTCAGTTTCTGTGCAAACTTTCGAGGACGTTTTGGTTTACTGCATTTTTTATACCACAGGTTCAAATTGGCAAACGATCGAAAGACGTTATTTAATTATTTTAGAAGCTAGATCTCACCCGACATCAGTAGGAAAAGTGTAGATAATGATTAAAATCAAGCATGAGCTGAGGCATCCCTTGCAAATCCCATAGAGGGTCATGTCAGAGGTCAAATTCTATCAACCAATTAAATCGTCGCCTGCAGAGTCATTGTATATTTGTTGAAGCGAATAAGTCTTAGATTTATTATAAATTTGACCTCTGACATGACCCTTTATGGGATGTTGTTAGATGTTAGTGTAGCGAGTATGAGAACGGATCTAACATATAATTTTAATTAGATTGCATCCCTGGAAATCTAAGATGGCGAGTGTCGTACCTTCACTCTTTCCATATACAGTAAATATTAGGCCTGGGTATTGGCCAGAAATTTCGTATTGCGATATATTTAATTGTGATAGTTTTAATTGTACTGCGATATGTATTGCATGCAATATTGCGAAGGCCCTGGAAGCTCCTGGGTTCTAGAGATTTTGTAGGGTAAAAATGAGGTCTACCAAGTATACATATTTACATTTTCTAGACGAAACAATTTTGACACCCGTCGCCCCCCCCCCTTAAATCCGCCACTGTTTTTGATGGGACAACTGCGCTCGCCCCAACGGTCACACCGTAAAACATATTATATTTACCTGTATCTTTATCTTTTAGTTATTTGTTCTAGATATACTTTTAATTTTAGAAGAAAACATAATCAAAGATACTTCTGTGAAATTAAAAAATAATAAATTGACGTCACCAAAGACCACTCTCTCATTTAATAAATATAAGAACAAATTCATACAATTTTTCAAGTTAGTTTCGCTAGTACCTCTCCAGTGTGTGACCTTAAATGAATTTTCAATCTGCCTGGTCGTTTAAAAGTTTTAGAACATCCCGCAAAAGAGCAAATATGCAAAGAAGTTGGCCTGGAATCGTCCCCACGTGCTGAATCCATTTTGAATTTGAATAGCGAACCCGATTCAATTACAGGTAAACGAACCCGATTTTATCAAGCCAATATCTTATCCAAAGGCTTAACTTCAAGGGGGTAAATTTATAAACCTTTTGAACTGCACAACTTCAAGAAGTACAGCAACAACGAAAAAGATGTTCAATTAATTTTGGTCTTTCAGAGATAGATCATACGTATATTATACGTATTTGAATTATTGAATATATGTTGGTATTCCTTTAAAGCTGTTTATAGGTCTTTATCTCAGTTATCATCACATGCGACAGATAAAATTATTGATAGCATGCAGCTACGTAAATTAATCAGGAAGCTTCAAAACAATAGATCGCTAAAAATTCCGTTTTATTTTGAAGAATGGTGATTTTTGAGTGATTACAAAGTTTGCTACCAAGGAACCACAGGGATACAGAATTATAAATGTCACGATAGTAAACAAATAGTGAACTTTGGTAAGTAAGCCTCAGAGATGTTTATAATATACAACAACAAAATGGATGACTTCTCATTTATTTATTCAGTCAACATGAATTCATCTTTTCTAGTAAAGGACTATCACTTAGATAAATGCAACCCCGTGCTTTTAATCAAAATTTGTGTTTTAATTTTAAGAAATCGACATGTGATAAACAATTAAATACAGTTTGTGCCTAATAAAGCGAAACATACCATAAAAGTAATTAAGACACATCGGAATGGGAAAAAAATTGTTCTTGAACCGTTATATTAACATGGATCACAATCACAATGATCTCTCTCTCTCTCTCTCTCTCTCTCTCTCTCTCTCTCTCTCTCTCTCTCTCTCTCTCTCATTTCCAGAGGTGAAGAAAAAAGACATGCAAGTCTATAGGCATAAAAAATGTGTAACGAAGTAGGAGTAGCAAAGAAAGTACAATATCAGACTGTAGGAAGCAATTTCAGGGGGTTTTTTTTGGGGGGGGGCAAACATTTTCAGTTTGGATGGGCATTATAAAGCAAAGATCCCTTGAGACGTAATTATAGAGGGAGTACATTCATAAAGTAGCTTTTACCCTCTATAGTTCACTATATACTCGGCAAAATTATTGCAGGGGGGGGGGGTGTCCCCCTTCTGGTTCCAAGGGCCACGAAGTTTGGATTTTATAGGTCTAGGTTTTTATTCAGCAGAATATGGCAAGTGACCGAAGAGTAGTAAGGAACGGTTGCAACTTTTGATGTCAAGGATAGCTTCTACATCAAATTATTGTGCAAGAAGAGGTTGAAACCTAGGATTTCATAGTATAGGTTTTATATCAGAGTACTGGAGACTAAGGAAGCTCCGACCTTGGACTTCCTTACTGACTATATAGGCGATACACTAAGAAATAATTATTAAGGAACACATTTCCAATGTGTTAAATCAAGTTGTGGGTCCTTGACCTATGTTTGACAACCCGTTCGTGCCATTTATACATGTACTATGGTCGTAATAAAGCTGTTAAATTGGAACATATATGCTGTTACAATACAGTAATACTGCACATAAGTGTTTCCTCTGAATTCCCCCCAACCTGGCCCCAAGATTGACAAACAGACCAAAATAAAAATATTAATTATAACTGCATTAGTACCAGTATTCCTAATTATAAAAACAGAAATCGTCCCAAATTAAAGAATTTGAGGAAGTATAAATTCTATACGCAAAGAAAGATTTTTTTTTTAAAAGAAAATCACGAAAAACAGTTTCTCTAAAAGAATCCCACTGAGCATTCCCTGTTAATTATTGTGCACGTATCTTCATTTCCTGTATCCATGAACAAAACAACTCATTATACTCGATTTGCTTTTTGGAATGACTCACAAGACCGATGGACAACACTTCGCAGGACATGTCTAAAATTATGCTCTTTGGTGATTTTTTTTTTCTTTTTTTTTGAGATCTGAAATAAAAATATGTCAAATTATGGCTTACACATCGTCATTTTTAAGTCATTCCTTTTTCCCCCTTTACAAGTAGATACAATGGCGACAGGAGAATCAAACACGTCTGATCTGCAGACTCTTCTGCATTATAATCGTCCTAATCGCCCAAAATCGACCCCACCCACTAATCCAACAAAGGAGGAGTCCACTTTGACACTTCCCAATCATCAATACAGGGCGGCGTCAGTCATCCCCTTTGGCAGCAGGACCGATGACGAAACCACGCCCCTCATGGGTGTAATCAGGTGAGCTAAAATATCAGTTCAAAATTTACTTGACTCTTGGTTTAAATTCAAATATCACTTGACAACATACTTTAAATTCAAAATTCACAAGACAACTTGGTTTAAATTCAGAACTCACTTGACAACATAATTGAAATTCAATTATTAGTATCACTTGTCAACATATTTGAAATTCAAAAATGAATTGACCACAGGCGCCTGTGGAATTAACAACACAATTTAAATTAGTACATGTAATTTAATTTATTTTATATCAAATATCATCATCATCATCCTTTACACCCCCCCTCCTCCCTTGTGATGTGTAGAGCAGAAAAAAAAAACTTCCTCCACTTTTGTCTATCCTAGGCCAGTCTCGTCAATGTGCATGGCTTTTATCTCGCTTTCAACCGTCATTCGCCATGGTGTTCTTGGCCTCCCTCTCTTTCTTTTGCCCTCTGGTGTCCAGTGCAGGGTTGTTCTTCTTGTAGACTGGGGATCTTAAATTTTCTTAGAACATGTCATACCCATCTCCATCGGCGTTTGGTAATGATGGTACCCATGTCCTCTTGTTTTCACAAAATGCTCTCTGCTTGAGAAAATTCGGATGTTCTGCAGCTATAGTTTGCGCCTGCTCAGCAGGTATTCATTAGTTACCTTTTCGGGCCAGAATATCCTGAATATATGACGGAGGCATGTAGTATGGATGGATCGTAATTTGCTAAGATCTGTCTCTGTTACTGTCCAGCATTCAGATCAGATTCATATAGGAGAGTTGTTGCAGCATAACTCTGGTAAAACTTCCTCTTGATGATGTAGACCTATACAGACTATGCAGACCTCCAGATTTTATTAACCTCTCTAAATAATCCCCTGGTCTTGCCCATTCTGTTGTGGATATCATCCTCTGTGCCGTCTACTGGTTTGATGATGCTACTCAGGTAAATCAAGTTGTCCGTCTGGCGTAGTTTTTCACCCATTGACCTTAACAGGAACAGGCAATTCCACATAAAGTGTCATTGTCTCTGTCTTCTTCGTATAGATACGTAGCCCCACCTGCTGTCCGTTGGTTTAAAGCGTGTTTTGTATGACCCAATCGATGGCCAAGTTGAATAATATTGCAGACATCACGCATATTTGTCTGACTCTGGTTTTAACATCGAAGAAAGTATTTTTGTATCCTATTTATTAAGTATTTGATGTTATTTTAAAAGTTCTTGATAAGGTGCACCAGTTTGAATGAAATACTAGTACCATAATGACGTAGAGTGTTATAGAGGCTATCTCAGTGTATGTTGTCGAATGCCTTATCAAAGTCCACAAAGTTTACATACAGTTGTCTCTGCCACTCTGTGCACTGCTCTATGATGTTGCAGAATGCAAAGATCTGGTCAGTACATGCTCGATGTTTCCTAAATCCTGCATGATCTTTCCTCAGTACAGTGTCAACAGCGTCTGGTATTCTATTAATGATTATCTTGACAAGGATCCTACTTGGCACTGACAATAGAGTGATTTCCTTCCAGTTACAAGCAGTCTTACAAACGCTTAGGGCTCTTTTTCGGAATCTTGACAATCATCCCTGTACGCCAGTCTTTAGGTATAGTTTCTCTCCTTCCCACACAGCCATGAACAGCAGTTGGAGTATAGTGGCTGCTGTTCCAAGATCTACCTTAAAAAGCCCTGCATTAAGATTGCCACATCCTGGTTCTTCCTTCCCATTCTTAAAGATCTTCATTGTAAATTTTGTTTCATCCTTAGTTGGAGGGTCAGTAAAATCCAGATCCTCTGTGGCTTCAGGCATGCCAACTGTTTCTTAAGGTGATGGTCGATTAATTATTTCGCGGAAATGTTCCGTGTAAATCTCTTCTTGTTCTTTATTTGTTCGCGGCAATGTTCCGTATTTGTCCTTGATAGGTTCTCCTAAGTTTCCTCTAAATACCACACTCTTTTTTGTGATCTTGTATCACCCCGTTCTGCCACCTCCTCTGCTTCAGCTGCAAGTTCGTCCATGGGATCTATCTTGTCACGGAGTACAAGCTTCTTGACTCTCATGTGGGCCTCACTATACAGATCCTCTTGTGTCTTAAGCAGTCTTTGAGACTTGATCTGCAGCATTTTTTCTAGATTTCTTTTTTCTCCTCTATAGCAATCAGAGTCTCCTGCTGGATCCAGTCTTTGTTGGTGTTTGTCTTCCAAAGGTTCGGTTTCTTTTTGTTGCTTTCAGTGTTCAGTGTTCTTGCTTCCATATGCTGTCCACATTGGTTTCCTCACCTTTATCCGATATTTCTTGCAAAATTTTGGACTTTGTTTCTTAAATCTCCGAAGAAGACAATTTTACGGTATTATAACACAGTCTCTGAATGTCAAAAGCGCAATTGTATGTTAGGTCTTGCTTCAGTTTTTCCAGTTTGATCTTGATGAATCTTGTCACTCTTTTTTTTACCCTAACATGTAATAAAGAACGTCTCCGCATGCCAATGATCATCAGATGGTCACTCTCGGTTTTTGTCGTTTGACATTTGGTGATTTCCAGGTCAGCTTGTGGATATCACGATGTGTGATGAGGGTTCCTCCTATCACTAGGTTATACATATTACAGAACTCTACCAGCCTTTCGCCAGTATTGTGCCTGTTATAAACCCCGTGCTTTCCCATAACTTTTTCAGTGTCGGTGTTGCCCTATTGGACCTTTGCAATGAGTTCCCCCATGATGATAGGGAGGTCGTGCCGTTGGGTCTTCTCTGTCTCTGCCTGTAGCTGACAAGAAGTTGTCCTTGTCTTCACTACAGTCATTAGTTGGTGCGCAGCATTGTATTAATGTGGTATATATTGATATGCGTGCCCTTCAATCTTCCGCTCATCAATCATTTTTAAACTTCCATTCCATCAAGCACCGCTCTACACCTTTCCTGAGTATGATGGTTCTGTCCCAGGATAGAGGACAGTTCTACGGTGGTTTGTTTTCATCTTTCCAGGTCCCGTCCATCTGCTCTCACTCACTCCTAGGACATGGGATTTAAATTGTCGAATCTCAGATGTTACCTGTGCATTTTGTCTGTCTCATACATTGTTTTCACATTCCAATGTCCTATTCTTGGTGTTTGTGGTATGTAGGTCCTCCCTTATTCTGCTGGTAAAGTTCCTTTGGCTTTCATTACCATTATACCAGTTTCATCGTATTCAGAAGGCTTTTCACACGCCGAAGTGAAGTTTTTTATGCTGTTTCCATAACTTTCTCTTTTTACAGGACAGGGTTTTAAGCCCTGCCTCTAACCCCCAACCTGAAGGACCAGGGTAATTTTGTGACAAGCATAGACAGACACACACACTGCATGCATCACAGAGCCGCTCAGCAAACATCTTAACAGCATAATTGCATTCAAATATCACTTTAAAACAGCTATTTTAAATTCAAATAACACTTAACGAATTATTTTGAATTCAATAATAACTATTTTCTATTTTGTATAAAGAGGAAACAGTGATACATTTGTCCAGCACGAGGAAGAAGAAGAGACGGCCATTGACAAAGAGAGTATAAAGGAGTACTTCAGCTTGAGGAACAAATGGACCTTACTTAACCACCTGAAGATATTAATTCTGGTCGCCATTACCTTTACCTGCTGTGTACGTTCATAGAAAATTACTTTTCTTTAAATATTATTTGATAATCCACCATTACATATTCATCAGGTATGTTTAGATTCACCCTGATTATTATTTTTCTTTAGATTTTCATTATGACGGCAGAAGAGTCCGAAAAGACATGGCGCCAGCTGAGTCTTGGAAATGAGGTTAAATGTATGCCATTTTCTTAATGTATTAAAGAGAGAAAATATCATTATTAAATATTGTTAACTAATATTGAACTTACATGCGTATATTAAACTTTATTTCTTAAAGATGAACAATTCAAATCCAATGAACATCCTGTTAGATTATTTCTAAAAGGACCGATATCAGAATCAAAAGAGAACATGACAATTCCCCTCAGCGTGGGTACAGGAAACAAGGTAAACTTTGTTATTGGTTTCTGTCATCAGGAACATACAAGTAGAACCGAACTCGCAGTTGCGTATCTTTGTCTTCTGCATTTTTGACCGTTTTTATTTTTCTTCTATTCAGAGTGAAACTTGGACTTTAAATATCAATACCACTATGCTGAGCAACGAAGATACTGTTGAACTGGAGCATAAATTTACAAGCAAGAGCGAGTACTGAGATTTAATTTCTTCTTGTTTCTAGATAGTATTTATCTATCTTTTTTCCGTATTTTTTCAGGGGAGGGGGAAGGAGCAGGTAGCTTTGAAAATCTGAAAATTCCCAGAACCATAGATGATGCATCTAGGGATGGACCTACTGCATGAATGCTACACCTGACTGCGAATGGTTTAGTTGAGTGATGTTGATAAAGAAAATACGAGCGCTTGCAAACTTGCAAAGATGATGCATTTATGGTTTTTCCGTGGTTTTCTCAATCATGACAAGGAGCAAACGGCGGGTGTGACCGGTCAGCAGGGGATGCTCACTCCTCCATGGCACCTGATCCCACCTCCGATGTTTTGGAGGTCCATGTTTTCTCTGCTCCTATTTTGTATTGTTTATGGACTCTTGATCTTGAATACTTTTCTTTATTTCCATGTTTCATGCACACTCTGTCTTGCTTAAACTACCAGTAAATCATCTGCTTTATGTTTCGGATGCGTGACTCTCTTGAAGTTCATGGGACAGGTTCATTTACAATTTTCAAGGCGATAGGCGTTGATTGTTGCATCTGACGAACATTTTCTTGATGGTTTAAGTTTTTGAAGCAGGTTCTGGTTAACACATGTACATAAATTTTGGGATGCACGCCACCCAACTTGCTGATGCTGTGTTCTACTTTTATTTCCCGAGTGATTTAATGGGCTATGCGTTTCTGGAACAGATCCATTTCCAACTACATGTAAGCTCCATCTAAACCAAACTTTCATGGAGAATGCACCTTGATATGCGTTACAAGGGATGCTTCGATTGCTGCACCTGTACTAAAGATTCTGGATGAGTGGTCTGGAGTTCCTGGGACAGGTCGATTCCGAGGTTAAGCCTTGCAAAGTATCAAACTGAATATTGCAATTGATATATTTTCTCAAAATTGAAGAGTTATAGTTATTTCTGCTATTTCCACATTATTATTAACCCTACTCAAATTGAACTTGCATATACATGTATGAAACATATGTTTGTCACATACAAGAATGTACTCCACCAGGTTTTCTTCGGATGCTGCATCCGATCTTTACATTTTGAGTAAGGATCAAATGATGCATTTAATGTCACCAGACTTTCTTAAGATGTTGTAACTGAACTAGGCAGAAACGCTGCCAGATTAAACTTTTTAAGCAGGTCCATTTTCAAGTTACTTTATGTGATATATTAATCAAAATTGCATCAATAATGGCTAGAACCAACTAGAGTTAAATGTTTACATAGAAATACTGTTCAAGATGCAGCAAGTGACACATACATTATTGAACATTCATTTATTGAGATTTCCCCCACCTTAGAAAACCTCTGAGATGAGCTTCGTTATCTGTGATTGCATACATTTGTAAATATGTACTGAGTAAAATAATCGTTTTATTGCTTGCATAATTGCTTTAGAACAGAAAACATTTCTTTCGAGCTGACATCGAACCAAAGCGTCCCCCTGCTATGGAGAGGTGAAGAACTACCGACAGAGGAGATCGTTTATGCCGCACTCATCCTGCTGTTTGTTTATGCTATGATTATTTTTGAGGTATTTTCGATACTTGACAATTTTTTTCTTAATTTATATCAAGTACATAGGAATTTTATATAATTAATAGGCTTATTTTTCAGCTTGTGCATAGAACATTGGCTGCAATACTTGGATCCCTTGCTGCCATAGCGGTTTTATCTTCTTTTCACAAGGTAATCGTCCCATATAACCCTTGTACTTTTATCACAATTTGCACTATCTAGTAATTCATTAAAGTATTGCTTTGTCTGAATTGCATCAGAGTATTATGCTATTTTATGTTCTTGCTCTTTTTCAGCGCCCTGATCTAGCCGCCATTATCGCTTGGATTGACATGGAGACCCTGATGCTCCTCTTTGGAATGATGGTCATAGTCTCCATTTTCTCTGAAACAGGCTTTTTTGACTCATGCGCACTACAGGTTTCTATTGTCATTTTACTGCTATAATTTTCAGCTTATCTATCAGTGGATAGTCACGGTTTGACTTGTATTTTGTTGCGTTTATGGCAGTTTTAATTATATATTTACAGGCCTATAAGTTGGCAAAGGGGCAGGTCTGGCCATTGATTACCCTGCTTTGTGTGTTCAGTGCCGTGGTGTCGGCTTTCCTTGATAACGTCACAACAGTTCTTCTCCTTACTCCTGTAACAATAAGGTTAGTGATAATAAAATGCTTTACACCATTACTACAAGGATTGTTTTGATAATCTCACACATAGTTTGATGCTGATCTTCCAGGTTGTGCGAGGTTCTGAATTTGGATCCCAAAAATATTTTAATAGCGGAAGTTTTGTTCTCAAACATTGGTGGTACTGCCACAGCCATTGGTGACCCACCAAATGTCATTATTGTATCTAACTCGGATATGGGAAACAAAGTAGGTAGACAACGTTTTCAGTGAAGAGAAAGGGCACGCTTCTTATATCAGTCACACATACATGTATATGCACATCCCTTCAATGCTCACAAGACTACCACCTTAATGCATTCTTTTCTTGCTATCAACCCTGGTTCCTTCCTCCTGAAGCTGAGCATATGCATCCTGGTTTGGATATTTATTGCAAAATATTTCATACGAAGCTAAATTACCGTTTATCTTTTCTAGGGTATAGAATTTTCCAACTTTACTCTTCACATGTTTGTTGGCATCCTATTTGTCAGTATTGTGGGATATGGTGCCCTTCGATTCCTTTATCGTGACATCACCAAACTTCAGAATCAGGACCCACCAGAAATAGCAGGTAAAGGAAAACATCTGCTTCTCTCTCCGAATAATTTGGTTTCCACAAAACCCAATCTAGACAACAATGAAAAAGTTGTCATCAATCTGTAGATTTTGAGAGAGGGGTAAGATGATTTTGACAAAAATGTAATATTTCTTACAGAGTTAAAACACGAGATTGACCTTTGGAAGCGAGCTGCTGCGCGGGTGTCTGTTGTGTCGAGAGAGGAGAGCATCATGAAGGCACTGTTCCAACAGAAGGCGGCACAGAGGGAGAACGCTCTCATCAGACAAATCTACAGGATGAAGTTAGAAGAACATTAAAACTGTTGTAAAAGAAAATAAATTTTTTAATGTCCACTTGTTACATGTATAATACTGAAAAAACGTTAAATCTTGTCGAAAATCTCTTGCAGAAGATCAGAGAAGAAAAGCTTTCAACAAAATGTGAAGGAACTTGAAAGGAAGGTAGGAATATTTAGAGCAAAAAAATGTGCAAAGCAACAAGGTATTCAATTTTAAAAATTTAAGAATGTGCCAGTGAAACCTTTTCAGGGATTTTTTTCCTTTGCAGTACTATATCACTGACCGATGGCTTTTGGTCAAGACTGGTATTGTTTTGACGGGGGTCATCCTCTGTTTCTTTCTCCATTCCTTCATCGATAGCATGCACATAGGTCTTGGTAAGTTTCACCTACTACTACCCTATGTGACAAAATCTCTGTTTGTATCCACCTTTCATTTTGATCAGTTATTTTGCTATTGGTCCACAGGTTGGATCGCCGTCATGGGAGCGATATTTCTCTTGGTAGTGGCGGATATCAAAGAAATGGAAAATATTCTTCACAGGGTCGAGTGGGCCACTCTAATCTTCTTCGCTGCTCTCTTTGTTTTAATGGAGGTGAAGAAATTCAGTTCTGCAAATTTTTTCAGCTGAATTAAAATACCAATTGATTCATATTTGCGTTTGTCTTGAAGGTTCCACCAACGCTATTCTCTCTTTATATATTTTTTTTATTTTTCCATCTGCTTTATGTTCTTTGTTTTTAAAATGCACAGTTTACAATGTGTGCGCCTTTTTCATTTTCTGTCCAGGCTTTGACAGAGCTTCAGCTGATCGATTGGATTGGAGACAAAGTCAGTGACCTAATCAGTGGACTTGATAAAGGCACGCAGCAAAACTCTGTCGCAATTCTCCTTGTGTTGTGGGTCTCGGCCATTGCATCCAGCTTTATAGACAACATTCCGTATACCACAGCTATGGTAAACACCAGTAGTCTTCAATCTTAATACCCTTAACACACTCACATGCTAATGATATAGTAGATATGGAGTGAAACAAAAAATGTAATAATCTTCATCCTCAAAAATATTTTACATACTCACTCAAAATGTATGAATACCTTATTGAAATAGGCAATTAAAGCGCCATAAATATGCTTTGTTTCAGATTCCTGTATTGGTCAAATTAAGTGAAGATCAAGATATACCCATCTTTCCACTCACTTTCTCCTTGGCATTTGGTGCATGTTTAGGAGGTATGTAATCAATGAAAAGCTTCACCTGAAGCAGGGAATTCTCAAATGGGACGTTTAACAACATGTTATCAATTCATATTTCCTTCACAGGCAATGGAACGTTGATTGGTGCCTCTGCTAATGTAGTTTGTGCTGGCATTGCAGAACAACATGGCTATGGCTTCAGCTTTAAAGAATTCTTCAAGTAAAGTATTATATTTAGGACATTCATTGAAGTTTCGTTGAACTAGTACATACCGTATACTCTGTTTATGTTTTACATTATTACAGCATGTTATATTTTTATTTTAGGGTGGGATTTCCTTTGATGTTGGTGACTACAATGGTAGCTATGGTTTATCTCCTTATATGTCACGTGGCCTTAGATTGGAACTGAAATCTGACTACTCCGGGTTGCATTGAAAAAGAAGTTTGAACCAACAACTTCCATCGTTCAAAGAAATATTACTGGAAAAATAAATTGCGCATGCGTGATACTGTTGTATTCTAATGACAAACTATGAACAAAGATTTAACTATCAAAAGTACACGTCCTTTGTCATGTTAATGGAGGAGTTCTCATTAATACTGCTTCAATCAATTTCATTTGAATTAATGAACTTCAATTTATTAGTATTTTCTTCTGTATTAGGTGATGTTCATTTGCACCGCTTATACCATACTCATTCTTGACTGTGATAATGTATTGTACAAAAAAGTACAATCTACCTAAAGTTATGTTTTGTAATTTGTACATTTATTTGTTAATTAAATGTTTTGTTCAGCTACTAGTATCCTCCAATTCCTTCTTTTTAAAAACCGATTTGCTCTGTTTGGATGTTTATTGGCATTTCCATAATATTATCATTATTAACGTCGTTTGACTCAAGATTACACTTTGTGGCTAGAGTAAATTCAAAGGACGGTTGGTAAGGTAGCATTTAATACCTTTCCAAATCTTAGTTAACTATCTTGACTCGTATAGTTAATCAGAATTTGTTGGCTTTCTACAGAGAGCTCTTCTTTGATGAAAACAAGTTCGCTTAGTCGATGGTATGTTAAGTGGAATTCACATTCCTTCACTTTATAGTCAGTTTTATTCATTTTCCAATGTCAGGATGTATCCAAACATTGGTCTCTATTCCAAACTGGCGTTCATATTTTTTGCCATTTACTGATTTAATAAAGATTTGTCACATTCATGAAAAATCTATCGTTTCTTCGTCTGATTTATAAAATTAAAGTCTTCTTTGAGATAAAACTAGAGTCATATGTCCGGTGCTTTAACCGGTTTCTGTGATGCTAAGAGGATGAGAGTCATTGACCCCCCCCACCCCCCCCCCCCCCCACACACACACACATTGCAGGAGTAAGGATATCCAATTATCGCCAATACCAATATTCGTCTAATAATGAATTCAAACAAAAACATTTATTTACAGATGACACAAATGTTGTACTGAGGTCATTTCCATATGATAGTTCGTCCTTCGATATCGATGATGACCATAGTTTTTCGATATCGATGATGACCATACTTTCATCTCGTCTGTCATTATTGTGTTTTGTTGTGAGTGCGACTGACGAGTCCAATCCTCGCATGGAATATCCTTCCTCAAACTGGAAAAGCGGATCCAAAGGAAGTGTCGAAGGACGCTTCTCTGTCTTTGTGCTTTACACGTTTTGTTCAGCCAGGTTGATGCTCTTTTCCTGGTATAATTTTACCCCCATCTTCTCGCTTGAGCCCCAGGCACTATGATCATGGGCTTGATTTTCTCATGCGGTAGGTTTAATATAGAATAGAATCAGAGACAATTTTAGGGAATCTTTAAAACGTTTTTTTTTACCATTCCTGCAGCGTATACCATTCACTAGCTGGCCGAACAGAAATGGTGTTTTTCTGACATACTTTCTATTTATCAATAAAAATATGCATCCACGGCCCAAACCATTATAGTAGTATGGTGTCGACGCTGTACATGTGTGTCTGGTTTTGAACCTTAGTATCTTGGAATTTTTCTGCCATCTGATACCCAATAATATCCGAAGACACACTGTGAAAATGCTTTAGTTTCCTGGTATGTACTAGTACTTGGTACAATGTCCAGGTCTCATTCACTGAAAGTAGATTTGTATAGTGCAACTGCTCTTTACACACCAAGCTTTGCTGTGGTAATGCCACGACGGCTCTAGCTATACTGTTTTGTTTAGGCGGCAAAAGGCAGAGTTGGTTTTAACTTTGTTTGAGGTGACTTAATCGCCAAAGTGGACGTTTCTGGATAGTGCTCAACAAAGGCATGTAATTTCCACACAGGATTGAGGTGCTCAGATTTAATGTAGATGTTCGGTTTAATTTAAGAGCTGTTTAGTGCCGGTTAGAACATGACCTACGTTTTCTTGGTGCTTATTGTCAAACCAAAATTGTCACAAGCATCCAAAAGCTTGTTCAGAGTTGTTTGTATGTTGGCCTCTATAGATGTATTTTGGGCGCAATCTGCAAACAGAAAGTCTTGAAGACTTTCAGTGTGGGGTCTTAGTCTTTGTTCTCAGACTTTGCAGGTTGAAGAACCCACTTCCGTTTAATATCAAATGACAATGCCTAGTTTCTTTTCCGAGAATGCATCTGTGAGCATGGCTGTAAACGCCAAGCCGAACAACGGTGCGACCAGAACACAGCCTTGCTTGACACCATTTGTGACCCCAGAGAGATTGTTTGACATCATCAAGAAAAAGGCCGGCATGCAATCACGAAATTGACGCAACATATTGATGAATCTTGGTGGACAGCCAAATTTCTCCATTATTTACCATAAGCCTCTTCTGTTGATGCTTTCAAAAGTCTTTGTGAGGTCTACAAATACTGTGTATCGGCTGCTATACTTCCTCTGCTGGTGTCTTCTTCTGCGTTTGTTGCTAGGGTACTAGTATCTATACATGCTGTCTTATCTTTGCACAGAACTGTTTCACCTGTCGCGGAGTTAGGAGTTGATCTTTACATCAAAGTTCAGTTCCCACTGCGGGATGTGGAGTTCAGTCCTTCGGATGAGATCGTATAAACTGATGTCCTGTGTCGCAATAGGACTAAACTTGCAGTTATCCACAGTCGACTCTTCTCGGGAGAGGGACGTTAAATAAAAAAAAATTCTACATTTTGCTGTATCTCTTTAAGTGTCGAAGATTTGATTCAAATTATGGACTCAAATCCAGTGGTTTTTCAGTCAGTACACACACCCTTCCCTAAACCAAGGTTTACAGCCATTTCAAATAGCCAGATACTTGCTTTTTGCCACCGCCACTGCACTTCTTGAGCATTTTCATGGTCACCATGAAGAGAGCCTATTTTTAAAATGTGAACCTTTAATTCAAAGTTTTTAGTGATGAGACCTCGTGGCAAAGTATCACCCCTTGAGATTCAAAAAAGTATTTGACCCCAGATTAAATTGTTCAATCATATTTGATGCACCAGGTCTTGCACTCTGCATTAGCACTATACTACATGAGGTATTTTGTAAGAGTGCAGTTTCTCTCGGAGAAATCTATAGCCCATATTCTTCTGCGATATTTTAGTTGTCCGACCGAACTGGGCGCATGGTTTCTCTGCTTTGTCGTTTTTTTAATTTAAACTTACGTAACATTTTCCTCCGATCTTACGTTTTCTGACATCAATTTACTCCAATGATTCCATTCAAAGGGTTTGGTAGGGCTGCTGCAGCTGTTTTTTTATGCACGAATGCATGCGACACTCCGGAAAATATTAATTTTAAGCATCCTTTTTGGGGGCGTTTTTTTTTTCGAAAATCCTCTCGGGTTTTGCAGTTCATCTCTCTTTCTCTCCTTTCTGTACTGCTATACTTTTTCATCCGACTACCTTAACTTTCTTATCATTGATTCAGATATCATTTCAAAATTTCTAGGCTGCGCGTGTTTTTACAGTTCATTAAGTAAACTATGCAGACTGGTAGAACCTGTAAGTGCAAGTAGTAATCCGAGACTCCCTGACTCTATCCCCTGTTGTTTATATTGGGACATGTGCAGGGGAGAGTAAGAGCGGAGACCATATTGAAAAGTTGGGAATTCAGCGGCACCATCTGGTGTCGCAACTCTGCCTACTTTTACAACTATTTTTCGAGGATCTAACTTCCCAGATGCGAGAAGTCAGTAAAGATGTTTCTTCTACAACTTTATCAAGATTAAAAAGATGATATCGCCATTTAAAAAGCACTATCGCCGACAATTGAAGCATTATACCAGAAGGTAACCTAATTTAAGTGATGCTTCAATTGCCGGCGACAGGACCGTTTAAATGGCGATAATATCCTTTTAATGTTGATCAAGTTGTGGAAGAATCATCCCTATACTGACATCTCGCGTCTCGAAAGTTAGATCCGCGAAATAAAGTTGTAAAAGGTAGACAGAGTTCCGACACCAGTTGGTGTCGCTGAATTCCCACTTTTTAGTATGGCCTCAGTTCTGACTCTCCCCTACACATGTCACAATACTAGTACAAAAAGAAGGGGATAGAGTCAGGGAGTCTCGGATTATGCGGGTAGAGATGTTAATTAAGGTCTACGTAATGTTTCGTACAATTAAACTGTTAATGTTCAAAACGTTCCTTAAATATGGAAATGGCAAAATATTTTTATTGGAAAGTTTATGACAAAAATAGTGACGTCACCTTTTCCAGTTTATTATCAGAGACGGACTTATTATAGGCAATGAAGTTCAAAGGAATTCCAAAATACTTTCAACATCAATGTTTTTTTTTTTTCAGAATCTCTCAAGCAAAGTAATAAAATACAATATTGTACAGGGATTACTTTTTCACTTCACTTTTAGCATCCTTGTTACATGTGCAAATATTTAATGTTTCAATATTTATGTAATACCTTTAATATATATTTTTGTTTCTGGGAGTGAGTGATACACTTAAATCACAGCAATTCCCTGCCCTAGTACCTGATGTTCATTTACAGGTTTTGCCTGTTGTCTATGGTAAAATTTTGGGTAGATCCATCAACAACTCAACTTTGGCTTTCCATTTTTGAGAATGATTATTAACTTTATACATTATATGGATAGTCAGCAATACATAAATTATAGACTAATAGTAACTGTCAAAATCAAGACAGAATTATTCCCAAATAAAAGAAATTATTTTGCTGTGGACAATACTTATACATGACATTTTTTATTTTTCATTTTGTCACATAAAACTTTTGAAATGCATTTATGATAAAAACAGTGAATTGAAAGTAATGGTAGAGGTTGTTATACATTATCATATTCCAGCTCCTCTTTTCTTTACCTCCATAGTTGTACATCGTCAAACAAGTCAGTAGGACCACAATGTCTGAGTTCCAACAGAAGTTAGACATTTAGGAAACTGAATATTTCCTACATTTACTGACACCAATCTGGAGCACTGATATTTTGAGTTGTTTGTTCTAATTCCTGGATTGTTGATGTCAAGGTGTGATCAATCTTCTTCATCCCTCTGCCTAGTATTTCGTGCACCTGACGTAACTTTTCGTTTTTTGAACGTCACTTTTGCTGTCTCATTGTCCTTTGCTAAACTTTTCACTCTCTTTTCTTTAAACCTTCCTCCCTCTTGTTTCACTGTCTTCTCTTTCGGGGGCTCAGGAAGGGGAATATCTTCAACAGGAAGGGGCTCCAATGGTTCCACAGGCTCTTCGGGAAGTTCAAGGTTCGGAAGTTCTCTAGTTTAAAGAAAATGAGGTTAGGTTAAACAAGAAAAGTCCATGGAAAGAAGTATTGTATGGGCCTTAGTGGTCATCCTACTTCTTTCAGGACGTATACTTTAAAACAAGAACTTAATGCACATTTGTTTCCTAAGTAAAATTGTATGTGTATTAAAATGTTCATCTGGTATGCACAAATATTTGATTACTAACAGCAGAAATTGTGATTCTACAAAGTACAATGAAGTCACTTACGAAATGTACAGACACAACTTTAAGTTTGGCTATATTCTGCACACCTAATATCTAAAGTTCTAAAGAATATTTACATGATATACATCCGTACTCCAGTGGATACCGGTAGATCCAAATTTCCCAAGTAACTGAGACTGATTTAAATTTTTGATGACATATTTTTTTTATCCCTCATACTACCCATATTTAGGCTAGAAGCTCTGTAGCTAAGGTTACTCCTTTTAATGTACATTTGCTTAATTTTCTCAATTTATGGCATATATATCCTGGTATTTCACTATAATATTTAACAGGGGATTTCAGTTTTTTTTATAGCTTTGAAAAACAATAATTAAAATGTCAAAAAAGTAAATGAAGCAATTTTCATCCCTCTCTCTCTTTCTCTATGTCTCTCAGTTAATATTCTTTATGATGCAATGCACTTGCTGAGTCTCTATCTCTCTGCATTAATAATACAATGCTGTTCTTGCTTAGGACTTACTTAACTGTGGACCACTGTCCATAGGCAGATGTTGAAGTAGCTCCGTGAGGTAGTGGTCCTACTGCTACCTGGTCAGGTAAAGAATCAAGCTCAGCTTGCTGAAACACATATCAGAAAAAATTAATGAACCAGTACATCAGTCAAATTAAGTTTGAAAGAAAACCCAATCCATGTATGAAAAGTTTATCTACAAACAACACCACATGTACCATGCACTTTAATTTTTTAAGAAGTACATGTCAAAATACAGCTTCCAAACACAAAATCAAATCTGCATCAATAATATGTTTTACGGTGTGACCGTTGGGGCGAGCGCAGTTGTACCATCAAAAACACTTGAGATCAGCCACTTCGAACGTCAAGCCGCACCACTCGACTAGCTGTGACGTCATAGACACAAAGCTTCGGAGCTAATTTTAAACTATAGAACTAGTGCAATTTTTGTCGAAAAACATTGCAGAGTTATTTCTTGTTTCTTTGAAAGATTTCTACAAACTGAAAGCCTGATATATGCATTACGTTATTATTTATTTACTTACAAATATTCGCGCAAAGGACATTGGGTAGTGCAGGAATTCTGGGAATGTTGCACAGAGAAATTTGGCTGTCGTATGTACAGATTTCAATCCGAATTTCCTCTGTTCTTACACGTTAGTCTATTGAGCTCGTCGCTTTGCGATCAACAACAAAATACCACTCTATAAATGAGTAATATTACATGATTTTCTTTATAAACCCTACATGTACTCACCAATCTGGCCTGCTTAGCAGCTTCTTCTTCCTCTTTCTTCTTTCTGTCCTCCTGTTCCTCCATGGAGACATAGACTTCTGGGGCGACCCATTTAGACTCTAAATATTAGGTTAATTTATGTAAGTGTATAATCCACAGTTGCTGTTTTACACGTATTAAACATGAGTTACTGTATAACATTTTTATCCAGGTATCCTGAGTTACTGAAGAATATTTTTTCCAAAGTTATTTACCATGAGTTACTGTCTTAGTGTATTATGCATATTTACCATGAGTTACTGTATTACATGTATTTACCATGAGTTACTGTATTACAAGTATTTACCATGAGTTACTGTATTACAAGTATTTACCATGAGTTACTGTATTACAAGTATTTACCATGAGTTACTGTATTACACATATTTACCATGAGTTACGGTATTCCAGTAATAAGTGTAACCCTCTGCTGACTTTGCCTCATACCACTCCCCCTCCTTCTTCTTTTTCTCGGCCTCTAGCAGTTTCTTCTCCACTTCTTCCAGGGCCTTCTGTTTGGCAGTACTCTCTTCTTTCTCCTTCTTCTTTCTATCAGCTTCTTTTTCTAACATACGTGTACAAAAACACATTTCTGTATTTAAAAGTTTTTATTTTGATTATGATCGTGTTTAAGACTGAATGATTTCTTTTAAAGAAAGAAGCACATTCAGAATGCAAGAATTACACATCAATCTTAATTTGGGGGGAGGTTTTTTTTTTTGTTTTGTTTCTTGGATTTCTTAGATTTGGTTACCCTGAAGATGAACTCTGACCTATCCTTACAAGTCTGCCTACCTGCTTCTGATCTGACTCTCACTCCGTACTTAGCAGCAAGTTCTGGATCACTGGCAAGGTCTTTTTTAAATGCTTCTAATGCCGCCTGTAATTAAATCAAAGCATTGAAAAAAAGTTCTGTCATAAATAACAGTACAGTCTCGTACTAAACTTTGTAACAAGTCATGTGACATGTCATTATCTAATTTACCCGGTATTCATTTTTATTTTTTTGTATTCATTTTAAAAATTTCTTTGTATTCAATGTTATCATAAATCATTTATTTTTCTAATATATCCATCAATACGCCATTAAATTTTAACTTTAAACTTTTAAAAATTCCTCTTGTTCACCTTCTCCATCTTTTGGATATCATCTTCCAGTTCCTCTTTCTTCTTGGCATCTGTAATGCCTTTCTTCCTGACCTAAAACGTTGTCATTTACAGTTAGTGTTTAAATCTTAATGTTTTAAGTAATATAAATATGATTTGTAAAACTTTTTATACAGTTTGTGAATTCAAGTAAGAACTGCAGTGACACTTTCAGGGTTATGGGTGACTTGTAATATTCTTTCATTTGACAGTATTACAGATTACACTGAGAAGATACAGTGGCAGTTAACATACCATCTAATACAGCAATGTCCCATCTTGTACACTAAGAAAGGGGCAGCTGTAGTCAAAACAATACAACATATATCCAAACCTTATTGAAACTTTAGTGTAAAACTTACTTCATCAATTTTTCTTTTAACATTTTCTTGGTGCTTCTTTCCTTTTTCATGAAAGTCAACACTCTGTGTAAAATTGCAAAATAATACATGTAGTTAGAAAAATATATATATTGTACACTACAAAGTTGATTTTTGGTTGACAAGTTAAAGGTCAAGATTGAAATAAATATCTAATAGAAAAGCTTGCTATGTATGCAATTTCAGAACCAATTTCTGCTGATTAATCACTTAATTACTAGGTTTACATATTTTGTTTTGTAAGTTACCCCTTGCCCTATAATTTCATTATCAAATATTTATCAAATATCTCCGATGAATTGTCAATCTTACTGGCTTATTATCTGTTATCCAGCATTTACAGTATTCACAAAATTTTCTTGGTTGTGATTTCCAGTATTCCGACCTGTAAAAAAACCCAGATCAGTGGTTATTAACTTTAATTTTAGAAATTCAAGACACAATATCAAACATACAGTAAAATTCTGTTGTTATCATGTTATTCCTTATATATGTTAAAACATTTATTTACTGTAAATCAACTTTTATGCGCGTGTGAGAAATTTTCATGAAGTTCGCGACAGCCTTGTCATCATGAATATCTCTCCCAGCAAACCAGTACATATACTTAAAGGATCTGTGTCTATTTACAACAGATTGAAAAGGGCTTGATCGCGAAAATTAATCGTATATATATACACATGCAATAAAGAAATTGAAGAAGACTTTTAAGTTTATAACCACCCTAAAAATATACGAAAGACAAATGATGTTTACAACAGACTCTCAAAAGCAATGAACACCTCCAAAACAACAAAATGCCCATGTGCCACAACACTCACACAAATTATTTTAAATTTAGCCCTGCAGTTCTACAGATTTTGAAAAAGAATTATACGCCCTTTAAAAAATATGACTCTTCAAATTTGGTCCCAGACTTTATCTACGACGTCTCTCTGAATCCCCACAACTTTGGGAATGGCCAGTGGGATGTTTCAAAGGGAGCCAGTCAAAGCGCCCCCTAATAAAAACGTCCCGGTCAGAGCATCCCCTAATTTTAGTCAAAGCGTCCCCTGATTTTAGTCAAAGCGCCCCCTGATTTTGGTCAAAGCGTCCCCTAACATATTTTTATAGAAAAAATACCACCCCCAAATATTGGTCAAAACGTCCCCTAATTTTAGTCAAAGCGTCCCCTGATTTTAGTCAAAGCGCCCCCTGATTTTGGTCAAAGCGTCCCCTAACATATTTTTACAGAAAAAATACCATCCCCAAATATTGGTCAAAACGTCCCATAATTTTAGTCAAAGCATCCCCTGATTTTGGTCAAAGCGCCACCTAACATATTTCTATAGAAAAAAAATCTTTATAAAAACAAATCTTTACTGTCCCCAAGAAATGGTCAAAGCGTCCCCTGGTTTTGGTCAAAGCGCCCCCTAATATATTTCTATTTAAAAAAAAAAAAACGTTTCGAGTCTATCCCCAAGCAATAGTCAAAATGTGCGATGATTTTTGGTCAAAGCGCCCCCCTATATAATTTTTTTCAGGTAACTGCCAAACAGTGATAATATTATAAATACAAAACAGTTTTATTCCGTAACATTTTTGTAAAAATGTATATTAAAGGACGCCTTGACCAATATCAGGGGACACTTTGACCAAAATCGGGGACGTTTTGACCATTGCTTGGGGGCGGTTCACAGACGATTTTTTTCTAAGAAAAAAACGTACGGGTGCTTTGACCAAAATCAGGGGGCGCTTTGACTAAAATCAGGGCAGGTCCGGCACAATCTCTTGATTAAGCTATATAGCTTGATTTAGCTATATAGCTTTATTAAGCTATTCAGAATAGCTTGATTAAGCTATTTTCTCAGACTTTTTTCTCCAATGTGTTATTTTTTCAACATGTGCAAAAAGTCGCACCTTGGTGCAGTGGAAATATTAAATTTTGTACTCTTCTGAATACAATGCATGTAAAAATCACTCACCAAATTGCATCTCCTTGAGAGACTTTGTACTCAAAGTTTTAAAAGTTTTGGGGCTATTGATGAGTGACCACACAGTTATTTCTTGAATGAAATAATAAAGGAGGTCAGTTATGGCCAACAGGATAATTGATTAGTAACAGTTCAGCACAATGAGAAGCAATCATACTTACCCACGCCTCACCGCACACACTGTTACTCAAACAATGGAAATTCATATTTTGCTTAAAAGTATTCAACAGCAGCAATGTTAGAACTTTCTATGATTTAGGTTGTATTTTTGATAGTCCATGGTACATATATGAATAGTGTAATATTTGCGACTTTTTGTTTATTTCTTTCAAAAAACGTTTTTGTGAAAAATTGCAAATAAATAGCTTTATCAAGCTATTTTGAATAGCTTAATAAAGCTATATAGCTTTTTAAAGCTATATAGCTTAATCAAGAGATTGTGCTGGACCTGCAGGGGATGCATATGCTTTGACCAATATTTGGGGGCGGTTTTGTAACCTCATTTTACCGAAAATTCTATAAGGGGCACTTTGACCAAAATCAGGAGGCATTTTGACCAAAATCAGGGGACACTTTGATCAAAATCAGGGGACGCTTTGACCGGGACGGTTTTATTAGGGGGCGCTTTGACTGGATTTCATTTCGAATGCGGGTGGTTTCGCTCCGATTACGTGTTCGCGCCGAGTGGTTTCGCGCCGATCACTTGTTCGCGCCGAGTGGATTCGCCCCTATTGGTTTCTACTGTATAACTGAAGATACCGCTTATCGGATAGTCATTTGATTAATATTTATATTAAGATGTTAAAAAGAAAAGGTAATTGCAATGAAATTGGAAGTCTTATAAATCGTCATGCAGAAGAATCCTTGTTCTACATAATTTAATATTGTAAATCAAATGAAAAACAATGACAACCTTTATTGAAAAGTCAACGAGATTTGTGAAATAAATATTTATTTTAACATTCAGTTTTAATTATTCAAAATTCGACGATCAAATTTGTTCTAATATAGTCATAATTTGGCTAAAAATAGACTGGTACCCTGACATTGGTAAACGGGCGCAAGCGCCCTGAAAAACCAACTCCTAGCGGCAGCGACTGGAATCAAGGGCAGAGAACCAGTGCTAGGCTAAAAATGGCCTCACTTTAAGTATTATTACAATATGGGATAATTATCTGACGTGTACACGACATTAGCGCTTGGGGTTAATTGATTACTAGGTACTAAGTTATATAATTACAGGTAATCGGGGGGAAGCCAGACTGTATACTACCCATATCTTACCTGTAGGCTGTAGATAAACGGGGCGAAACCACTCGGCGCGAACACGTAATCGGCGCGAAACCACCCTACACCTTCATTTCAAATTGAAGCCTTCAATATCAATTTGAATAACGTGGTCTTATAGGCCTATGAAAGATTTTCAATGGTTTAATCCAGAAAAAAAACAAACCAAAACTGCTTTGATGTGGGCTATAAAAAAAATCGTAATGTGCAACATCTTTGGAAGAAAGAGGGGGGGGGGGTTAAATCTAAGTGTTAAGTTATACGTCGTGTGTGATTTTTTATCCATATCATGTAAAAAGTTCTTTGTACATGCTGTATTTAGGTTTCCTCATGTACTTTGGAATAAGTAGATATGATTTTTTTTTTTCAAAATCAGAGCTTTTTCCACAATTTGCAACTTTCACACTTACATTACTTCACCTAGTTGACACCGGAAGTTTATAATGTTAGTGCGTGCGCTGTGGACAACTCGCTGGATGTCTATTTTAGGCTATTTTTGTTAGGCAGCATTTCATTGGTCAGAAATTCGTACAAAATCTCGTTTTCGGGAAGCAATGAAATTTTTCCTAACAGTACTTATTCCAAAGGTCGCACATGCGCAGTGGTACAATACATTTGTTGTTTCTTCAGATCCAGGGACCCGGGTAGCAGACTGGAGGATTTTGTAACCGTTATCACAGAAAAGTCGGAAGGAAAGTGTCATAAGTCGCACCCTTTTAGGTGTGCTTTATGATATTTCATTATGGTAAGCGTGAATGCACCCAAAGTGTGCTGTCTCGGTTTGTTATGATGTGGGGTTTGCAGGCTACCACAGTGTTTACGTTTTTATGTCAGTGGACTTGCTTTATAATTAGATGTTTTAGACGAAATTTCTTGTTTCAGCTACATTTCATGTTATTTTTCTGTTTTTCTAATGACGTGTTTACAATACATTTGTACATTATTCATTGCACCAACATGGGATGCTGCCAACTATACAAAAGTGCATCAAGTTCTCATGTGGGTCAAGGTAAAGCGAAATATTACGTGCATTTGCTGGGAAATGAGAACATTTTGTCACATTATCATAACATTTTCGTTATCCTTGGTATAAATCTGTCCAGAAATGGTACAATCATGATGTTAAGAACACTTTCAATTTCATGAAACCCCCTTATCTTTGATCTTGATCTGACATAATAATTTTTTTTTGGTTGTAAAAATGTGTTCTGTATATTTCAGGACCAGAGTGACACAGGTCAGTATTTCATTTTAAGCTATAATAAAATCTTGACTAATGCTTTATATACTAGAAACTGGAAAGAGCTTGTATTTAAAATTTTTGTTTCGTATGTTCATAATTTATATATAAAATACAAAAATGCAGGTTTACAGATATAAAACAAATTCTTTTGAGCATTTTTAAGGAATTTCAAAATGATAATGTATTGTTAAAAAAATATAAAAAGTGCCTTGGTTATATGTTCTGATTAACTGCTTTTTAGACTGGGGAGGTTGGAGTAGAGATTCCATGGAAGGGGACTCTGTCTCCAGAATGGAGGATTCTAACCTCAGCATGGGGGACACAAAGGCTGATTCTGTGTATAGTGGCAGCAATATTGGGGTAAGAAGTCTATATTATTGATAAACCACAGTGTACTCTTTATATATTAACTGGAAACTTTCATGACTCCTCTAAATGTTCCAGAATGACGATGACTACAGTAATATGTACGACGAGTACAATGATTTTCACGAGGGATCAGACACTGAGGACGATGATGATGAAAATGAGCGTCCCTACACTTCAACTCCACAATCCATGCCATTTAAATTCATTAATGGAAAAGATGGAATGGGTAAATTAACCAGTAGCATTTGTGATAGATTCATAGATATAGTCTATACATGATAGTTGAAAAGCATCTTTGAAACTCTCTGATATTTAGAGTAAGATTGTTGTTTAATAATTGTAGCAACCTGTGAGAAGTGTGGTGCAGTTGGAATCAAGCATGCCTTCTACTCAAAGTCAAAGCGTTTCTGTAGCTTATCTTGCTCCAGGAGTTTTGCCACGTCCCAAAGAGAGGGAAAACAGAGCCCAACTGGGAAGGGCGATGGAGTTGTCTCTCCTTTGGTATAAAAGCCTGCTTCTATAATATGGATGTTCTATGGTCTATGTTGGAAGTTCTAAAAAGATTAAAATCACTAAATTTGGTTTTACTTTTAATTTTAGCCTCCAAAGAAACCTGCAGCTAAAAAAATTGCCAACCAAAGCCATAATCAAAGACCTGTGGACAATGTTCCAAGAACTCTGACTAAAAGAGCAGGTTATTGTTATTATTTTAGATCAATTATTTAAAAAACAAGTCAAATCACAATATTTCCTTCAGTAAATATTATGTTGTATTGGTCTTTATTACAGGTGGATTGAAGGGCTTTGACTGGGGGCCTTACCTGTCCTCTGGAGGGGCAGAGGCAGCGCCTGTCAGCTACTTCAAGCATGTAAGTTTGTCGAGAAACGATGCTTTTGTGAAGTTTTTTTTTAATATACTTGTAGTTAATCTGCTGATAGAAAAAAATTACTTTATCTCAGGAAGTGAAATAACTATTGTCACTTCTTTTTATAATGTATATATTCTTCTTCCAGTGTCCGATGTTTGATAGCTGGCACAACATTACCACAGGAATGAAACTGGAGGTTGTTAACTTTGAAAGTGATCTCTCTAGCAATGCCTTCTGGATTGCAACTGTCATTAAGATAGCAGGTATCAAAACTTTATATTTAAGATTCTTCTTTTGAAGTAAATGTACTTTGCCTTTGTTCAATAAAGAAATTGGAAGAAGTGTAATACAATGGTTTTGCCCATGTTTTTGGTGTGTTCCCAAGTGTTTTAAATGTTTTATGTGGATTTCAAGGAATTTTATGGGAAGTGTTTGTCCTTTTCAACAAAGAAGGAACCTGATTTTGAAGTAGATGCTGGAAATTGTTTTTACAATTTTATGATTTACTGTGATTTTACAAGATAATCCAAGGGCCGATATTTAAAATTAGTTTGTTAAAGATATATCCCCTCTAAATATGGCAGCTCTTTAGTAAAAAAAAAAACCCACTAAGAAACATCAATGAAGCTGAATTATTTTTTTGTTTGACAGGGTACAAGGCGTTGATGCGTTACGAGGGCTATGCCAATGATCCGTCACACGACTTCTGGATTAACCTCTGTACAGAGGAGGTACACCCGGTAGGCTGGTGTGCTACCAGTGGGAAACCCCTAGTTCCTCCTAAGTGTAAGTCATAAGATCACACAGTGAAAGCCTTCTCTCAGTATAAAACTTGGGACTTCAAGATTAAATTAATGAGAATTTTGAAATAACCCTAGAATGTAGTCTTCTCCAAGCATAAATTGACATAACTCTCAGAGGTTTGATTTCTTTGTACAGATATACAAAATAAGTATGTGGATTGGAAGGAATACCTGGTAAAGAGACTAACAGGCTCCAGAACTCTTCCTAATAATTTCTACAACAAGGTATTGTAAATCCCTATTTATTCATGAGAACTTTATTTTCACATAAAAAAGGATTACCGGTATATACAAACATACCACAGCTCAAGAAAAATGTTTGTCTCGCTAATAAAAACCAAATAGCATACTCACCAAAATAAGTATTTGCAAAAATAAAGTGCTCTACAGTATGATGTATGTTTTTTAACAAGCTTCTAAAGATTGAAGATATAAGATAAGATATCAAGGTAAACTTTCAACGCATTTTTATTTGGAAGATTATGCTATACTTTTCAAGTTGTCCCATTTGAACATCCTATATGCAGTGTAGATTATGCAAGAAATTTTTAAATGGCATCATCTGAAAAAATAGCTGAATTATTTAAAGCCCACTTTCACTATCTTTTAGGTTCACCTCTATAGTTTATGGACTTTGTTTGATGATGTCTATTATTTTTAGGTGGTTGAATCTATAAATAGCCATGGATTTAAGCATCACATGCAGGTGGAAGTGGTGGACAAGATGTGTGTGTCTGCGATGCGTGTAGCTAAAGTAGAAGAGATCATAGGGGGAAGGTTAAGACTGCAATATGCTGACACAAAGGTTGGTCTTCCCAAATAATACCATTATTACTGACATCAGATAAATATTGCAGACTCTAAAGTATGTAAAGAAATCTTTATGTAAATGGTTTGAATGGTCTTTTCAGGAGGAGGATGACTTTTGGTGTCACTGTAGGTCTTCCCTGGTTCACCCTATTGGCTGGTCCCAGCAGATGGGACACAAACTGCATGCTACAAATGGTAGGTATTATTAGTTACTTATTTTGTTGCATTTCATATCTGGAAATCTGCATATTTTTTAAATTTAATTTTGGACAATTTTTCATTTACAGTAAAACTCGTTTAATATGAACAAATTCCTGATACGGATAGAACGAATCATGGTATTAGCTAAGACTTCGTTATAACAGAGTTTTACTGTATGTTCTTTTGTATTTTAGACTACAGAAATAAGTGCTTAAATAAAATTGCTGTTGAGAAATATGATGCCAATGATGCCACTCCAAGCTTGTTTTCCAAAGTAAGTAATTTTTTGTAACCTTCCATTGGTTTTAACTCAGAGACCAGAAGAGCTTTTGCATTAATGAGATGTCCCTTGTTTGTCAGGCTTTTTCTGGAGGTAGATGACCTTGAAAGCATTTTCTGTAAAAATATCTGAAATTGTTCTCTTTTCTCCCAAAGATTTTAATCCAATTTCAATTCGTCTTAGTGTGTAGTACAGCAATTAAGAAACATTAAGTAGCCAGTCTGATCAGAAACTTCTGTTCATTCTAAAAGAGTCTATTCTTTTATTTATCCTTGAAATACCATACTTTTTTTTCTAGATGAAAGATACTCCAAATGGAATGAAATTTCAAGTTGGAACTAAGTTGGAAGCCATTGACCCACTGAACCTGTCTGCCATTTGTGTTGCCACTGTAATGAAGGTGGGCATTGTTATGTTCAACAAACATTATACATGGTGTTTTGAAAAAGATCATAATAATTTCCTGGATGGAATGTTTGTATTGTTTGTTAATTTAATGTTTGATGAAATTTTGGACCTGAAAAAAGGATTTCAATATAGCATGTTCTTTTCTCAGTCAGAGAGAAAGAAAGCAAGCTAGATAGAGCTGCATGCCTTGACTGAGTACTGAAATGAGAATATTGTTTTCATGTACAGGTGCTAAAGAATAACTACCTGATGATTGGTATAGATGGATCCATGGCAGAGAACGGATCTGATTGGTTCTGTTACCATGCCACATCACCATGTATATTTCCTGTGGGATTCTGTGAAATTAACGGCCTAGATCTTACTCCACCCAGAGGTGTGTAATCTGCTAGCTAAAAGTGTGTAAAAGTATTATTGGACAAAGAACCTCAAATTAATATTTCAAAGTAATACTTGAATTCTGAGTTTAAACTATTTAAAATCTACTTTAGGTCATAAAGGTCCTTTCAGATGGTTTGACTACCTAAAGCAAACAAAGTCTGTTGCAGCACCTGTAAAACTATTTGATAAGGTACAGTACATCTTAACAAGAATTTTTAAAACTAATAAAAAAATGAAAACACATTGGTAAGCAAATTAAATTAAAATTTATCCTCTTCAGGATATACCAAAGCATGGATTCAAGGCTGGAATGAAGATTGAGGCTGTTGATCTGATGGAGCCAAGGTATGTATAAAAATTATTACTATATTAGATTGTATGTTTATCAACCTTCCATTTTCACTTTAATTTACCTGAGAAAGTGTTTAAGATGCGGTGTTAAAAAAGTGAGTGTGCCCTATAATAATCACCTTTCTCTCATATCCATAAAAAAATTCATAAAAGTCTCAATATATTATACATTTATTCACTGGTTATGAGTGGGATAACTAAAAAAAAAAAAAAAGAGAAGAAGATAGACTTTTAGATATTTTATGATTTTGGCATTTCGTTTTTTCAAACACTAATTTTGAGACCAAAACACCCCCACTTGACTCTTCCTGAAAGTACTAAAAATAGTCATACTTTACGTATCAATGGTTGTATCATCCCCTCTGTATCACAATCTATTGATGTGTCAATGTATTTATTAACCCTTTATCCATCGTTCTGAATATGTAAATTTTAGGGATGTCAACGAGTACCCGGTTAACCGGGTACTCGATCGAACGTCCGAGTATCGAATACTAAAATCGGTACTCGGTTACTCGGATGTATATTTTTGAATATTTCTAAGCTTATTTGTTAATGCATTAAACAATATGTTTTAAAAGGTAAAATGCTCATTGCACTTGTACATCAGTAATTAGGGTTTACTACGACTCTAAATGACCGTTATCGCCTGTGGCAGTGTTTACAGTGTTTATACAGTAATTATCGTGACCAAGCACCTGGGGTACCTGGCTTTTCTCACCTTCGGCTGTCTTCTACCCTTATGTTTTGTTTGGCTTTAATTATGCCTATTAGGTCTATTATGCTTAAATAAATTAGATAATTTCGTCGGGAAAAGAGCGGATGATATTACACGTGCGATTGTTGATATGGTTGTGTTTGATTACATGCACTGTTGAAGGCAAAGGCTTTAAAAACTTATGTCCATCGTTGAAACAAACTACAAAATACCGTCCCGTAATATTATAAAATCTAGGATCGAAAAAGTGTACGATAATCGTAAATTCGCTCTGTTAGGAGAACATGATCAAGTTCAAGTTGATACTGTACGTAGCTCTGATGACTGATACCTGGTCGTCAAACGCGACAAAGAGTTACATTACAATTACGGAGCAGAATATTTTTTAGAACAAATTCACTGTGAACCATTTCTGATTTTATTTTTCGTATTTATCTGATAAATAAATTGAACTTTAAAAAATGTTATATTAAATTTCGTCGGGCACGAAATGCTAATCATTATTACAACAGAAATACATTTACGGATAAGCATCCAATCAATGCATCTGGTTTTATTTCTACAATGTTTACAATAACAGTCTCCAATTTACTTGTTCATATTTATTTACACTTTTACCGAGTACCCGGGTACTCGATCGGAAAAACGTCCGAGTAACCGAGTATTAAAAATTGACCGATTTGACATCCCTAGTAAATTTATCAGCACTCTTTCACACATATTAGACAAATGATTGTAAGAAAGGGAAAGACAAACTCAGACCACCACTAGGTCAAGATTACTGATACAAATGTTGTGCACAGTTCCTGTATGATGTTCAACAGTTTTCTATCTGTACAATCATTATTTAGCACATTCTTGAGATCAATCCTTTGTTTTAGACTGATCTGTGTGGGCACGGTCTCCCGCGTGGTTGGACGCTTGCTGAGGGTCCACTTTGATGGATGGGAGAATGAATATGACCAGTGGGTGGACTGTGAATCCCCTGACATGTACCCCGTGGGCTGGTGTGAGGTCATGGACTATGGTTTGGAGGGACCAAGGGTCAAAGGTTGTGGCATATTTTTCTAAATTAAAAAAAATTGAGAAAAAGTAAATGTAAGCTTGGTTCATGATAAAAAAAAACTGTTGTAATGACATATAAGGAAATTTTACCTGCATTCCATTTTTTCAGTGGAACAAATACCACAAGTAATGTCTTCACAAAAAATGTCAAAGGAGCAAAAGAAACGCAAAGGCAAAACCCAAATCTACAAAGGCCCAAGAAAGAGTAAGAAAACCGGTTAGCTATACATGTAGAAGTGGATTGATTCTACATTTCATATTTTGTATTTTATTTAGTCTCTTAAGAAGCATGTTGCAAGATTCCTTACTTATCTTCTAAAGTTTTAATAATCTTTAAAGCACTGGTGGCTATTAGATTTATCTATTCACACATCTTATTAGAACGTACTAATACACTTACTTGATTCCTGTACATGTTTATATATATCTATTGATCATATGCATGAAAATTCAACTTTTAAAAACTACTTAATACTAGATTAGATTACAAATTGTTAACATAAAATAGCCAAGTAGTCATTTACAGTCATGGACATCTGTCCAGACTTACTGAACAGATGATATGATTGATAATGCACTCTGAAATGTAAATTAACATTAACAGTCTAGTACATATATATTATATCAATTAAACTAGTTTACTGATGTAAATTTGTGTAATTTGAAATGTTTGACAGAGAGGAAGACTAAGTTTGGGTCACCTCTATCTGATCAGAATCAGCGATCTCTTCAGGAGAACAACAGGGACCAGGGATTTCTGTCCTACGGCAGCCGCACGCGCCCCGCCCACCACAGCATCCCCCACCTAGTCGATCCTGTCGTGTCCTCAGGCACCAAAGGTCAGCCTCAACAAAAATAATGCATTTCCTAATATTTTGAAATTTTTATTTTACAAATACTGCATGAAGTTTTATTTTGCCCCATGTTAGTTTCAGCATTTCAATTGCAAACAATTCTGCACTATTTTAAATTCGCCCCCAGTCATAGTTCTGTTGAAGAAATTGTACTGTGCTGTGTAAATTTGCTCATTTTAAAATTCACTCAACTGGTGGTAGGGCAAAAGAGAAAAAATAAAACGGGGATGAAAATTTTCATGTATACAATATACCTGTACTTGTATATGAACATTAATTATACCTCCTCAAAGAAGTTTGGAGTATATTGGAATGGCAATGTTCGTCCTCTGTAGATACTTTTGGCTAGAGATGATCTTTCATCTACTTATTATTTTTCTCAAACTTTGTAGAATTAAATCGATTCATGTATATCATTTGTTCCTTTGCCTAGTACTGTATATCCAGATTGATATTTCAAAATCAAAAATAATGTCTTAATAGGGGGGTATTTCTTATGGTGGCAGAGGATAGTTTCGGATTAAGTACTGGTCAAAAATTAGAAAAAATGGAGAAACCTAAAGTTTGAATGTATATTATAGGTAATTTTATAGCTAGAATATTTTATGGGTGCATTTGGAGGGAATTGGTGGCCTTGTATATTTTATTGAAATATCACACTTTAGTGTCACTACTACTTTATATGGGATATGGACTAGAAATACCAAACTAAGATCAAAAATCAATCTTCTGGTATTTCATCAGAAAAGCGGGGTGGGTTCATAGGATGAATTGTAGCTTGAAAACGAGGTGGTTGAGCCATTATCTCTTGCTGTTCAGTGGTGTGTACAAATGTTGTTCTGCAATTTGTGTGGTAGCTTAGGTCATTAGCACGGGCCAGGAAGCAGTTGCGGCTGTGGCGAAATAGTGAATATAGGCTTGATTTACATGAAATTTTGAGATTGTCCCAGTGCCATCATTAGGGCTCATTGTGTAAGTTGTACATGTTTTATTCCTAAAAGCATCAAATTCCTCAAAGGACAATACCATACTATTATTACATGTAGAAAGAAATTAAAATTTCCCAATGCACATTTTAAAAGCAGCTCAATAATAAGTAAACCGTCAGTCAAACGTTCTGATTACCAAAAAATCTATCCTTTGCCACCTATAAAGACACTTCTAGTTTACAGAGTACTCTGCTCTGGGAATCATTCCAGTTGAAATTTTTTATTTTAATTTTAACAAATTTTTAATCATTATAGGACCCTCAGAGATGGAAACCTCTGACACAAGTACAAATGATGGACCACCACAGCTAAGTCCTCATTCCATCACAGAAAACCAGTCAAAACCCTTGTTACAAACTGCAGTTCATTCAGATAACCAATCAAAACCATCATCACAACCATCTGTGAAACAGGAACCAATGGACACATCTGATAATCAATCCAATACCAGCCTTACAACATCACCAAATGGGAAAACAGCTCTCTCTAATCTCCTCTTGTCAAAAACTACCAATCATGTCAAAACAGTCACTCCCTCAACTTCCCAGGGTAATGAACAGATGTCATTACTTGCTGCACGTCAGTCAACCGTGTCACCTGATCAGTGGTCCATATCCGATGTCTGTTACTTCCTCAAGTCACATGACTCTGCTTTCTACTGTGAAAGCTTTGTTAAAATGGTAAATATAAGACATTTAAATGCAGGTTTTGAATCTTTCTGAGTTTTTTTTTTTGATTTGATACAAGATTAATTCTCTCTGTTACTTACCCTGTTTTTAGGGGATTGATGGGCAGAAGTTGTTATCCCTGACAAAGGAGCAGATTGCCAGCATCACAGGAATGAAGGTGGGGGCTTCCCTGAAGATCTCAGAACTGGTTCAGCAGCTCAAATCACGGTGCAGCAAAGCGTAAAGTCGGAGGAACTTCGCAATTCCTCTGCAGCAGAGTGTGTCCAGTGCAAGGCAGCTTATCCATTCAGATTTCACATTGATCTGATTTCATACTGCTTTAATTTAACCAGATGACAGAACTAGTGCAATTCCCTGTCCAATAGCCACTATTGTTACTGAATACTATAATTACTAGTTATGTTTTGTGATAGTGGATTGTGACTGTTGATTATTCATGCTTATTTCTTTTCTTTTACAGACATTTAAAAAATATTGTTTTAAGAATTTTGACATTGTTTGTGTAATCAAGAGTTTTTCAATCGAATTTCTTGTTGTGTATAATTGTTATTGTGAATGAAAAGATGCTATATTTTAGTATGCCTTTTGTAAGTGTTATATTGATGTAAAGATTAAAGAATAGAATTGATCTGAGATATGGGCATTGGTTAAGAATGGGGTACAAATTTATATATTGTACATAAATTCCCTATATACTGAGCATTAATGGATCATGGTGTCAATATAAGCACTGCCATAAAATAAATTTATCTAATAATTATTTTGACACTTTTCAATAAAAATAAGTTGTAATGATTTGCAATGAAAACACAGTGGTAACTAGGGATGGATTGGTATACTATAAATCACATTTTTTAGGTTAACTATAATTTTGCAAAATTTTACTCTGAGATAAATGTAAATTGCGGGACTAAAATTCATTTAAAGGTAAGGTCTTTAAAATTACAGAAAATATTAGGAGTTATCTTGTACAGAATCTGTTACAATATCAATACACATTTGATTATTATTGAGTTAGATTTTACATTAATTAATTGTTTGATTCATTCATTAAAAACTTAAAAGTTGAGGAATTCGTGTTATTTTGTTGTAGTTGATAAGTTTTATTTGGTAATTTTTTTATAACCTTGATAATCCTAAGTTATTCAACAAAATAACTTTTTAACTACATTGTACTTATAAAAAAAAATACATGCATTTAATAATCATCAAATACCTGAATTAATGGTCAACTTGATTCACAGTGTGATATGTAGTGATCCTTTTATCAGTGGTACATGTATTGCAAGAGAGTTCTTATGGTTTCATAACATCTCATTACCTGCAGTCCATAATTGCCATGAAAATAATCAAATATTTTGATAAATGGAAATTACAATGTACCAAATAATTGAGGAAAAAATTTAAATGAATTAATTTTTTTAAAGATTGAATGAATGAATGATACAGTTCAACAAATGTTTACATACTTAATTTGAATGGTTTGGATTCATACTTATTTGTCTTTTGAAAATTTAAGCATTATTAACTTTTCTGAACCCAAGGCCCAAAGAGTTAATGCTTTAGCCATCTATGCGGTGTGTAGTGTGTGTCAACTTCTTGGGATATAAGCCACACCGCAAATATGTCACAGAGTATCCTTTGTCCAGAGATGTGTGACCGTAAATATTCAGATATACATGTAGCCATATTACGAGATTTCAGACTTTTTGGTAAACATACTCCTAGACCCAAAAATGCCTCAACTGACAAAGTTTGATGATTTTAAGACTATTATTTGAAGTATTTATACGTTGCCTTGTGTTTCCAAAAGTAGGTCACTGTGACCTACTTTTTAGTTGACACATGGTCCAAGATGCATCAACTGAAAAAGCTGGATTATTCTTAGCTAATAAGAACCCATGATATTTTAATATAACCATAAAATTTCAGAAGTAGGACATGCTGACCTACTTTTTTGGTTGACATTCTCCAAGTACCTAAGTTACCTCAATTTATGATTCTTAGCTGATAAGGACCTAAAATACTCAGTATTTAAATAAAGCCATATAAATTAAAAAGTAGGTCATTGTGACCTACTTCAAGGTTGATGTTCTCCAAGGACCCAAGATGCATCAGCTGACAAAGTTTGATGATTCTTAACCAATTAAGACTTGAAATATTTAATTATAGCCGCAAGTATCACAGTGACTTACTTTTCAGTATACATGCTCTGAGGACCCAAGATGCATAAAATGACAAAGTTTGATGGTTGTAATGTTAGCCAAATAGTACCCATTGCCTTAAAATTTCAAAAGCAGGTCACAGTGTAAGTTAATGTACAAATTTTATGATAATCTGCCCATTGGGTCAGCAGGGGATGCTCACTCCTCCATGGCACCTGATCCCACCTCTGATGTTTCGGAGGTCCGTGTTTGCTCTGCTCTTAATTTGTATTGTTTTATGGACTTTGAGATTGAATACTGTTCGTTATCCATATCCTTCTTTTCTTAGCAACCAGTACTTTTGGTTTTATTTACCTAATTATCTTCCTTTCTTTAAGGGTAACAATCCTTGTTTTTATATAAAAGGGAGCCCTTGGGCTAAAGATACCCAGTTACTAATTTAATAATAATTGGGGCTCTTGAGTTATGGACCATATTCTAAAAATTTTACTCACACCACACAAATGGCCATAGCATTAGCTCTTTGAGCCTTTGGCTCAGAAGTGCTAATAAATACAAAAGTGCTGGTTCGCCATGTGTTTTTCATACTTGCTTCTGCTGTTGAGCCGTACTTCGTTATTCAGTAAGAATTATATAAAACTAAAAAATCTTCTCAAGGACTGCTGGGCAGATTATTACCAAATTTGCACACAAGGATGAGGATATATAGTAGCCTGTAGGTTTAAAATTCTTCAAGGCAACACCCTGGAACAAAAGGTGTGGTCTCAATGTCACTTCAAAGTAGACCAAAAATTATAACTCCAATATTTTGCTCACTTTAAGTACTAGGATCATCAAATGTTGTTGATGCATTTTAAGTATGTCAACTGAAAAGTAGCTCCATATAATCTTAAAAGCATTCCAAAGCATAAAATTCTGAAAAGTAAGTCAACATGACCTATTACTACACTTCAAGGACCAAAGATGCACCAACTAATAAATATCTAAAATACCAGCAATAAATTTTCAAAAGTAGGTCACAGTGACTTACTTTTCAGTTGACATACTGAGGACCAAAGATGCATCAACTGTCATATTTTGATGAATCAAAGCCAATTAGTAATTGAAATACATGTTTATTTGATTTCAGAAGTATATGTAGGTTACAGCGACCCACTTATAGTTTAAACTGGCAAAGTTTGACGATCATAGGCTTCAAAAGTATTCAATTATATGCCTCTAAAATAATTTGAGAATGCCTGCAAAATTCAACAAGAGGCCTACGGGCCCTATAGGTCACCTGAGTATTGTGTAACAACTTTCAAACAATTAACTGTGGTTCGTGTTTTAAACCAGAGGCCATGAAATTCACAATTTTGAAAGAGGCACCATTGTTTATCATAATTATAAACTTAGCATGCTTTCTCTATTTACATAATACCCAGAGGTAGATCAGAGTAACAAAGAGAAAATGCACTTCCACTTTCTAACCAGTTTTGCACCTCACCTAAAAAGAACCACTGACCCTGGGGCCACATACTTCAAAATTTTGCAAATTTTATCATAAAATGGTTGACTAATACCAAAGAGCAGATTTCAAAGCATTAATTTAGTTTCAGACTATGTAACACCCCCCCCCACCCCTACCCCGACCCAGGGGGGCATAAAAAAAACAATTTTGCTAGATGCACCTTTCTTCATCATAAATATATACACTTGGACCATTTTGTATATTTAATACCCAGAAGCAGAAAAGAAGATTTTCAAAGAATAAATGCATTTTCACTATATAATCAATAGAGCTCCGCCCTAACACCAGAACCCCGACCCTGGGGCCATAAAATTCACAATTTTGGAAGAGGCACTCTTGCTCATCATTGTTACTAGTATATGTACTTAGTTCGTTTTTCTGATACCCAGAAGCAGAGGATAAGATTTTCAAAGAATAAATGCATTTTCACTATATAATCAATAGAGACCCCCCCCCCCCAACACCAGAACCCCTGACCCTGGGGCCATAAAATTCACAATTTTGGAAGAGGCACTCTTGCTCATCAGAACTATATACTTAGTTTGTATATTTGATACCCAGAAGCAGAAAAGAAGATTTTCAAAGAATAAATGCATTTTCACTATATAATCAATAGAGCCCCGTCCTAACACCAGAACCCCTGACACTGGGGCCATAAAATTCACAATTTTGGAAGAGGCACTCTTGCTCATCATTGTTATGTACTTAGTTCATTTAATTGATACCCAGAAGCAGAGAAGAAGATTTTCAAAGAATAAATGCATTTTCATTATATAATCAAGAGTCCCCCCCCAACAGCAGAACCCCTGACCCTGGGGCCATAAAATTCACAATTTTTTGAAGAGGCACTCTTGCTCATCATTATGTACTTAGTTCATTTAATTGATACCCAGAAGCAGAGAAGAAGATTTTCAAAGAATAAATCATGTATTGTTTTATGGACTTTGAGATTGAATACTGTTCGTTATCCATATCCTTCTTTTCTTAGCAACCAGTACTTTTTGTTTTATTTACCTAATTATCTTCCTTTCTTTAAGGGTAACAATCCTTGTTTTTATTTAAAAGGGAGCCCTTGGGCTAAAGATACCCAGTTACTAATTTGATAATAATTGGGGCTCTTGAGTTATGGACCATATTCTAAAAATTTTACTCACACCACACAAATGACCATAGCATTAGCTCTTTGAACCTTTGGCTCAGAAGTGCTAATAAATACAAAAGTGCTGGTTCGCCATGTGTTTTTCATACTTGCTTCTGCTGATGAGCCGTACTTCGTTATTCAGTAAGAATTATATAAAACTAAAAAATTTTCTCAAGGACTGCTGGCAGATTATTACCAAATTTGCACACAAGGATGAGGATATACTGTAGGTTTAGAATTCTTCAAGGCAACACCCTGGAACAAAAGGTGTGGTCTCAACGTCACTTCAAAGTTGACCAAAAATTATAACTCCAATATTTTGCTCACTTTAAGTACTAGGATCATCAAATGTTGTTGATGCATTTTAGGTCCTCAGAATACTTGGTATGTCAACTGAAAAGTAGCTCCATATAATCTTAAAAGCATTCCAAAGCATAAAATTCTGAAAAGTAAGTCAACATGACCTATTACTACACTTCAAGGACCAAAGATGCACCAGGGGCGTAGCCAGGGTACATGTGATGTGGACGCCTGGATAGGCTGGGGGTCTGATGAATTTTCGACGATTTCGATGTGCATGCTTGACCCTTCTGACACTAGCAGTATTTTTCTTACACTTTTTCAGTTTGTTACGCAGCCACATTTAAGGTATGTTTTTTCCTTGTACAAAATGCGGACAGTCACTCAAACATGAGAAAAGATCTGTCCAAAAGCGAACCCACTAAAACAATTTTAGACTTTTGAAACTCGACAAAATACTTATGGTTAACATACGGTAGTTGGTTCGAGTGGTTGACTGGTGTAGGTCTACAGACCACGTAATCGACTGATAGTCAGGCTTACATTAATATTAAAAATACATCTCTAAAGATTGAAAATAACAAAGACATAAGAATTCTTTTCAACACATTTTCTTGCACATTACCTATGAACATTGTACACATTTTAAACTGAATGTTCATAAATATTCACAAATCTGGTATATCTTAAACTTTTTTTCAACAATTAAAAAAAACATGTAAAATATACTACTGGTTTTAAGGTAGTGTTAAGGCCTTATTATTATTTTTTAAGGTTAAACAAAATTTGACAATTTTTTTTTCGATTTTTGATGTTCATACATAAAGCTGAATTATGATTCTTGAAGTCTCGCATGAATCCGATATTAGGTTAAAATAGGGGGGATATCATTACAGAAGTTAAGCATTGCGGTTGGAAGTTAATTACCATTAATAGAAATTGAAATTTTTGGCATTAAATAAAATTATCGTTTGTTTTAAGTGAACCGACTGGAGTTTTATTGTGTGACATCTACAACAGAGAAACTTTAAGAATGTAATTACACTTAGAAAAAATATCAGCAATATTCGATAGTAAACTTTAAGAATGTATTTACACTTAGAAAAAATATCAGCAATATTCGATAGTAAACCAAAATCCGGGAAAATCTTTTGATTTCAGTGAGGTGTATAATACTTTTCCGCCTAAAACTGATTCTGTTGTTTTTCATTTATTTTTTATTTACTAATATTTTGCAAAAATGATGAGTACGCTTTACAGTATTACGCCTGTCTCCCTCTCCTCTCCTATCTTTTTTTTGGAAAATGATGTGGACGTTTTTACGTACAAACGTACGCCTGGCTACGCCCCTGTGCACCAACTAATAAATATCTAAAATACCAGCAATAAATTTTCAAAAGTAGGTCACAGTGACTTACTTTTCAGTTGACATACTGAGGACCAAAGATGCATCAACTGTCATATTTTGATGAATCAAAGCCAATTAGTAATTGAAATACATGTTTATTTGATTTCAGAAGTATATGTAGGTTACAGCGACCCACTTATAGTTTAAACTGGCAAAGTTTGACGATCATAGGCTTCAAAAGTATTCAATTATATGCCTCTAAAATAATTTGAGAATGCCTGCAAAATTCAACAAGAGGCCTACGGGCCCTATAGGTCACCTGAGTATTGTGTAACAACTTTCAAACAATTAACTGTGGTTCGTGTTTTAAACCAGAGGCCATGAAATTCACAATTTTGAAAGAGGCACCATTGTTTATCATAATTATAAACTTAGCATGCTTTCTCTATTTACATAATACCCAGAGGTAGATCAGAGTAACAAAGAGAAAATGCACTTCCACTTTCTAACCAGTTTTGCACCTCACCTAAAAAGAACCACTGACCCTGGGGCCACATACTTCAAAATTTTGCAAATTTTATCATAAAATGGTTGACTAATACCAAAGAGCAGATTTCAAAGCATTAATTTAGTTTCAGACTATGTAACACCCCCCCCCCCACCCCCACCCCGACCCAGGGGGGCATAAAAAAAACAATTTTGCTAGATGCACCTTTCTTCATCATAAATATATACACTTGGACCATTTTGTATATTTAATACCCAGAAGCAGAAAAGAAGATTTTCAAAGAATAAATGCATTTTCACTATATAATCAATAGAGCTCCGCCCTAACACCAGAACCCCTGACCCTGGGGCCATAAAATTCACAATTTTGGAAGAGGCACTCTTGCTCATCATTGTTACTAGTATATGTACTTAGTTCGTTTATCTGATACCCAGAAGCAGAGGATAAGATTTTCAAAGAATATATGCATTTTCACTATATAATCAAGAGAGCCCCCCCAACACCAGAACCCCCGACCCTGGGGCCATAAAATTCACAATTTTGGAAGAGGCACTCTTGCTCATCAGAACTATATACTTAGTTTGTATATTTGATACCCAGAAGCAGAAAAGAAGATTTTCAAAGAATAAATGCATTTTCACTATATAATCAATAGAGCCCCGTCCTAACACCAGAACCCCTGACACTGGGGCCATAAAATTCACAATTTTGGAAGAGGCACTCTTGCTCATCATTGTTATGTACTTAGTTCATTTAATTGATACCCAGAAGCAGAGAAGATTTTCAAAGAATAAATTCATTTTCATGCCATTTTCAAGAGAGCCCCCCCCAACACCAGAACCCCTGACCCTGGGGCCATAAAATTCACAAGTTTGGAAGAGGCACTCTTGCTCATCAGAACTATATACTTAGTTTGTATATTTGATACCCAGAAGCAGAAAAGAAGATTTTCAAAGAATAAATGCATTTTCACTATATAATCAATAGAGCCCCGTCCTAACACCAGAACCCCTGACACTGGGGCCATAAAATTCACAATTTCGGAAGAGGCACTCTTGCTCATCATTGTTATGTACTTAGTTCATTTAATTGATACCCAGAAGCAGAGAAGAAGATTTTCAAAGAATAAATTCATTTTCACTATATAATCAATAGAGTCCCCCCCCCAACACCAGAACCCCTGACCCTGGGGCCATAAAATTCACAATTTTGGAAGAGGCACTCTTGCTCATGAGTTACTCAGGTGACCTAAAAAGTGGGTCAATTTACCTACTTTTTAAAAAAAAATGTTTTAAGGCCATAAGATGTGTTAAAATTTCTAGGTTTCTAAACCTCACAGTATCTGAAATATTAAATGAACATCAATTTTATTTATGCCCCAGTAATTGAAAATTCAGGGGTACATGTACTTAGTTTTTGTCCTGTCTCTGTCTGCAAAAACTTTAACCTTCGCTATAACTTTTGAGTGGGTGGGGTTATGGCTTTCATATTTCACAGATGTATTCCTCATAACAAGACCTTTCCTCGGCTACCATCATATCTGACCCAATGAACTTGGGGTTTGACCTCGTGAAACAAAAATTTCTTGAAATTTAACCTGGACAACAATTTCTGAATAGATGGTGCAAGGGGTTTCATATTTAACATGTGTATTCACTGTGACAAGACCTTTCATTGGGTGAAAAAATATTTGACCTTAGAGTTTGTCTCACTTAAAAAAAAAAAATTAAAAATTGACCATAACTTTTCAAATTGTTAGTACTAGTTAGCCTGTTTTGTGTGGAGATTTTCAGACATTTTTAAAGCCTCATGAGCTTAACTTCGAATAGATCCAAGAAAATTTCAGAAAAAAAAATCATGTATTGATAATAAATATGCCAACAATTCAATTTCAAAATGATAATTTTTTCCCTACCATGGAGTCTACATCCAGGGGCCAAATATGTCAAAATTTTAGTTGAGGGGTCCTCATGATAATCATGTAGACAAAACTGACAGCCTGATTGCACGATCTTCAGTGGCTTTGGCCACAACCCTCATTTCTTGAGACAGGGATATCATATATGTTACTTTTTCCTCATACATGTTACTCTTGTCAAAATTGGTTGAAAACAATTTCGTGTGATGTTCCACAGCTAGAAATGTTCCAGGACTGATTTACTTGGCATAAAAATCCTGTGGTTATTCAAGTACACTCGAACATATTGTACAGTCAACAGTCCTTAACAACATGATCCAATTTCACTTAAACTGGAAGGACTCTTAGCAAACTTTTTATATATGTACATGTATAAAACATTATGTACCCTTTTCAGATGAATCACACCAATAGATAAGAACAGGATAAATTCCCCAACAAGGCCAAAAATTATGAAAACTTGTAAATCAAAAACATGAAAGCCTTTAAAAACTTGTATACTTTTACTGACAAATGTGAGAAATGAATTACACTGTTTTTTTACAACATATTGCAAACAATCATGTTAATGAATAAAATAACAACCATCACATCGACTGCTCTCTGATTTTGTCTCCGTTTCTGGCCCCTGTGTTTCTATAATGTTCAGAGATATTCTTATAACACTCTTAAAATTCATAGTCAGACAGGACTCGGGAAATATTTCAATAGCTTTACTAAAGTACAAGAGTTAAAACATAGACACCAGATATATACTATAGGAAAACAAGCATTAAAACATTAAAATCACTCACTGGGAACATTGGGATAGATGATCTTTGTCAAAACAGAATTAAGATACAAAATCTTGATTAATAAGACTAGATGGGCAATTCAACTTGATTCAGAGTTTAGTAGTAGATGGGTTTCAATGTTCTAAATAATAATGAGGTAAACATAAATTCACATAATACAAGCATTGGACAGTCACTCCGAAGTTCCCAAGGAGCCCATCAAATTTAGTATAATAATCAAGTCTCTATAGTTTTTATCAGTATGTTGTTTTTTTTAACCAAAATGTCTATAAACTATATACAGAACATAAAAACAAATCAAGCTGGCCACACTGAGAGTGGACATTCCATGATTGCTGGAGGTGCTTTCTTTGCAGTAGCCATCAGTCACACTGGTGCCAATGAAGAACATGATGAATTATAAACAAGATGAGATGAAATATGAAGATCAGGCACCATCATTTTTTTTGTCTCCACTTTTCTTTAATCACTCACACTACATTGTTTGTTTTGTGTTTATCTCACAATAAGCCTCCCGTTTGCTGTTGGAATACATCTATACTGTCGCCATCTTCCATATCCAACTGAAATTGTAAAAGGAAAGATATTAAATTGTTTACAAAATTTCTTTTTATCATTTAGAAAAGCATGCAATCCATTGCATGTTAAGGTTTTGTTTCATAATAGTATAAAATTTTGCATTGCAAAATTAATTCAGTATGCCGAAATTGTTTACTAATTGTAAATTCATTCTGAATGCTAAAATGAACAATGCAATCAAATATACACAACTACATTATAAAAAATCCAAGTACTTACCCCTGAAGGTGTGTCTGTTTCATTTATGGGATTTCCATCAAACCTAAACCTCACAACACCAAGTTTTAACCCCTACAATTGAATGATGAAACCAATTTTAAATCTATCAAGTTTATTTTTAACAAACAGCAATTAAAAACTGAAGAAACAATATTCTATAGTACGATATAGCTATCCTTTTCTGTTCTTTTTTCCTTTGAATTGATTCTGTTGTGAACAAAATATATTCAGTAGTCCTATTGGCACAGTCCTACATAATAAAATGAAAGAAAAAGTGAGCTAGCTCACATACCCCACGCTCCCCAAAAACTTGACTGTGAAACACATAATGAAAGGCACAGCTAGTGCACTTTAAATACATAGTATAGATCAAAAACGGCAATAATTGCAAAAAAATCTTCACATCAAAATGTCTTGCATATGAGGACATTTAAATGTGGAATGAAGTTTCTAGATAAATAATGGAATCAAAATTTCTTGGCATTATACAAATCCAAACATTAATTTGAAGTGGTTGGGGGTGAGGGGGGGGGGGGGGAGAAATTTTCTTGAATAATAGGCAAAACTCTTTGGGATAAAATAATGGAATATGTCCTAAATATCTGCATAGGTTGACGAAACTATGTACAACAGTTTAAGAGGAGTAGTGCTGACAAACTGTTCATCTGTATATTCAAAATATGGCCAAAAAGTCTAAGTTGGAAAGTGTGGAAATTCCCGGAAAAATAAAGGAATCGGAATTTCCTGGTAATATGCACATCTACATATTGTGTCCTAAATATCTGCAAAGTTTAACGAAATCTGTGCAGCGGTTTATGAAGAGTTGCGCTGACAAACTGTTCATCTTTATATTCAAGGTATGGCCAAATGCCTAAGTTAAAAAGTGCGGAAATTCCTGGAAAAAATAATGGAATCGGAATTTCCTGGTAATATGCACATCTACACATTGTGTTTTAAATATCTGCAAAGTTTGACGAAATTCTGTGCAGCGGTTTATGAGGAGTTGCGCTGACAAACTGTTCATCTCTATATTCAAGGTATGGCCAAATGCCTAAGTTAAAAAGTGCGGAAATTCCCGGAAAAAATAATGGAATCGGAATTTCCTGGTAATATGCACATCTACACAATGTGTCCTAAATACCTGCAAAGTTTGACGAAATTCTGTGCAGCGGTTTATGAGGAGTTGCGCTGACAAAAAAAAGAGGACTGACTGACTGACTGACTGACTGACGGACTGACTGATGGACGGGTCAAAAACATTATACCTCCCGCAACTAGTTGTGTGGGGTATAATTATTAGTGAGCAGTTGCAACATTACAAAGACCAATAACTTAAGGATTTCCATCCCTAATTGGACCAAATTCTCTACCATTAAATGGCTGTCTAGTACATAACACTCTGATATTAAATTAAAGCATTTAAAAGTAGAAAAGGATTGACCCTGAAAAAGTTTCAGAAATTTCACTAATTAAGCATTAATTAATTAACAAAGATTGCATTGAAGTCTATAGGAAAAAGCGTTTTTTGAAAATAAAAATTCAAATAAGAATTTCATTAAATACTGCAGTGGAAAGATGTATTTAAACATTTAGCCATAGAATGACAATTTTAAATAATTTTTTGCTCGTATAAGTTTTTTTTTTAATTGATTTTTTTATTACATGTAATTAAAAACAAGGGGGAACTCTTACCAAAATTTAAGGTCATAAATTAGGACACATACCACCCTTAATGCGAATAGTAATAAATGGGATTTGTGTCTAAATATACAGAGTATTCAACACCTACACATTTTTTATGCATTCAATTTCATTGAATATGTTGCTATTCGGGATTGAATACCATAAATTGTAAAATTAATCAATCAATGATTCAGTTAAATTACTATCATAAAACTACTGTGTACTTAAAAGTGGGCTCTGGGATTCATCGTTGGCGCAGACATTGATACCCAAATTTTAATGTGCCAATTTTTGTACAATACATGTACCATTATATTTCTTAAGTCTTTTTGAAAATATTAAATCAATGTTAGAGAGAAAGTTATTTGCCAAATTATATGTTAATCTTAAGTTCTTTGGTAAAATGGGGGCCAAAAAACCTGAAGATGTAAAACTCACAGCTCTGTCACAGTATGCAGACATCAACTTCCTCAAAGGCGTGTTCTTCTTTATCTTAAAATGTACTACACTGCCATCCTGGCCTGTGACTTTCAAGTTAATGTGTTCACTGCTTTCTGGCTTGATCTCGTCCTATAATTTTAAAAAAAATGAAATTGATATTACATGCAATTTATTTGTAGCTCTTTTTTTAAGGAGGCTGGGGAGGGGGGGGGGGGGGGTCATAGATTAACCACAAACTAACCACCAGATTAAACTTATTTTTTTTAGATACGGTATCCTAAGCTGTCAACTATCATTTGGCAAAGAAAAAATTCATATATTTTAGTCTAAAATTTGATCATTTTTGTATATCTTTATATGGAGCTCTTCTTTTAAAGGAGATTGAAATAGTCTGAAAATGGCTGCCACCCCCAGCCTCTTTAATGTAAGAATGCTACATCATGAAATGTCGATACTTTTATAGGTTTTTGAATCTTCACAAATTTTCAAACTTATTTTATCTTAGAGCATTGCAGCTGTTTGCAAGTAACATTTCAATTCTCATTGGTAATATGGGCTACCAGCTTAACTAGTTTTACAAGCCTACATTCATTTTTGGTGTCCAAATAAAGTTTCAGTCCACTTGGTAGAAAAAATTCATCTTTTTGCATCAAAATTTCTGATTAAACTATGATTTTATTTTTCATCTTTCCGAGGATTTTGATACCCAATGTATGAAAATTATTATTTTTTAAATTTTAGTCCTCAGTCACAATATTGTAACAAGAAAAGGTTCCATAAACACAAGTGTTTTCCTTTTATTTCAAAGTAAAGGGTTCGAGATCAGTTGTAAAAGTCTAGGGTATGAGGTTTATGAACAAAATCTCTGTGGACCTTACAACAAATTGTTATTTCAAAGCGGCATTTTTGTCAATTGAAGCGGTCAATTTGGCTGGTTGCCGGTTCTTAGGGAAAACACTGAACATTTTTTGGTAGGAATACAAAAGTGGGTTTTTTGTAGAAGATTCAAATCAAGGGTGGTTTCCGAATAATTTTCGAATAAAAATTTAGGTGTGCCCACAGACAAAATTACTAGGGCTGCCACAAATCAGAAAATTTTCGAATCGATTCGGTTCAAACAAAAACCTCGATTTTCGAATAATTTCGGTTCGAAATAGATCTTTTTTTTTTATTTTTTTGTATAAAATCTGTAATCTTTGATCATCATAATCATATGACATTCTTTAATAAATAATGATTAATACTTTTATAAGGTTTATTTAGATAAAATGGAATGTAAAGCCAAGAAAACAAAGAAAATACCTAATGTTCTAATTACAAAGTATGACTCAAGAATCAAATGTCGGAAATTCAAATTAACAAAAATGCTGGTCATTGGTTTTAAAAGATGACACATGCAAACAAATCTTTCAAACAAAACCAATGATTTCTATATTAATTAGGCCATATAAAATTAATCTTTAGATTCTCATCCCCGCCCGTCCCTCTCAAAATGTCCCGCCCCGATGTTTTTTATTTTGATTTTTGGGTATTTTCATGTATTTTTATTCAGTAAGAATTTGGTTCAAAGTTTAAGAGTTATCTCCCGTCTGTATTAAAAGTCGCGTGTCGCTATTAATAGCAAAAACGCCATGTGAAGAATGGAGAAAAATCGGCAATAAAAGAAGTTTAAATGTGTAAGGAAAAGATAATTTGTCAGTATAGAGAAGGCAGAGAAGAAAAAATAGCATAAACACATATAGATACCATCACTGGCAGGAGCGAGTATGTAGAGAGATTGTAACTAAGTAAAAATAGACGAGTAAAATGACACCTGGTCAAGTTATATATAACGATCTCCAGCTGTGTGACTTTGCTTTGAAATAAACAAAATCTACAACATCGTAGACAGACTTATGAGAAGGCCTAGATTTTTCAGTAGAATAATTATTAGAACATTTATATAGATTTTGCAAAATAAAAAGTCACGCATCCCTACCTCATTTTGTTCAGGGTGTGCCGTATAATGTGTACTTGATAACTTGTTAATTAACAATAAATATTTAATTTTTAAAGCAAAAATTTTCTTAAAATATTTAAAAGAATATGAAAAGAATTAAATCTACCGTATAATCCCTATTAACCGCCCGGGGCGCTTAGAAATTTGCAAAAAGAGGGCGGTTATTTTGGTGTTTTCTTTATCATATTTAATGACATATTTTAACTTCAAAAAATTGTTTGAAAATAAAAATAAATACAAGAAAAAACAAAGATAATGTCTAACTTTACTTACAGTGAAGATAAACCACCCAAATTATGCTAAATTGTTCATTTTCCACTGAGAAATTGGATGATAGACAAATTTCATTCTCACTTTCTTCATTTTTTTTTTAAAACGATTCCAGTTGATTTTAATCACTTACAGGGGGCCCTTATTTCCTGACAATTGAAAAAGACCTAAGGGGGCGCTTATAGGGGTAGGGGCGGTAAATAGGGATTATACGGTATTCATATTTGCATTAAGGTAATGAAAAAAAAATGTGTACGTGGCGTCCATTGTTTTGTTGATACTTAGGCCTATATATAAATTAACAAATATAAAAAATAAAAAATAAAATCCGCCCACCCGCCCCAATTTTTTAGCAAATTAGGATGAGAATCTAAAGACTAATTTTACCTGGCCTTATTATGCTAAACATAAAAGTATTGGTATTTTGCTCACAAAGGCTGTTTGGCCACAATAGAAATGGTAAGATCCCTGCTGTGAATTAAATTTTTGATTCACCAATACGATATCAAAACACCTAACCACATAACTGTCATAACAAGAATGTCAATAATTATTTCACATTCAAAACGATCTCAATATTAATAAAGAGAAACACGGAAATTTGCAGCACTGTGTTCCTCTAAATTCAGAACTACGTGGCTGATGGGTGTTGCCTTTTAGTAAATCTATTTATCCTCTGTACCATCTTTGTGTCGAAAATGGAAGGTGGAAGTAGTCTACTGTCGACTTCTTCATGCCCATTTTCATGTTTTTGTTTACTTTAACATGATTTGCCATCATTTCTTCCGATTAACCATTCGGAATGCGCGTAACAACAGCAAATGTTAGTATGAAAAAATCAAACCTGAATAGAATCGAAATCCCGGCAAAACGTATCTCAGTTAAGCAATATTTCAGTTAATCGTGGCAGCCCTAAAAATTACTTACATTGTTATCCGAGTTCAACAGTGACTTTTTGCAATTATGATGCAGAGATATCACAAATCAAGTGTGAAATGAAAACTTCCATGGCACAAATTTGTAAAGAGGGCATAGAAATTGATTAAAATTTTGCTAATATGTTCATAATGTATCAGGTAACCTTGGTGGGTTAGAAAATTGGCATTTTGCTTGCTCAAAGGTAAGAAAATAATTTTTGAGAAACTTATTTTGGTTGACACAAATTTCAATGGCATTGTAAAAGAAAAAACTTCATCTTCTACATGAGTTCTCAGAATGTGAATCTTTGTGTTATACTGAGTTTGATTAAAACCTAGACAATAACAGCTGAGAGATAAATTCTTAAACAACATACAGATATTTGTTTAGTACTTATGCACAAGGATGTGTATTTAACAGTTTTAAAATTTTGGCAGACTATTTCAAACAGCTAAAATAAGAAAAAATTAGCACCCTACTCAAATTTCCCACTGTACAGTATTCAGGGTTCGACACTAACGGTAGCCCGCTGGCCCGGGACAACTGAATATTGAGGTTGGGCTAACAAACATACTTGCCAACCTCTGACATGTAAAAATCTGGTCATGACCAGATTTGGAAAGTAAAAAATCTGGTCATAGCGCGTAACGACATTCACCATGATTAAATTATATTATATATATATAATTATTATGTATAATATACAAGTATTAGTGTATTGAGTATTCTTTTATTTAAAAAAGGCTTTAATTTACAAGTACAAAGACAAAAAATGAATAACTTCAATTTTGATTAAATTTAGATGTTAAAAAAGAGCATTGAAGGTTTTATTATTCAGTACTGACCTGAAATAAGTGTACTTTTTGTTAAAGAAAGCCTTTTCAGCTTAAATTGTGATAAATTTGAAAATATACTCGTTTTGGTTTTGAAGTTATTTTTGTCTCTCTTAATGGATTTAATTAACACGTGCAATATGTATTTGATGTACAGGTAGGCCTAACAATCTTTGATCACTTGAATTTATTGTACAACAATGTTGTATGACAGTTGTTTTCCAACATTCCTAAATACATATTCTTTGCGTTTTTCTTGGTTCAATTTGTTCCTGCTGGCCCTGATAACGATCTACTTCTATCGGAAGCCATTTTAAATTGACTTCAAACTTTGATTTGTCTTAACAACTCTCAGTTAATTGTTTACACCTGCACTCATAATTTCCAGGGTAATTAACTGGTAAACGGCCTAATGAGCATAGCCATCGGCATTGTTTACGTAGATCCAAGCTTGGGTTGTAACTGGAAGTTAAAAGTGCAATCTAATTTACGAACCAAATCCGGAAATCGGGAGATTTTCGGGTTGATCGGCAAAAATCGGGTGAAAAGCATGACCCGCCGGGTGATAAAAAATAATCGGGTTAAGGGTCGAAAAATCGGGTGTAACCCGACGAAATCGGGTCAGTTGGCAACTATGCTAACAAACATGCCTTTAAACTTGCCCTGCAGGGCTACTAAGAATTTTACTAAATACTCACTCAGAGCAACAAAAATAATTATCAATTACACACAATGTATCTAATAATTATTAAATCTATTTTCAAACGTTTATAATTATTTTTTTTGTATGTCAAAATTGTAAAATTTAAAGGTGATTCGAAATACCCTAAATGATTATATATGTGGACTTTTTCGAATAGAAGAATGTCTAAGGTACAGTCATAGAGTGGCATATAATTTCTACCCAAAATACAGCCAGAATGCAGGATTTGGCATCTCTATTTTTAAAATTTTCCGGGGGAGGCCCCCCGTACCCCCACCAGCAGGAGGGGGAAACCCCCTCCCGCACCTACCCCCCTCGTCGCTTCGCGACTCGGCAAAGACAACTAATACATGAACAGGGCTAGTAGAAATTCAAAATGGTTAGCCCTGCTGACAACTATGGTGTAAAAATTAAGTGTCGATCCCTGGTATTCAACAATTAGTTAGTCATTTTGTCTAGAGCATCTGAAGAAAAGAAAATTTTATGCAAATCATAAATCATTGGAATTGGGCTAAAAAAGAAGACCTTTCAAGAAGTTTTTTTCCCATAAAATATTTTACTTTTTTTTCATGGAAATTCTAGTTAAACAAAAAAGGCCAAACTGTAGAGTAACATTTAACCATCTCGCGATTTATTAGTATAAGAAAACACACTTTAAACATACTTTAAACTACGCATGTATACAAGTAATTAACAGAACTTTTTTGCTTGTACATGAACACGCAACTAGGGGTACTGAAAGGCAGTGAAAGCCCCCCCCCCCCCCCCCTCCTTTCCTTTCACCCATCTTCCTCAAGAATATAACCCGTTTACTGATATTTGAACTTAACCCATTTTGTTTTACATTTTTTCTGTAAATAAACTAAACAAATTCAATAAGTTTTTCGTTTAGGGCAGTTTAAGGTCAATACGCGTGGCTTTGGATCACATGGAAAAATGAAAACAGCATTGTTCAAATCACAACGCGGGAAGGAGTGTCGTGCGATGGTCCCCGGGAATGTACATCGACTAATAAACAAACATAAATTCCTCGCAAAGGTACCTTTTTCTCTTCCGACATTTTCTCAAGTTTTTCTTTGAAAACAAACAAAAGCACTGGGTCTTTGTATCTGCTTGCCTGTCTATCGGCTTGGCTGAAAAAATTAAAATGGCGCACAAAGGAAATACCCAACTAAAATATCGCTATGTAAAACGGTTTTTCATTGGATGACAATTTTTGACCTTCAAATGACCTTGAAATAAAGAAATGCTAATCAAGTGATTTTTTGTCCATGCCTTTATTCTTGAATCGCTTAAAACATTCATAAAATTGTCCTTACAACTCTTTATTGAATGCATATTGATGAATTCATCCTTTTCATACAGTGTAATATGGAATATCAAAGAACTGAATATTATTATGTATTTTCCACCAAACTTGGAAAGGTGGTATAATCTAAATTTATCATCCAATGAAAACACCCATATGATTTGGAGTTTTAAGAAAGTTGTATTCAAGCTACATTTCATATCTTGTTTACAGACATTGCTCAAATAGATATATTCTCTCTCCAGTGGCTGCACCCGTGGATTTTTTCTTTTACTTAATTTTTGTAATCAATGAGTTTGATTAAAATTTACGACCAAAAGTATGAAAAAAATCCTTTCACTTTTGATATCTGTCCCGGCCTTTCCTTGCATAGCCCTAAATATTCAACAAACCTAATTTATTAGTATATTCAGGGACCTAGTATATATAGGTCCCGGGTATATTTAGCCCTAAGTAATTTGCACAAAAAAGTGACAAGACATCATAAAGTATATTAGATCTACAGGTCGATGAAAAATTACTGTTTAGTTCTCTTCAGAATTCTACACATGAGAGACTACTTTAGGATAAATATTGGCATATATTGGCATATACATGTAGCTGCTCGGAAGAAGAAATCATATTTAGAGTTTAAATGATATGTGTTATAAGTGTTATTTGAATTGAAAGCTTATTATGAGCTGCATTTTTAATCATGTTAATTTTTTGCTCAAATGCCGGGGCTTTTAGGATAAAGCTGTTTTTAATTTAAACCTTTATTATCAATTAAACAAAAACAAAGATTTATTTTTTTCAAAAGCAAGATTTCTGAATATTGTAATGTAGTCTAAGCCGGTTATAAATAGAATATTATTAGATAATGCAATATTGCACAGTGATGGTGAAGTATAATGTAATTCTACTTCAATCAAAGCTTATAAATAGATCACAAATATGAAGTAAAAAAGTTTATGATTTTTTTTTCTGTCAACGAAATAGTTATAATTACACAATTAATTGTGGCAGATTTCTCAGACTTCAACTAGTTGTTAAATCATGAGCCACTCAGACCCTTTGCCATGAAAGATACATATCTTACCTTTGGTAAAATTCAGTGGTAAGGGAAGATCTTCTGCATCCACAGCAGTTAGCAAATTTTGCTTGGAGACTAAGGCAGATATTAACTCAAATGGTGACAAGTGCCACATTCTTTCCCCATACTTTTTGTAGCTTTTTTAAAGACAATATATGTGAAAGTTTTGCTTTACAAAAATAAATGTGTTTTGAAGTTGATTTAGTGACAAATAACACACTTTAATCTTGAAAAAATTTTTAAGATGGCCTGCATTTGACATTTCCGGATTTTTTTTTTAAATTTTCAACTTTTCATTTTTGACATGTTTTAATTTTAATCACCAGCATTTAACATATACATTCATTCCTTTTTATATAATTCAAATAAAGCATTATTGATTTATTGCAGTATTAAAACATACACTAATGGCCAGGTTATAGAAGATTTGGCTTCTAACAAATTTTTACATCCACCCCACCTCCAGGAAATAGAATCCTTCAAAGTAGAAAATTAAGGAATATCACACAGTAAAGGTTAAATTACCTATACGCCATAGTGAACGATTTCTAATGCATGACCAGGAAACCATATTCAAACAAAATAAATAAACATGCACTTACCCGTTTAAAGAACTGAATAACTTCTTATAATAAGAAATGGCTTTTTCATTGTTTTCCCTAGTTAAATAAAACAACTTATTATAATGAAAGAAAAAAAACATAAATGACCAAATGAATGGTAACTGACTGCTAACAAAGAAATGAAAAAAATTATATTGTCGAAAATAAAAAATCATTTGTGTTTATTATTTAAAAAAATAATTAAAATTTCTAAATCAAAAAGCCCGACCTGAATAACCTACTGGTCATTCAAACTAGCCATTTAAAAAAAAGAAGGGATGTAGGTAGGGGCAGGTGCCCACTCAAAGGATTCCTGAGCCAAAACACCTGAAATAAATATACAAATATAGATCATTTTAGTAAATACCTTGTACAACATTAATTATAATTTAACAAAATTTCCATCAAATTTAAAGACCAAAATATCTCACATTTTCAAGTTTAGACTAATTTAAAGTTCATCAATTGATCATTATAATTACTGCGAAATCACTCATTTTCATGAGGGTTTAATTGGGCATGGAGAAACCCACGAAATTATGACCACCACGAAATTTCATATACTATAATCCTAAAATTACTAAACATTCACCTTTGACCCACAAAATCAAATCCCCACAAACCAATATTTTCCCCAAAACATGGAAAATTTGACCCCTCAAAAATATGTGATTTTACAGTACTTATTATGCATAAAGTTCAGGGTTCAAAGAAAAATTCCCAGTAAAAAATCTGTGGATTGCTGTTAATCTTATCATGCACTCCATTATATTAATTACCAATCTAATTAATTTACATTATTTTGACAAGAAAACATCCCATAAAGGGTTTTTAAGGTATATTTCGGGGCGGGGGGGGGGGGGGGGGGGGGATTCGCTTCAACAATATTACGATGATTTTGCAGTTACGATTTGATTTTTAAAAATTGACCTCTGAATGACCCTTAATGGAACACGTTGTTAAATGTGGGGTATGTAGCACATGTGATTATATTCAGATCTTATGATTTTTTTAGATAAAATGTGAAGATGACTATTACACTTTTCAACAGCTACATGCCTTGAAAAGGAAACAATATGCAATACAAGGAATTTGGCGAGAGACATACTTGACATACCTATAATAGGTCTATTATTGATTGGATGACCATTCAATGACACACTTAATTGTAAAAGAATAGACAACGAGATTATGAACATTCTTCCTCCTAAATTGAAAGGTCAATCCATATAAGATATCCAACAAGCCCTACAAAGAAAAAAAAGTTTATAATGCATTTTAGCTTCATGTTAATAGTTGGTATATCTCTATCTATATTTTCAACTGTCATTGTTGAGATAAAACTAGAAATAGAATTATATATAAAATTTTGTAGAGAACCATTTACTCATCTGTTGACAAAAGTGAAAACTGTGCACTGGGCCTTTTTGCTGTATATGACAGAGCTTGTAGACTTAGACTGTCAATCATTGAATAAAAATAATTATAGTTTTTCACCTGCAAGTGTTAGCGTCTTAATACCAGTGAAAAATTCTACTGGGATATGTTACACAAACATGCAAACATATCATTAAATGAGTGGCGGTCAGCCGGGTTCGATCGCCGGTGGCCAGATAGATCAGTTGGTAGAGCACCTGACCGGAGCTTCAGGGGGCCCGGGTTCAAATCCCTGTCCGGTCCGCTGAATTTTCTCCTCTCCCGTTACATTTGGTGCCCTGGAACTAACAGGTGAGAGGCCTGCCAGGGATGAACCTGGGTTGGGGTCTTTGTGGGGCCAAAGACCTTTAAGGAGGGAGGAATGTATGGTCGGTCATTTTAAAAGTTATCGCCTGGCCAGATAGCTCAGTTGGTAGAGCACCTGACTGGAGTTTCAGGGGGCCCGGGTTCAAATCCCGGTCTGGTCCGCTGCATTTTCTCCTCTCCCGTTACATACTCATAAGGCATAAACCCAAAGTTTTAGTTTCTTTTTTTCATTTCTCTCTCTCTCTCTCTCTCTCTCTCTCTATTTTTTTTTTTTTTTTGGCAACCACCATAAACATGAGATCTTTCTTATTTCGTACTTTTCTCAGCCGAACGAAGAGTTTTAAAATCTAGAATGGATCTAAGTCAAGTAAGCGCTTATCAACATATAACACCTTTGCAAACATTTAGATGATTATAAATAAACACATGTGCAAAAAAAAAAAAACGCAAAATGTCGGTTCAAATGTCATAATTCAATATTTTTTTTTTATTGAAAGCAGTGTGACAGATGCAAAGAACTTTTACTGCAAGGAAATCTGAATCAAATTTTGGTTAATGGTATTTACCTCTATCTCTACAAATATTTCAACTCAAACTTGTTTCAACTCAAACTGTTAAATTTTAAAAAGGAATCTGGGATTGGGAATATTGGAGAGTGCCGAACCCTGACCAGTGCTGATAGCTAACCTATAAAGTGATTTTTGTTCATTCACTTTGCTAAGCTTTGTGGAGAGAAAAGTATTTTACAAAAATTCCCTATAATGACCTATAATGCTATATATACATATGTACTGTACTGCATGGCTACATAGTGTCAAAAGAGGTCATACCTGAATCACCAGTTAAACAAGAAAAAATAACTTTAAAAAATTGCATGCAATAGAAACTAAAGTGCTGTACTGATTCAATCACCACATTTTTTGTCATACAAATTACTGCATTTCTGGCCACAGGGGCTTTTCTACACTGAAATATTAAGTCTTTTTTAATGGGAGACATTGTGACAAATGTCCACATGACTTAAAAGACACAATTTAACAGCGACATACACAAGTGATGATATATACATGTTAAACGTTGTTAAAATCAACAGTTCTTATTCTAATTTCTAAAATTGTTTTTTAAACATTTAATTTTAGAAATTATTTTTAATAAATTTTTAAGAAGATTCTTGCCATCATTTCCGATGATTGTGCATTTACACAGGCTCACATATTTGTTTCTACCAGAGAACTTGAGTGACTGGAGAAGTGAAATGTCATAGCATCGTAGTGTTAGAATTGTTTTTGCAGCGAGATCAAGTACACACACCAATGATGATTTATTAAACAGACAAAATGTATCAGTTTCTGAAGCAGATTTTTATAATTAATGTTTTTTCGTATTTAGTAGCAGAGCTTCTCTCTATTTAGATAATTTTGAATGTTTATATTTTCGTGTGACGTAACAATTGATTTCCCGCACTCGGAAAATACAAACGTGAAGCGTTTTTTTTTTCATGCTTACGTCTAATTCAACAATGTCCTGTGCGATATTGAGGTAAGCTTCACCCTTTGATATTTATGCAGTAAATAATTACGACGAAGGACTGACATCCAATCATAAATTTGGAAATATTTATTGACAGAATTTTTTTCCAAATGAGGTTTTTGCCGTTGAAGCTGCCTTGAAAAATGCAGAAATTATCCCACCCAAATACTATATAAAATTAAAACAATTGCTTTCAGATAATTTAAACACTATGAATATTCTGAAATATTTGAGTATATAGTGTTATCTATCATATTTATTTGTGCTTAAAAATTCGCATTATGGACTCCGTTATGGGCCCGTAAACATGAAGTATCTAAACTGCATATTTTCAAACTCTAAAACCACTGGGCGGTATTTGTGAAGGGTGAAATCTTAAATTGTTAGTCAAGAAATCCCATGACAGGACCGTTTTAAAATGTTAAACATATTAAATTAGTAATATAAAAATCTTCTTCTCAAAAATTCATTGACAGGAATTTTTTCAGCTAAAGGTCCTGTTCCTCCTTAATAAAGTTACCCCTACTATAAAAATACACAAGGGTGTATTTTTACAGTAGGGGTAACTTTACTAAAAGAAGATAGATATTTCCTGACAAGCCCCTGTGTACTGGCTACAATTAATGTGTCAAAAGAGGTCATACACTGATACAGCTGACAGAATTCCTAATTTTAAATAGAAGTCTGCATGCAATAGAAACTAAAGTGCTGTATGATTCAATCACCACATTTTTTGTCATACAAAATATTTACATTTCTAATAAATATATAGGAAAAATTCTTTTAAAATAAAATGCTCAATATTTTCTCATGAACTACATTAGGTATGTATCACGAATAAGCATGAATATCTCCATTGTTACGTCATAATACCACTCTTGACGTCAAAAAGTCAAAAAATATAGTGCACACTGTTTTGTTTTAAAAATGACAGTTGAACAGCATAAATCTATGGCAAGTCATCAGGAAAATAATGTAAATAAAAGAAATGAATTTAATTTTTTGAAGATTCATGAGGTATATGAACTACAACGATTCACGCCGGCATATTTATCATGAAGTGCTAACGTGCTTCATGTTCAAATATGCCGACGTGGGAAGCGTCGTAGCCATAACAATCATGAATCTTCAAAGTTTTATATAGAAAAATATATTTCTTAAAAATTATTGATTTTGTTTTCCAGAGGAGGATTTCTACACTGAAAATTAAGGAGTAATTTTTATCTGACACCATTGTGCTCTTCAAAATGGCATCCACCCAAAACAAGAGGCCAAAATTTAACAGCGACAACACAAGCCAAGAAAGATCAAGACCTGACTCTGAAAATAGAGAATCGACAGAAACTGCAGCATCCCGAATATCTCCGGGAATTATGCCAGGCCATTCAAGTCCTTCATCATTACAGAGAAGCTATTCAGGTCAGTCATCCTTAACTGATCATGGTGCATTTACAACAGGCTCACCTAATCTGTTACCAGAGAACTTGAGTGACTGGAGAAGAAGAAATGTAGAGTATCTCAACATTAGAATTGTTTTTGAGCCTGAGACAACACCATTTGATTTATTGACTGAAAAATGTTGGAGTGGAAGGAGAAAAGGAATGGGTTTTCCTGTGAACTTCTCTGTTTTTGAAGCTGAAGAAAAACACTATCGAGATGCAGAGGAAGACCTCAAAATAAAGAAGTTGGTGGATCTTGTGAAAAGTAGTGGGTTTTTGAAAGTGATTGAAGAGCTTAATTACTCCTCATTTGAAGAATTCAACCTAACTACACTAAAGAGACTGAAGACTTTCACCAAACAGTCATACATTCCTAAATATTTACCTGGAGAATTTGATGCATGGTTTCGAAGGTTTGTGATTCTCTTAAGATAGGACTTACATATTTGACATGTGCATTACCTGTGACAAGATTTTTCTGAGGATGCTAGCTATGATTTCTGACCCCCTTGACCTTCATATTTGACCCAATTAAAAAAAACAACAATTTTTGGAATTCTTTTGAATGACACATGACAGGGCATTCATATCTGAACCAATATGCCATAAATAATGACATCTTACCAACAAAGATGCCAAAAGTGGGAGAACTCATTTCTTTGAATTTTCCTATTGCTTTTATAATAACCAACAGTTACACCCCAGTAATCATACATGTATTTCCTCACTATTAGTTAATGTTAATATACAAGTTTAATAATTGAACACTTGATTTGCTTCTTTTCAGATTTGATGTTGAGGTGAAAAATTTCTTTAACATTTTATCAAGACTGGTTGAGAATGTGATAAAAGAAGAATCAAACCATAAATATTTGTTCCAACATCTGTTTGATGCCTTTGTGAAGATATTTGGAATGCATAGTGGAGTGAGGTACTGTTTTATCTCATTTTATGTGAAAGGCCTTAGTTTGTTATTTGACTTCTGTTTTCTTTCTGTCAGTCTTTAATTTTCGATTGTTGTGATATGTCATTTGTGAAACTTTCATCCACAAGAGATCAAGAACCAGCATGGACTATTTTTTGTTGGCAGCTAAAGTAACCATGTAAAAAGGATTTCACAATTTGGTAATAATAATAATCTTCAAAATATTTCCAGTTTTGAACCAATTCTAGATGTCCAGACACTAGGAATTGGAGAATCAGAAGTGAAGGGCTCCCCAGACATAGTATTTCATCACCACAGAATCAGAGAGGGGGAAGGGATTAGGCTGGACAAGTATGTGGTCGCTGTTTGTGAGGTAAATCCACATTTTTAACTCCAGTGAAGCAAAATGATTAAATGAGCCAATCTGACCTTTGTATCATCTTTGTAGTGACCTTGAACTTAAATTTAACTCAAAGGTCAAGGTCATTACAGAGGATTGATTTTTTTTACCGTGTACTTGAATAATATTTTCTTTCCCCATGTTCCTATATCATTGATAATTCACAAATGGAGTATCCCTTGGTAAAGGGTGGCCATTGTCCTTTAACCAACATTCTGACTCTAATATCAAGGTCAAAATGAAATATTGTGTAAATTTCTTCTTCAGTGTATATTTTCTGTTTCCTTGGCCAAATAGAATTCATATTTCACCCATTCAGTGTTCTGAAAAGGGTTATGCAGTGACCTTGAAGTTTTCAGCTCAAAAGTCATGATATTTGATATGATTTTGTAAAAGATGTGAAATAACTGTTTCATTGAAAAAAAGAAAATTGTAAAGTCAAATCTTTGTGTAATTTTTTTTGTGGTCTTTTCCTTTGCCAAATTAGGATTGTTTCACTAAAAGTGGATCTAATTATCTAAAAAACTAAACTGACTTTGATTTATAGGTGGAGAAAGATAAACCTTTGCCAGCGGAAAATATCTCACCACCACCAAGTAATAAAACAGGAAACAACAGTGATTCACCTGAGGTGCCGTCCTCCAGTACCCAAGACAGAGACTTACATCATGACGTCCTACAGCTGTCAGACAACCTGATTGGGAAGCACTGTGGAGAGCTCTTGTTAAAATTTGGAGAATCAATCCATTGCAATTCAGTGTTTGGTATTGTTGTCCAACAAACATATGTAAGTTATCACAGAATTGTGAGATAGGGGGATTTTATATATTTTCATTCTTGCTTATTCCTCCTAAGAGATTATCAAAAAAAAATCCTGTTCCACTCATGAAATGACATCATTAAAAAAGAAAAGAAAATGGTTATCCTCTATTTACTCTGATATTTTGCTTGCAGGTTACAATTGCAGAACTGGGAATGACAGATATCCAGTATCTTAAATTAAAAGAAGGCAGATTCAAGCATTCTAAAAGAGAAAGGCCTTCATTCACATTTACCAAGCCTTACAACTTTCTGAAAAAGGAAGGATTGGAGAGGTTACTAGAGCCTCTCATAAAGTTTGGACTTGAACAGGAGGAATAACTTTCTGATAATGAAATATTTTATTCACTTGTTCATTATCTTGGGCTGCAAGCCTGTGTTTTATTCGTTCCAATGCTTAAGTCTGTTGGAGGAAGGCAATGGTTTGCTTTCTCAAATAAAAAAAAGGACTTTTATAATTCAGCATATTTATTCCTGGTTATTGTAAGAGAGTTTTAATTACAAACTCATCAACTTTATTGTCCTACATTGACATATTTTGGTATTTATGGATCTTTTGTCCACCAGACTTGTTCAGTGGGCCACACTAAAACAAGTGTCCTAGGCATCAGAAACTTACAGGGTTATCTCCCTTTTCAGTTTAATTTCTTTGAGGATGTAATACTCTTTGTGAATGTTACTAAACTCAGAATAATAAAAAGAACCTGGTAAAAGTAGATGTGTTTTATTTATTTTCTGTCGTTTCATTCATTTGGATACACTAGACCCAACACCACTGGGGTTAGTTTACTTATATAATACAGTATAAAAGTCTAAAATTATTTCTCTATTTACATGGTAAGAAAGAATATTGACACATTCAATCAGAGAGAGAGAGAGGTGCTAGAATAAGAAAATATCAGAAAAAAAGATAGTTACGTGATCAAGATTGATTCAAATGCAATACAGGTGTGACTACTCAATTAATAGGAACTGAAAATAGCAGTAACATATTTTAATACATGTTCATCATTCCTCCATCTGTTCTAACATTGAATTGCAAGTTTTCATAAAAATCACAACTGTGCAAGATCAAGAAGTCCAAAAACTAAAACAATAGTATATATATTGACTCTGTCAGTAGTAAAAGCAGTAATCTCACAAGCACAAAAAAAAATCACTATTCACAAAGTAGAAAATATTTTCCATGATTCAATTTTTGTATCTAACAAATGTTTGTCCCATTTATAAAAAAAAAATGTTTTACCTACAGGATGCATATTTTGTGATGGGAGTAATAATTCTTGTTCATCAGATTAACTTTAATAGCTTAGGCATAGCGGTGTATACCCCCTCTCAAAAACTACATGAAACATTCTAACATTATCATTGATGCATACATTTTTTTTTTCCGATTTGCATTAGATGACTTGGAAAAAGAAATAAATGGTATTTTTCAAGTCTTTCTGAATATGGTTCCTCATTTAGGCACTCGCACACAACAAGAAATTTAAATGCCTGTTGGTAAAAACAACTACCAGAATAAACGAGACGTACTGTATGTACAAGAAAATAGAGTAACTTCAGTACATGTATATATTTATATATATATTATATATCCAAACACTCACATACATATTTACACCATAGATAAATATTTTTATGATAAGAACATTTTTAGATACTTTTTATTGATAACATAATTCAGTAACACATAGAAGAATGCACATTTGGCTTCAAAATCCTGGTACACCCTCAATGTTAGTAGAACTATCGGTGGGAGGGTGGGGCACTGCTAAGGTCTGGAGATGAGGGAGAGGTATCAGAAAGAAGTTACAATCCAGGAAAAAAAAACATCAATTGGAGTAATACATGTATTTTAATTGAAAGCAAGTTGCAAGTCTAAAATTTTACTCTTCTTAAAAAAACTGTTAATGGTAACAATATTTTCTTCCAAAAATAGGAAATTCAGCACAAAGCTTTTAACACCCCTTCTTATTATAAAGGATGTGAGAAAACCAGCCCTATCTTCACAGCTAGCAAAGCAAAATAATTTATATAGTAACCCTCTTCCTTTTAAAATACTGTATCTAGTTTACAAAATTTCTGCTCAAATTGTGATTGCCCTTCCTTCAATAAAAGCAACTCAAGAGGCAAGAAAACTAGAATCCTTGCATGAAAAGTGCAAGAAGTCTGACAAAACAAAAGAAGGAAGAGTCGTCAATTAACAGCTTTAAACAAGAAACAAAAGAAGGCTGCTCTCAAAATTATATCACAGATTTGTAAAATACTTGACCTGAAAAATGTAGAGTAAAAACATCTAAATGCCCTTTACTCAGATGGCAAAAACAAAACTTAGCTGGATACAGCACATAGCATGGCCATAAATCCAAAACTTGACTGGCAATCTTTTGTTTTAATAAAAGAGAAACTTCAACAGAATTTCAAATTGTTAACATAAGAATGAAATAAATCCATCAACCATTTTTAAAGCAATTATAGCTGCCAGATTTGGACAAGGGATTTTAAACTATCAGAGGAAAAAAAAGTTACCCAATTATAATTAACATCTGTGCATATATATCATCATTACTTCTAAACTCAGTAGGTGAATCAGGAGGAAAAAGACTAACAATTTTAGCAATAAATTGAAAAATTTATCACTTGAATTTTTTCATCATTTCACTAGTGAATAAAATTGAGACTAAAAGCATTTTCTAAACTATGATTCATCTTCATTTTAATAGGTTAGCATTCAAAAAGATTATTTCCGGTAGTATACTGATGTACACATTAATATTAGAATGAGATTAAATTTTTTTTACAAATGGGCACTTCAAAAATCCTGAGAAAATGTAACAAAATAGATAGAAAACCTTTTTTGTTAATAAAAGCTTGAAGATAAACATTTAAAAAGCCACAACAAGAGTCCTGTTAGCTGATCTTTTTGATTAAGAGAACACTAATTAACACTCTGAAGCAAAAACTACCCAACAGCTAGGATGAAGTAAGGCACTGAAATCATTGACCAAACTTAATCACATTCATCCATCAAGATGTACCTTTCTTTTCCCCAAAACAAACTTATGTATAATCTGAACAAATACATCTTGTCTTTATAATCCTGATTTCTAAAAATGTATCTTGGAACAACAAAAGAGAAAGTATTTTAGAAAAATTTCAATATTAAAAATGATGTTAAAAAAAAGACTTTTCTTACAAATGTCACAACCACACATCAGAAAAGTCATGAATGCTTAACAGGTATAATTTTTTTTGCTAAATATATCTTGTGGTAGACAATATATTTTTCATCTCAATGCCCTGTAATATTGCTCATTATCTCCCTTGTATGTTCTCATATTTAATACAATTTCTTACTTAGCATCTATCTCTTAAAATACTATACCTCACGAGAATAGCTGTGTTTACTAAAAGTTTTTTTTCTGTAAAACTGTTAAACATAACTTCATACTAAATGTAGTCATCTAGCCCTTAGTAATGAGTCATTTACACACTATTTTCTTTTATCACCCATAATGCTCTAAAATCACATAAAATTCTAATATCTGTAAAATAAAACATCTGTTTATAAAAAGTAATGATGCAACAGACTGTAAAGATTTCCTATTAAAAATTGATTAAAATCAATTACAATAAAACAATTTTCTAAAACAAATTAGAATCATAACAATGTCAGACTGCAACATAATCAGTTAATTCTTAATTTTGGTTTATACTATCGTTGCACGTACAAAAAGAACAAAAAATATACTTTTACTATACAGTATGTAACACTCATTCGTTAAACAAAAATATGTTTTCCTCTATATTTTGCTTTTTTAAGTCACAGTTGCATAAAAACATCAGACAAGCATGGTCAAACAATGGCCACCTGATTCCACACAATCCAAGACCTCTTGAAGATTGATTCAAGTCTTATCTGGGATCACACGGAATCAGACGAGAACAGTGTCCGTGAAGCACTATAGTCTCTATCAAAGAGGTGTTTGACCAGGGCTCTACCGCAGACTGGCATCATGAAGAGTTCCGGCGATTCTGATTTTTTAGCACTTGATAAACATTGTCCACATTTGATAATCCCTCGAAAAATGGTAACAAGTCCAGTAACTCTGTGTCAGTCATGTCATCAAACCAGGACTGCACTCCAACCTACAGACGGATAGACATATTAAAACGATACAACTGGTAGATGAAGAATTCTTTAAACATAAATAAAACAAGAAAATATTGATGTAGTCATCAATTGTCACCTGGAAAATAAATGATATAAACAATGAAAATGAGTCTTGATCATCAAACCGCTTCAATATGCATGAGAGAGACATAGCTAACCTTCAAATTCTGAATAACTTCTCCCACCTCAATCCCCATTCATACACTAAACTTTCAACCAACACTTTCAGAAAATATACCCCCTTCTCATTTTTCCAAAATAAACATCAAATGTTGCATTTTAAAAGATTTATCAAATCAAATATGATCTTTGTCTTGGTGCCTTTTAATACAAATAACAGTAAGACACTTACAGCATTGTCTGGGTGGAAGATATAAGAAGCCGGCGAATTGTCTATTATGATGACTTGAGCCAAATCACGTCCTAGTCGACTAAGGTCCTGAAATATAGTGACAGCCAATGAGAATTATGTATTAGTATTACTAGATAAGAAATGGTGATATTAAGTATGGCTTTAAATTCTAATATTCAGTGAGCAAGAAATTTTGAAAAATGTACCAGTGTAGTTTCAAACTTAGGAAATGCTATATATGTGTGTGTGGAGGACAAGCTGACTTTGTACATGACACTTTCCTTATCAAGCCTGTGGAATCATTTTCTTCAACACATTCAAATAATATATAAAAATCGATATTTCCATGTGTGAAAGATTTTATTTACCGCCATTAACTACCTCTTCCCAATTAGTATTTGTTTTCAGAGTCCAAACTTTGTACTTAATAGTAACTTAATCTTCTTTTATCCTTATTTAATAGTCATGAATGTGGTAATATAAAATAAGAACATTAAATCTATATATATACCAGTAAGTACCAGTACATGTACTTTGTCTTTATGTGCATCAGATTACTATGACATGATGTATCAATATAAACACTAGCTGATAACACCCAGATTATAATGATAACACTATCATTATCAACATTGTGCAAATACATTCTTTATCCCTGAATGAATAGCTAAACTTGGTTACTAATACATGCACACTTAAAGGAATATGAGCTGCAACTTTGATGTCGGAAATTTTCCTTGCAAAATTGTAATTAACTATTTTAATGATAGAAAAAAGAACATTAAGTTTTAAAAACTTCTTTTGACAATGTTCATGTCAGCAATGTAAGAATTAATTATAAGCTTTGATTATCGGTAAAGCAAAAGAACAATACTGTCATCCTGTACATTATATATTTCTTATATATTAAATACAGAGTATACTACAACATGCATCTGATTGTACAGAAGTCTTTATTCTAAAACAATTCTATACTTCCTTTTAGCCTATTTGATCTTAAAGGTTTAAATCACATAAAAAAATGAACCTAAATAACACATTTTAACAGTAACACAAAATTCTTAAAAATGCAGCTCATATTGCTTTAAATGTATAAGTACAATGCTTTATACAAACTGCTTACTTTGACATAGTTGCCTCGATGAAAGACACAAGACTCCCTGAATAACCTTGACCTGAAGACGCCCCACTTGTCTAACAAGTCTGCCACAGGATCAGCATACTGAAACACAAACAATATACATACAAGCACCTGTCTTCACACACTCCTATCATTATCTTATTTTTTACTTACTTAAATGACAAATTCTCTAATGAAATAAATTTAGGCAAATTTCTGTTCCGACATTCACCAAATTGACATCAAATTTACTAAATCTGTGGATTGACTTGGAAATAAGAAATTTGAAGTGTATCTCACCTTAGCTAAACTAGCAGTAAATAATACACACTCAAACATCTCTCCCATTTTCTTCAAGAATTCATCAACATAAGGCCTCTTTAGAACATAAACCTGAAAAAGAAAAAATGATTCAACTTTAAAATATCAAGACTTCTCTTTCTTAAAAAATTAACTGGTTCTGGTTTTAACAATAGAAACAAAATGGATTAAAATATAATTATATTGGTGGGTTTCCAGACAGAAGAATCATTTTTCCTGTGTTCCTTTACACTTTACAGTATCCCCCCCCCCCCCAAAAAAAAATTATTAGAAAATATTCAACTATTTTTTACACAAACTAAGAGGCATATAAATTACTGCCATGGGTAAACCATGGCAGTTAATCAATAACTGATACTAAAACAAAATTTAACAACTAAGCTTACTTTCAATGATGACAAAGAAAAGGTTGTTTAATAGCTCTGACACTAGATTAATCAACTCATTCATTCTACATGGAAATATTTGCTATTTTTATTAGTGCTGATCCTGTGCTGAACATAAAAATGCTACTGGACAGGAAGCTAGCTTTTGTCAAATAAGAATTTTTTTACTTGTGTAAGTTTACTACCTCCAAATAAGAAGATTTGTATAAGGGATGTAACTTGCAAGGAGAAGATTTTTGATGCAGTATAATTCCATCTGATCAAGATTCTACATTACCTGGTGCACTGTTCCTTCTATTTCAACTGGAACTATAAAATCAGCATTGCTGATTGGCTAAAAAGAAATAATACAATACATTAAACATAACAAAAGTTCATACGAATTCAACATTCTATTTTATTGATCTTATCAGAATCAAATTTGTGTAAATGTATGCAAAGGAAATAATAGCATATGTACCAAACAAGTTATAAATCACTTCAGATTTGCAAAGAGACCAGTTATGTTACCACTATAATAAGATACAATGCTTCTGAATTGCACTTAGACATTAACAATGCATTTTAAGTGCTATTACATAATATTAAAATGCCTTGATTGTTATGCAACATTCTTTTTTTTTTCCTTCTAGCTCACCTTGAATGAACTATGGACAAGAGTTTCATCTAGATCAATCACAGCACATTTTTTATTTGTGTCCTTATTAAGGACAGCTGGAAGAAGATACTTTTCAGCAGGGCTCTACAAAACAGACAATAATGAATGTAATACGAGTGTTGTATTAGAAATTTAATCTAAAATGCACAATATATAAAATAAATGATTATCTCTGTATGTAAAAAAAAAACAACCCATTTATCTAGTGACTAAAACAGTGAAACCAGACAAGGTCTGTTATGTAACAATATCATTTTACACCAGACATGTAAGCTTAATTAAATATAATGATGCCTTTTTTATTACCCCCCTCCCCCCTCCATTTTTAATAAAGCAAAATTTGTTGTGCTAAAAAAATCTTCCCAGTTTCATGAAACTTTTTCAAACAGCAAAAATATCCAGTCTTTAAGCTGTGTTTGACGCCTACCCTTGGGTTTCCATTTTCTTCCACTACAGGAATTTGACAGTTAGTTGTCTGTGTGTTGTTGTTATTTGTGTTTCCAAAGCAGCATAAAAAGTTACTAAAAATGTTACGGTTCCGGGGCTTCTTCAGAGAGCTGGTGCTCGACTCCGTCGACGAGCCTGAAATAAACAACGTGAAATTAATAGTCTTGTAATGCAAATGATTCAATCTTATTTCTGATAAAACAACTTCATTTTTATCTTCTAGCTATAAAAGTCCCAAAATTACAGTCATGATCTTGACCTATTTTTAAGATGCTTTGCAACCAAGTTTATTAAATTATATTTAAGAATAACATTTCAAAACATTTCTTTAATTGATCCCCTTTCTTATTATTGCATTCCAATACATTTCAATTTTCTATAATTAGCAAATTGGTTTTATCTTTACAACTTAAGAGGAATTTTGGGGTGACTATGGGGAGAAATGACATAAAACATTAGCTGACCACATGAACATGGCTGATCTGTTTATTGATTTACAGTCAGGAAGACTCCTTGGAATATCAACATCATAAAATAAATGATCCCCCTGTAAAGGCAGTGCCACAGTGAGAGGGTGATCTACTTTTCTGATAAGAACATTATTTTGTCAATACCTGCCCGTAAACAGATCCCTTAACCATTCTACCAGGTAGCAAAATACGGAAGGGACAATGCTTATAGAACTAGACAAAAGTAAAAGAGCTGAACAAAAAATCCCTGGGCATGAGTAATTCCTTATCATATTACCAAGATGTTCTGAATGGCTCCAATTTATACTTTTTATTTTCAATATCTTTCAATCAGCCAACAATCAAAATGAAAGTGGGATCTAATATTTCATTTATAATTTGCCCATTCATGGACAAGAGACTTCCACCATACAGTAGAGCTCAGAAATTACACCTCAACTTAAACAATCAAATGTTTTCAACAAGACAACCCATACCGGGAGTGACTGTAGGGAGAGTCCAAATCTGTCGCAGTTACCGGTAGTTTAAATCATAGGAATGACCCCAAACTGGCCAAATATTGATCTTATATAAAAGTCACAAGGAATTATAACAATCGATTATCAAAATAAGGCAAACATTTTGTGCCTAGTAGAAGATGAGAATGTGTGAGAATTGCATTACATGTTTGACTCAAAGACATAAAGCCTGGTACCGTTATTTAAGAACTACTCTGTATTACAACTATTACAACCATATGGAGCAATATTATGTAAACACAAACAGGGATGTGTAACAACTGATGTGTTCAATGTGTTTACAAACACAGAATAATCGGAGTAGGTATTTTCTGACCAAATGATTCCAGACACTGGGAAGGAATGTTCATGGTCAGACAGTCATTATGCAATGTCTTAAAACAGTTTCTTTCTCTCGGACTACAATTTTTTAGCATAGTTATTACACATTAAATGCTTTGCCTTTAAAATCCAAGGGCACCCGTTAATAATTGTATCTTCATAAAAGCTTCCACACGGAACCTATTTTGGTTTCTCCTAAATAATTCAGTATGCATAGACATAACAAAAATCTGGTTAATAGATTTTTCATTAAATCTACTCAAGAAATGTATTTCTTTTCTGACACTTTTCCTGCAGAGAAAATGTGCACTATTCAATAACACATTCCTAAATTAAAATGTTTGCATTATCAACTCCTTTTTTAACTCCAGACATCAGCTAACCTTTCAACGATGATGAAAACCATTTCATCAAAGCTTTACAAATCTTGAGGATTCCCGACCAGCATCCAATATCTGGCATCTTTAAGAAGTCTCTTCCATTTTGCTGCCTCTTTGCATTCCACAATCACATAACAACTTGTAAGTGTACAGTTGCTGGGGAACTGTCACCAATCTCAAGAGAAGAACCGTTAATCCAGCATAACCAATAACCATCAAACGGCTTCAAATGCCAATCAAACAGCTAGACTGTGCCAAGCTGCACTTCAAAATCCATTTATAATTGTGACCAAATGACTATTACACTATTAATCTTAATGTATTTAACTTATTTTCCTCAAGGTGAACGTTTCACAGGCACAGATTTCTGCTGATTATGGGACTATCACCAACATCTAGAAATCATTCATTATTGACCAGTGTGAAATTCATTTGAGCTTGAAAAAATGTTTATGTCAAAGCATTGAAAGCAAGAAGGTAAACAGATTAGAGTGCATTATTTTTTTTATATTTTTTTCTTATCCTTCACATATATCAGCTGAAATGAAGCCTCTCTAATACCAGGCAGTGTGCCAACTTACAAGTGTTTCTGTACAAATCTATATGTACACACAGTGAAACAGCTGTCTGGGGCCATAATTATATTTTGCCAAAATCACTTGAACACTGACAACACCCTATGATGTGTAGGATAGTGAACTACAGGTAGGCCCTGCAGAAGCCTAATGGCTATTCATTATAATATACTTCTTCCTCATTATAGATGATGAAGTTGATAAGCTGCTGGCATGTATGTTGTTGTACTCTACAACAATGCCACAATATCAGCTTCTATGTTTCTCACTATTCACTTCCAAACAATACAGTATGATCATAAGGGTCTCAATGTCACTGACCCCCCCCCCTCCCCTTTTCCCACTAGTCAACACACACCCCTCATACAAGCTCAAAAACTTTACACATTTTTCATGTATCACATAAAGCCAGCTAAAGTGTGACCCATTTACCTGTGTTTCTAAACCAAGGTAAACTTGCAAAATGCAAATACTGGTAAACCATGAAAACTTTTACGCTGTTTGCTAAACTGAGCCTAAAATTGTATACACATAATTCATTTGAGCACGCTTTTTGTGTTTTACCTAGTGTTGACAGTTTCCCTACTTACAAAAGATTTTTTTTTAACTTTTATTGTGAATTTTGAAATTGGACCAATACAACACAAAAGTGAAAATCATAATGTTATTTCCCTGCAGCATCCCATATGACCTGTGTGTCAACAGAAGATGACATGCAAGTCTATTCAATAAAAGTAAATTTTGTTCTGAAGATTGTAATGGGAAACTACATTGAATTTCTCATTTCTCATTGAAATCAAGAAACATATTTTATTCATGCCAGCCTATGAGTAATTTAATCTGAAGATAAATCACAGTGATTAAATTTATGTTTTTTTACATAATGCCAACAAAAACATTTATCCCCTTCAAAATCAAAACTTCTGATAAAGACCATTACATGGAACTTTCTGATCAGGGTCATTAAGCTGCTGTAGCTATATTTTCATTCTGATGTACACAGGTGTGGTATCTATTATACAGCTGTGAATCTATAGTAAAAAGATACCCCGTTTTAAATAGAAGCAGTTGGGACACATTTAACTCTGTTGTTTAAATATTGTAGGAGTTGAACTGTTGGCAAGTCACAGATTTAGAAATTAGTTCTTAAAACTAGAATACAAATTTAAAAAACAGCCTTTTTCGTGCAATAAATGAACACTTTTTTAAAATGAGTAGCTCTGTACATCTCTTAACGTCCATCCCAATTTTTTTTTCAGACCTATAGAAGTGCAGCTAAAAGAGAGAAAGAGAGCTGACAATTGACAGAAGAAAGCTTCAAATAGTATAAGGTATCAAAAGGCTAATTGACAAACCATCAACATAGTTCCTGTTCTACATCAGTTACTATCAATAGTTTGTAGATCTAATTATCAGCCATTTACTCATAGTTCAATCAGTATTGTTACCAAGACAATAAAGTAAGTTAATCTTCTTATATTTGCTACCATGCAGAGATTTACAACAATTTTACTATCTGATAGATTGCTTTCTATAAATACTGTATACCAAAATTTTCTCAGATGTGTCAGAGGTTGGAGACAGAATAATGAGAACTATATAAACAAGAGGCCCAGGGGCCACATCGCTCACCTGAGCAATTGGCTAGAAAAAAGCACATATCAGATCAGAACTGAAAGTTGACTGGGTTGGGGGGGGGGGGGGGGGGGGGGGGGGGGGCTTGAATTTTAATGCCCCAGTGGGTCATGATTTGAGCAAACTAGAACTTACACTACCTGATGATGATTCTCTATAAATATAACTAAGCATAGCTTTGAAGTACTTGAAAAGAAGATTTTAAAAGGTTTTCCTATATATTTCTATCTAAAACTTTTAGCGGCCATTTGGCCCCACCCTACCCCCTGGGGTCATGATTTAAACAAACTTGAATCTACACTACCTGAGGATGATTCGACATGAGTTTCATCTTTCCTGGCCCAGTGGTTCTTGAGAAGAAGATTTTCAAAGATTTTTCCAATATATTCCTATGTAAAACTTTGATCGGCCATTTTTGCCCCACCCTACCCCCTGGGGTCATGATTTGAACAAAATTGAATCTTCACTACCTGGAGATGATTCCACTTGAGTATCAGCTTTCTTGGCCTAGTGGTTCTTGAGAAGAAGATTTTCCAATATATTCCTATGTAAAACTTTGATCGGCCATTTTGGCCCCACCCTATCCCCTGGGGCCATGATTTGAACAAACTTGAATCTACACTACCTGAGAATGATTCCACATGAGTTTCATCTTTCCTGGCCCAGAGGTTCTTGAGAAGAAGATTTTTAAAGATTTTCCCTATATATTCCTATGTAAAACTTTGATCGGCCATTTTGGCCCCACCCTACCCCCTGGGGTCATGATTTGAACAAACTTGAATCTGCACTACCTGAAGATGATTCCACATGAGTTTCATCTTTCCTGGCCCAGTGGTTCTTGAGAAGAAGATTTTTTTAAAATTCCATTAATTTTTCTCTAATTCATAGTTATCTCCCCTTGGAAAAGGGCGTGGCCCTTCATTTGAACAAACCTGAATCCCCTTCACCTAAGGATACTTTATGGCAAGTTTGGTTGAAATTGGCCCAGTGGTTATTGAGAAGAAGATGAAAATGTGAAAAGTTTACAACAACAACGACGACGACGACAACGACGACTACAACGACAACAACAGACAATGGACAAATTGTGATCAGAAAAGCTCACTTGAGCCTTTGGCTCAGGTGAGCTAAAAAGGGGGGGGGCAGGAATCTACTGAACTAAAGTAAATAATTTACTATTTTCTGAATGTTTAAATTTGTCTCGTAAATTCACTGAGCAAATTTAATTGTCGTACAGTTGAATGTGGATTTCCTTTTAATTTAATTATTCAAATTAAACTTTAACATCCTATTTAAACTAATGCTAATGGCTGGCCTTGAACTGAACTACAGAAAATTTATTCTATCTTTTTTCATATAAATCTTAATGAATGATATACAAAGGGTGAATCATGTCTTCTGGTATATTTGGACATTTCAATGATTTAATTCCTTCACTAACTGGTTAAAAAAATAAGTAAAGGTGTATTGAAGGTTCAACATGTTAATTCATTGTGATGTTATGTTGTAATCATAAATTTGAAGTATTTAGTTAAACCTTACAATTAATGCCTTAAAATAATGGAGAGTCTATAGTGTAAAACCACCATAAATATTATCACAAGGCAGTTTTACACAAAAAATATACATGTTCTATACTGTATAATAAAGCCCACTTCATACTTCAATACACAGTTTACCTATTATTATAAACATTTCATTCATGACTAGAAACTGTCCTAGGATAGTTATTTGCACCAAATGAATTAAATTTTATCTAAGCTGACAAAATATGGTGGTACAATTTTATGTCTCAAGTTCTATGACCTAATTTTACTTACACTATCGTCAAGCAATGTTCATTGTGTTTACAGTATATATGGGTCATGTTAAAAATAGATTAACGGGGCACTTGTTCAACGTCAACTGTACCCCATGTTAAAAACGAAAGTTACAATTTTATGGAATATGCATTTAAAACATTAAAAAAGTAAAATTAAAAACAATGAGATTCAAAAATTAACTGTGGCCATTAATCTCCAAGTTGCCAAAAACTAATGGTAAACATGTCGGTCATAAAAGTGACCTTCACCCTTTAAAATATATAAACAATACGAAAAACTTCCATTCCTAATTAAACATCAACTTATAATTAAATTCAAATATAACAAACATATGTTGAAATGGTTTTCTTCATATAAGCATTGCAGTGCACCATAATCTGTGTGCATCAACTACATTCTACTGGCGGAGGCACAGGTGCTCCGCCACAGTAAACGTCCGACTTGAAAGAAGAGCTGAAACTTACTAGCAATGCCAGCGGTATAGGTGGCGCTGCGCGCGCATAATTTTGTAAACACAAGGAATTTCGACCCCGATGCACATCATGTTATATTACGCATCTTGACACCTTCCCTGCCTTCTCCGATGTTTTGATTGGTGGATATTCTGAAAGTTATGACCTTGAACTAAGTGTATAACAACATTTTACCGGGAAAATCTCATGAGGCATTGTTAGTAAGCGCAATTGAATTTTTGTCAAATGCCCCTTTCAGCTTTAACGATCGAATACGCGAAAAAAGGGGTGATATTCCACAAGTTTATTGTATAAACTACAGATACCAAAAGGTTTCATTCAAGTATGCCCACGTAATATACTTGAAAACATTCTATAATCTCTTGTACCCTTAACCGGAAGTTGGGTCAGAGGAAATTCGTATGTAAATCTTCGTGGCAAAATTAGACTCGTTAATGAAGTTTAAATCCCCAAACAATGTGTAGAAAGTATTGCAATGTATATTTTGCTGTATTACACATGTGAAGACATATTTTTAATATTATCTGTAAGAAAAATCACGACTGGCAGTGCTAGGAAAGACCGTCAGTACCACTGAAGAAATACAATATACATTATGCAAATAATAAGGCTATCTATGACTATAATCTTTTTGAAAACTTTAAAAATAATTGATCATCTAAAAATTCTCAAACAAAATTCTTAGATACAAGTGATGTGAGTATGTACACATTGTCATAAGTAATTCTATGTATTTGTTTGTGTGTGTTATGTTAACGTATTTATTAAAATAGATAATGTACAGGAATTTTTAGACCCAGAATTTTGAAATGCTTTAAAAGATGGCACTAAGTGACTGACTAACTGATAGTTTATAATTTTTTTTTTGTAAGTTTTCATTAAAAATTCTGTTCAGAATTCTTTGAAACTAGTAGTTCTTTAAAACATAGTGGATACAGTTTTCTTAATTTTCATTCTTTCTGAGTGATTGCATTTGATCATTTTGTTTCACTTTTCAGCTTAGATTCATTTAAATAACAACACCATTTTATTTTATAAATGACTTGGAATTGCTCAGTATTCTCATTTGATGTATGAATAGGGTGAGTTATAGCTATAAGCTAGTATGCTAAACAGTTTTTAACTTGGAGAAAAAGCTTAAAATTTTCAAATTTTGATATGTTGATTTTCAACGTTGTTTCAGCTTCGGAGTACTGGGGTGGTGTTTTTGGTTAATAAACATTTTTTTCTGTTCCTTATTATTCAGATATTAAGTATAACATTTATTGCTTTAAAAATCTTCTCAATTTTATTACCTTTTAATTGAGAAGGGAAAAAATCCTATAAATCAACTCATACACTTAATGTAATTAAAACAACTCATTGGACTTATCTATGTCATGCTCATATGCCACAAGTAAAATGTATAAATAAGATTTCATGGATATAAAGGCACATTCTATACATTGATCATGTTGAAATATAACACAAAACTTATTAATACTGTGAAATAGTAGCTGAAATTTTTAAATATGATTTTAAGCTTAAATTTGGTTTCTTTTTGTTTTACACTTTATTGAAATAGTCGTATTTATCAATCTAATTAAAATTAGATGTTATTTATCATGGTATGGACTGTCCCATAATTGATAATTAATTTTTATTTTTTGTCTTAATCATTAGTAGAGATATATATCTATCACCTAGAAGTCATAAAATGTAGAAATTTGATTTTTTTAATAGTCAACTGGAGTGGGGTTGCGTTTTGCTGGTTTTTGTAATTTATCTGTTTTTCATATTTCACAGGGGTGCCGTACTAAAACGTCTGTCATTTTGTTAAAAATTGTTGTATCAAGTTAATTTTTTCTGTTTTGACTTTTAAATAGGCTGTAAAAAGCACCCACAACAAAAAAAATTTAAAATTTTCATTTTAAAATTTTTGTCTGGCATTGCTAAACTTACCTTTTTCCGATGGAGGAAATGTATTGAGTTGCTCTTCATCACGATTTACTTGTGTTATGATGGACGAGGTGTCCATTAAGTGACCACGAAATACCCTTAAACGACGTCGTGTTTACTTTTTTAAAGCGCTAAACGTAGTAGTATTTAAACTTGTTAAAAATTCAACATGGAAGTACAGTCTAAGCATCATGGGCTCCAATGTTTATGCATATTCATGAATATTAATGAGTTTGAGATAAACACAACAAAGTGTACTTGAACAGTATTCAATTATGCTTTTTCTTAGAGAATTGCATAAATTTCTATTTCTTGTCATAAAAATAATTTTGCACCGTATTTTAATGATGAAATTAATGTCCTTTGATAACAGAGACCCCTCCCGCTAAAACTGCTAACTCCATGACCCGCTCTACATAAACAACCAATCAGATTTTCGATAACATAAGTATACATAGGTAAAACGCACGCGAGCGAGTTTTCAGTGTATAAGAGCGCACGGCGTAGCTAGAAGCCTACGGAATTTTTTTTCAAACTTTTCAAATTTATTTTTATTTATTTATTTTTGCGAAAATCAAGCTAATTAATTAATAAAACGTTCCTTATTTTTTAAAATAAATATATAAACTTATAAAAGAATGACACTTTTTTGGTTTAACTGTGAAAGAAAAAAAAAAGACATAAATAAAAACATAAAAATAAAGAAAAAAAAAATAATACGAAGAAAGTAAAAAAAAAAAATTATGAAACTAGAAGGTATGGAATGCCATATACGACAGCCAACTGCTTACTGCCAACTGCTGACTGCTTACTGCCAACTGTCAGCTGCTTACTGCCAACTGCCACACATATTTGAATAAATTATATATTTTTTATTGATATTTATATGAATTTTCATATGAAAAGGTGGGTAACTTTTTTCTAAGGCCAAGTACCTTTCACTTACATTTTTTCCCCACCCAATACTACATATCCTTGATATCATTATACTATGGTAAGAAGTGGGGGGGGCAACCATCCTTTCAATTTACATTTTCAATAGTAAAGGCAGTGTTGGCAAAAAAAGTGGGGAGGCTAGCCCCCCCCCCCTGCCCCCCCCCCTGTTGCTACGTCCCTGTAATGTTTCACATGCATAGATCTCGGGGGGGGGGGGGCATTTAAAATTTGTACAGTCATACGTTAAATAAACTAAACGAACTACCGGTATAACTGACCTTGGACCCTCCACTTAGAAAACGCCGATCAAACATTTATAGCTCAGTTTGTACAAATAAAATATATTTTACATGCATAGATCTAGAGAGAGGGGTCCGGAACACCCCTCTGAAATTTGTACAATTATTTAATGCACAAACTAAACCAACTAAAAGTTATTTAATGTATAACATAAATCGACTAAAAGGGACCTTAGAACACCCCCCCCCCCCCTTCCGCAACCGAAAATGTGGATTCGTGTTAAGTTGGTATGAAAAATGTCATACACATGAAGGTATGACGCATAAGAACCCCCTCTCCCCGGCCGAAATAAACTTTCACATTTAGGAAAGGACTTTACGCATTTTTTTCTTGTCAAGAAATTTCTGGGTTGGATTTTTTTTTTACCAGAGTGACCCTTTTGGAAAAAATGTCCTATAGATCCGCGCCTTTTTTTTTTAATTTTACATAAATATCAATATAAAAATAAAATTTATTCAAATATGTGTGGCAGTTGGCAGTAAGCAGCTGACAGTTGGCAGTAAGCAGTCAGCAGCTGGCAGTAAGCAGTTGGCTGTCGTATATGGCATTCCATAAGAAGGCAACATCGGTGAAATCGTAGGGAACTGTAATTATGTAGGTTTCTTCTGATCAGTCTATCCGCCCGTCTGTCTGTCAGTCTAGCTGTCCCACTTATAGTTTTCCGCATTTTTTTAAACGCTTGCAGAATTGAGTTGATTTTCGATATGTGAATACAGGCCTGCGTTACAGACCAATTTTCATTTCGTTTCGCTTCTAATGCAGATTTTTGACGGAATTATGGCATTCTAAACTTTTTTTAACATTGGGTTCACGGAGGATCGGGTTCGTGCTGCACTGAATTAGACTGACTGACAGAGGGACAGACGGACGGACAGACGCAGAGGAAACTTATAGTATGTAGACCTCATTTCTACCGTAATTAAACATAAGAGTCTCGGGGTAGCACTTCACACACTGTTTTTTTTTTTATTATTCCCTCGCAAAGGAGTTTATGTGTCTGTGTGTTTCTCAGTGCGGGTGAGTTATTTGGTCCTTGTGTGCGTAACGGAAATGACGTAATTTACACCGGAATTGGTGTCGAATACTGTCTTTGTAGATAAACCCTTTTGAAAGATGGATGCTCCACTTTATGGTGCCATTGTTTCCTTTGTTTTGTGACTTTCTGAATTAATTTTGTCCGACCGTGGTCGTCAGGGGATTGACAAGAGTCCCATGGGCCATATAGCTCACCTGAGCACTGTGGCTAAAAAGCAAAAATCAATCCACCATTGAAAAAGCTAAAATGAATAAAAGGTCCCAATTTAACTTTCCTCTAATAAAAGGGGGGGGGGGTATGATTTGAATTAACTTGAATCTCACTCACCAAGAGTGCGTACATATTATTTCTTTGACTTATTGTGGCCTTTTCCCAATATACATTTTTTGCCCCATCCTTCTCCCAGGGTTCACATTTTGAATAAATTTGAATCTAAACTACCCAAGGATGCTTCCATATAAATACCGGTATGACCAATCATGGCTTAATTTGTTGTTCTTGTGAAGATTTTTCCTATATATTTCTATGTAAAACTTTGTCTGTTGTGGCCCCACTACACCCCTGGGGTCATGATATGAACAAACTTGATTCTACATTACCTGAGGATGCTTCCATATAAATATGGCCACCCATGGTTTTTGTTGTTTATGAGAAGAAGATTTTTAAAGATTTGTCCTGTATTAATTTTCCAGTGTAAAACTTTGATAGTTCATTGTGGCCCTGCTCTACCCCTGGGGGTCATGACTTGAACAAACTTAAGTTTTAGTTTCATTTTTTCTGACCTAGTGGCTCTTGAGAAGATTTTTAAAAGATGCCACCAGATTCCCACTATTTCTTGATTATCTCCCCTTAAAAGAAGGCTTGGCTCTTCATTTGAACAATCTTGAATCCCCTTCCCCCAATGATGCTTTGTAGAAAGTTTGGTCAAAATTGGCCCAGTGGTTCTGGAGAAGTCGAAAATGTGAAAAGTTTAAAGACGGACAGATGGACAGACAGCTAGATGGACGCTGCACAAAATGAGATCAGAAAAGCTCAGATGAACTAAAAAGCACTTTCTGATTCATTTCAAGGACACACTGCTATTTCTTGATATAGGAGATCACATGGTTGAAAAATTATATGGCTCTCGACAATAATGGTTAATTGTATGATAAGGAAAATATGAAGAAAAAATTTTCACTGTGAATAGAGTCTATTGTATTGCAAATAATTATTTAAGACTTGCAAAATAAATGTGATTTGAAATAAAAGAACAAATATATTTAGTAATTTATTTTCAATGAAATATTGTAATTTATACTCCAAAATGCAAAAGCTGTCACACCAAAATTCATTGTAATCATAATGTCAAAAAGAACCAAATTGAGCTGTATATAAGGTTACTGAAAGCAAGAATGGATGAAGTGTTCTTCAAAAATATGTTTGTAGCTATATATAGTTCACATCAGAATATAAGAGGTAGATATTTTATGAATTTACATAAATTTCATATCAAAAATTTTTAAAATTACACAAGGCACTTTTTACTAAATACAAAAGAACCTGCATCTCAAATTTTGTAGAGATCCATATTCTTTATATCAAAAGACAAAACACTGTTTAGAATTTTAAATATACTTGGAACAATTATAACAAAGTTACCCCTCCAAAGATCATGTACACCACATTCAATAATAGACATGAAGGATGTATTCTGCTGAGATAACTTGCCTTCTTGGAATTTTTCATAAAAAATGAAAAATTTCCTTTTCTGAAAAGTTTTGATCTGAAATTAAACTTTTCTTCATATATTTTTTTTTTATTAATATCAAGGATTCAAAATTTTAGATAATAAAGGGTTAGTGGGGAAAAATGTATATTTTGATGGATAAAACCAGAGGAGTTCCGTAAAATGGCTGTCACCTCAGCTGTATCAGCAGATAGCCCACTTACCTAGCTCATCCTTGCCAAGACAGGAGAGCCAGGTAGATTAAAAATTGAAGCAGTCTCCTGATTGGTCACCAAAATTTGTGTTAAATTGTGGATTTTTTGGCTATTGCCATTAACCAAGGAAATGAATATTATTGTCAGAACTGATTACATTGATGACTTAGAATATATGTCACAATGAACGTCTACAAATGGTCAGCTCAATACCGCATCGCAATGGGCAATAGATTCAGGACAGAAAAACCCTAATTTATGTAGTCCATCTGGCCCTGGTATTGCAGTGTATACAAATCATATCTAAGACCAAGGAACCAGGCTAAATCAGCAGAATACATTCCTTAAGAGTTATAGTAAGACGTGACTAATTGGCTAGGTGCTTCTTCAGGTTTGGGCTTTATGTGTTAGACATGACACTATTGACTTTGGCTAGGTACTCCTCGAGATACTGGGCTTTATGAGTTAGACATGACACTGTTGACTTTGGCTAGGACTCCTCAAGGTACTGGGCTTTATGAGTTAGACATGACACTGTTGACTTTGGCTAGGTACTCCTCCAGGTACTGGGCCTCCTCCTGAAGTGTGAGGTCCAGGTAATCCTCCTCGTCCTTCGGGAGGTCAGACACGAGGTCCTCTATGGTCCTCCTCTCCTCCTCAGAAGTCCTGTGGGACGGCCCAGCCTCAGATTCTGGGGAACTACCTGTACATAAATACCAGACTCTCACTTTTCTATCATGATAAAAGTAACTGAGTAATAGCTCATTTCTCCAGGTTTGGATTCCCTAAATCATTGCACTTTCAAAATTACATGTACAATTTTTACAGTGTATACAGGGAAAGGGCCCATATTGGCACATACCCATGTCCAAGACTTATATGGGCTAATAGAGGCTGTGCTATGTAAGATTTTAATACATGTAGATACATGTATATATTACCCCATATTCAAGCCTTACCTAAACTGCTACATGATGTGCTATATAAGACACTTTTATTTAGATATCCCATGTTTAAGCCTTACCTGAACTGCTAGAGGAACTCTCCTCTGATGATGAAGGTAACAGACCACCTTTCTGTATCAATTCTTCTAGGGCTTTCTGTACGTTTCCACTGAATAGCTGTAATGCTCTGCTGGCCATAACGGGGTCAAATCCCATTGCCACCACCTGAATGGAAACTTTAATATTAGTCTACACTTAAATTTTACACCTCATCTATAAATTTTATCCACAAACATTCCACTTGTCATAATTTAACCCCCATGCTTGTTTTACATGTATTTGTAAATACCAAAGAGGGTTGTGATGTTTTGAAAATATTTTCCATTTTCCGTCGATTTTTTTGAAAAACACAAGTTTTACCAAAATTTTAGAGTTATCTCTCTTTGTTTTCCCAACTAAGTAATGCTTAATGAAAATCCATAAAATTATCTATAAAAAAATTTAAAAAATTCATCGAATATGTTAACTTTTGAAAATTACTTGGACGTAGGTGGGAGAACAATACTATCGTTCGCAGTTCTTTGTTTTCTTTACATACAATACCTGAGCAATCATGTCGTCTGTGATGCTGATTGATTTCTTTTCTGGATCTGGTAGATGTAAAAGCTCTGGATGTAACTGTAGAACCTACAAATGAGGAGAAAATAATGAAAATTAATAACATTAAAGCAAATCTTCTGTAGTCTTGAGCTAAGCTATCTGCTTGACCTCAATTCATGATGAGTGGCAATCCCCAGATGAACTTATTAAATGACAATGAGACATACTGTAAAGCATATTTATCACTTATACAGAGGGTCAGATTAAGACATATTTCTCACCTCTAAAGCCTGGTTCAAGTCATTGTCTGTCTGTGTGTCTGTCAGTTTAAGACATATTTCTCACCTCTAAGGCCTAATTCAGATCTTTTTTGTCTGTCTGTCTTAGGTCAGTATTACACATATTTCTCACCTCTAAAGTCTGGTTCAAGTCGTTGTCTGTCTGTGTGTCTGTCAGTTTAAGACATATTTCTCACCTCTAAGGCCTAATTCAGATCATTGTCTGTCTGTCTGTCTTATGTCAGTATTACATATATTTCTCACCTCTAAAGTCTGGTTCAAGTCGTTTTCTGTCTGTGTGTCTGTCAGTTTAAGACATATTTCTCACCTCTAAGGCCTAATTCAGATCATTGTTTGTCTGCCTGTCTGTCTTAGGTCAGTATTACCCGTATATATATTTCTCACCTCTAAAGTCTGGTTCAAGTCATTGTCTGTCTGTGTGTCTGTCAGTTTAAGACATATTTCTCACTTCTAAGGCCTGGTCCAGGTCATTGTTTGTCTGTCTGTTTTAGGTCAGTATTACATATATTTCTCACCTCTAAAGTCTGGTTCAAGTCGTTGTCTGTCTGTGTGTCTGTCAGTTTAAGACATATTTCTCACTTCTAAGGCTTGGTTCAGGTCATTGTTTGTCTGTCTATCTTATGTCAGTATTACACATATTTCTCACCTCTAAGGCCTAATTCAGATCATTGTCTGTCTGTCTGTCTTAGGTCAGTATTACATATATTTTTCACCTCTAAAGTCTGGTTCAAGTCGTTGTCTGTCTATGTGTCTGTCAGTTTAAGACATATTCCTCACCTCTAAGGCCTAATTCAGATCATTGTTTGTCTGACTGTCTTAGGTCAGTATTACCGTACATATATCTCTCACCTCTAAAATCTGGCTCAAGTCGTTGTCTGCCTGTGTGTCTGTCAGTTTAAGACATATTTCTCACTTCTAAGGCTTGGTTCAGGTCATTGTTTGTCTGTCTATCTTAGGTCAGTATTACACATATTTCTCACCTCTAAGGCCTGGTTCAAGTCATTGTCTGTCTGTTTGTCTTAGGTCAGTATTACATATATTTCTCACCTCTAAGTCTGGTACAGGTCCTTGTCTGTTTGTCTGTCTGAGGTCAGTATTACACATATTTCTCACCTATAGGCCTGGTTCAGGTCATTTTCTGTTTGTCTGTCTGAGGTCAGTATGAGATATTGTTTTCTCACCTCTAAGGCCTGGTTCAGATCGTTGTCTGTCTGTCTGAGTGCTGCTGCTGCAGCTCCTTTACCATACCCCATGCTAACCAGGTTTTCATACAGGGATACATTTACCCTGAAATCATCGAAATGTAAACATTCTGTTAACTCCTTCTTAACAGCAACTACCTGTTCATCCTTTTCCAGATTTTATGCTCTCTCTCAAGAGAAACACTGCTCACCTTTTCCCTGAGGCTGTTTCTCCCAAATCTTTCTGAATTTTCTTCATTCTTCGCTCCTCTTTAACCTTCTTCTCAATCTCTTCTTTCTCCTATTGATTTTAAAATGATGAAGCTTGATTTAACAAATATTTGGATTACTTGTAAGAATCAGAGAATACTTAAAATTTTATTCAGCACAAAATTTTCCTAAAATTGATGAAAGGCATCCGTGGGTAAGGGAAATTCAAATTTTTAGGATACTGAGTTTCTAAGTCCATCAGAATTTTAAAATATCAAAAATAAATTGGAAAGTCATGAAATTAGTGTGGATTTATTCTCAATTTGCTATCTAAAATGTACATTCGTTAACTGTACCAATTTTAAGCTTTTTGTTCACAGGATTTATTGCAGGTATTGTTTTTTATGCAATCTGTACAGAGAAGTCAATCCTAATTGATATGCTCAAATAAAAATTTACAACTGAGTTCAATTGGTGACAATTTGCATCACAACCTTTAATTTAAGATTGAGCAGTTCAACTTTCTAATTACATTGGAAAATTTAAAATTTATATGCTCATTGTGTTTAACAGAGATTGTGGTAAAAAAAAAAACAACTTTAAAAACTTTCTTAATTATCAATTGCAAAAAAAATTACCTTCCGTTTTTCAATAATGTGCTGTATTGCTTTGGTGACATCTCCATTAGTGGCTCTTAACCCAAGACGGCCCTCTCGTTCATCAAATCCCATCATCATAACTAAACAAAATATTCATATTTACACTCACAACCAAATCAATTTAAATACTAAGTATGTTATGTGAAATTATGCATTTACAATAACACAACAAACTGACACCATAGGTACTATGGAAAAACTGGTGAAAGTAGTACCTACCCTGTGAAAGTTTGTTTTCATCAACTTTAAGCCTGTTCAGTTCTTCTTCAGCCTATCATAAAACATTTTTATCAATTTGCTATCATTCTTTACTAAACACTTTCAAAAAATTCTTTCTTTGAAATTGATGTATCATTCTTTATGCAATTTTCTAAATTAAATGTGAAAAACATCTTTCACACCCCCACCCCTTTTGATCATGAATCAGTTTTACCTTTCTAAGCAGTGAGTGTGCCTCTGCTATCCTGTGATGGTGGAAGGCCACGATGCCTTGTAGAAGATGTAGTTTCATGTACAAAGCTAACTGTGTTCCTGACTCCCCCTACAATGACAACAGGAAATAGAAACAATAAAGCAAGATCTCTAACTGTCAAAGCAAAGTTTTATCTGGAGAATAAAGTCAAACCTTGACAGCAGCCACTCTTTCTAAGTTGGCTCCATAACTTCTTATAAAGCATTCCTCACTGGACCTCAGTCGTTGGTCTGAAAAGAAAGATTGGTGTAAGAGGAGTTATTGTTCTTTGAATGCATAAGTATTGCTCGTCAAGCGCCTGTGCAATAATACTGTAAAAGTCATAATCATTTGTGGTTGATTGCACTGACTTATGTAAAGAAACAGTTTTCTCAGAAGTACCTGCATCTGGCAGTTCTTCTACATTCTGTAAACACAGGTAACACCACACAATGTCCAAACATAAAACTGCATAGTTATCTACAGCATTCAAAATGTTAGCTCCACACTTCCTACAAAAAATACCATTTTATATACATGTATGGTTTACTTTGAACTTTGGTTTCTTGAACACTGATATCTCAGATACCCTGGATATGTCAAGGATAGTTGGAAGTCCCAACTACTCTTTCTCAAAGTATTTTAACCTTGATGTCTTCAACTCTTGAATCTTTGGATATCTCAACAAGAGGCCCATGGGCCTTATAGGTCACCTGAGTATTGTGCAACAACTTTCAAACAATTAAATTTGGTTCATGTTTTAAACTAGAGGCCATGAAATTCGCAGTTCACAATTTTGAAAGAGGCACTATTGCTTATCATAATTATAGACTTAGCATGCTTACTCTATTTACTTAATACCCAGAGGTAGATCAGAGTAACAAAGAGAAAATGCACTTCCACTTTATAACCAGTTGTGCACCTCATCCCTAAGGAACCACTGACCCTGGGGCCAAATATGTCAAAATTTTGCAAATTTTATCATAAAATAGTTCATTAATACCAAAGAGCAGATGTACCCCCCCCCCCCGACCCAGGGAGGGGGTGGGGGGGGGGGAAATAACCAATTTGCTAGATGCACCTTTCTTCATCATAAATATATATACTTGGATCATTGGCATAAAACCCAGACGCAAAGGAAAGATTTTCAAAAAATTAATGTATTTTCACTATATAATCAATCACCCTATCACCAGAACCCCTGACCCAGGGGCCATAAAATTCACAAGTTTGGAAGAGGCACTCTTGCTCATCATAACTATGTACCTAATTAGTTTATTTAATACCCAGGAGCAGAGAAGAAGATTTTCAAAGAATTAATGCATTTTCACAATATAATCACTAGAACCCCGCCCTAACACCAGAACCCCTGACCCTGGGGCCATAATTTTCACAATTTTGGAAGAGGCACTCTTGCTCATCATAACTATATACCTAGTTAGTTTATTTAATACCTAGAAGCAGAGAAGAAGATTTTCAAAGAATAAATGCATTTTCACTATATTACCAATAGAGCCCCGCCCTAACACCAGAATCCCTGACCCTGGGGCCATAAAATTCACAATTTTGGAAAAGGCACTCTTGCTCATCATAACTATGTGCTTGGTTAGTTTATTTAATACCCAGGAGCAGAGAAGAAGATTTTCAAAGAATTCATGCATTTTCACTATATAATCAATAGAGCCCCGCCCTAACACCAGAACCCCTGACCCTGGGGCCATAAACTTCACAATTTTGGAAGAGGCATTCTTGCTCATCATAACTATGTACTTAGATAGTTTACTTAATACCCAGGAGCAGAGAAGAAGATTTTCAAAGAAATTATGCATTTTCACTATATACTTATTTAGCCCCGCCCTAGCACTAGAACCCCTGACCCCAGGGCCATGAATTTCAAAATTTTGGAAGAGGACTTGATGCTGATTACAATCATGCAAACAGTTTCACTGCTTGATGTCCAGGAGTAAAGAAGAAGAAGATTTTTAAAGATTGCACTAATTTTAGTGGTTTTGGCCCCATCCTAAGGCCCCAGGGGGGCGGGGACCATAATATTCAAAATTTTTGTTCCCCTTCACCCATAGATGCTGTATACCAAATTTGGTTGAAATTGGTTCAGTGGTTTCAGAGAAGAAGCTGAAAATGTTCAAATGTTAACACACGATGGACGACAGACGACGACGGACGAAAACAGATAGCAGTATGTCACCAGAGTTTACTCAGGTGACCTAAAAAAATTTTCTCTGTCCAGTTGAGTTTCAGTAGCATTGTTCAAACAGTATTTATTGATCATTTGTGAAAAAATATATAAATCTAGAATTTTTTAAAAATAAATACTGGGAAAAAATACTAATCTCATTCTTTCAGTGTTATATTTCATTTAAAAAAAAATTATTAAGTTTATTCCAGTTTATTAAATGGTAAAATTCATGAGAGCAATTATTTTTCCAAAATAAAAATTTGTGTGTCACCTGAATTCCTTGTCAGCCTCCAGTAACAATAATAAAGCTTTTGTGATTTCTTTTTTCTTTAGAGCCACTCGTCCTTTCTCATGCAATGTCATTGCTAGGGTTAAAGCCTAAATCACAAGAAAAAAATTTTAAAACTGTTATGTTTATACTATAAATTATTACATAAACTTTATAAAAAGATTGAATATAAATTTTCAGCTAGTATTCACATATGTTGAAATTCAGATTTTTAATAAATGTATATTAGTACAATCAAAATACCCTGATTGATCTACAAAGAAAATGATAAATTAAGACCTTTTTTTCCTCTGGTGGCAATTGTAAAGGGCGCCCTGACTGGTCAGCTATCTGAATGTTAACATCATAATCATCTAAAAATAATACAGATATGCTAAAGTAACCTAGTGATAAAAAGCACAACACATTGAAAATTCCGCTAAAGTATTGCATTAATATATGAATGTCAAGTAATTTATTTGTGGTCACCTTTTCCCACTTTGTTGGAGAGAAGCTCTGCAGCCTGGCGAGTGTTCATCATTTGTAGAACCTCATCTTCTTTCCGTGCTGCTTCTGCTTCAGATACAGACAGGCACAGACACATCATCTGAGACCCATGCTGTAAAATAAATATTCAACACTTATACGTTTTGCTTATTATTTCAAGGAGAGTAGAATTTAGTCAATCTACTTTAAAATACGAAGACAAGAACAATATAGAATAAGACAAGGCAAGTAATCCTACATAATCAGAACTACAATCTGACCTTTACATTCTGTTCCTGAAGTTGTTTATTCATGCTGATCACATGACCGTGACAGATGATCTTGAGATGATGTTCTGGAAGGCCCAGTCTCTCTGACAATATCTGTCTCAGATTGTGGCCTGTACATGTCAGTTGTATCTCCACTGTCTCTGTTACTGTTATCTTTTCCTGAAAAATTTGACACTTCATGCTTAAAAATGTCAAAACTACTTTTTAACAAATTTGTTTAAAATGGCCAAAAGACATTATACAATTATGGACTGTTTAGAAGGGAGACATCACCAGTTATCAGGTCTGAGTAGGGTTGTCACCCGAGGGCGCGGGCGCTTGAGGGTGACAACCCTACTCAGACCTGATAACTGGTGATGTCTCCCATCTAAACAGTCCATAATAGTTTTATTATCCTGAAGAATATAATTATCAATTAGATAGAGTAGAAAATAGTAATCAAACTTTTTATATCTCCGTCTCTGCTCTGATTACATACTTTTAAAATATGTCAACAGACAACTCGACCTGACGTCATCGTTAGACTTTATTGTTTACTGATCCCGCATATTAGTAATACTATATTACCTGTATAATCATAAATAAGAGTTATCTCGCTTAAACCACTGTAATTTCATTCAAAGGGTGACAACACAGTTGTAACCCTGCTTGCTCACTTACGCTATTTCATTGTCATCTGGAGGGTGACAACAGTTGTCACCCTGCGCGTGAGGGAGACATCACGAATTGTCTCACCTCACCTGACATGCTTTAAACCAATCAGATTGACTGTATAATTCTGAAGGATAATAAAATGTATTATTGAAGTACCTTATTTTCTCTTTGGCCCGAAGCTTTGATTTTCAATGTGGCTTTTCCTGTCTTTTGAAACTGCTCTCTTTCAGAAAGTTTTTGTAAAGCATGTTGTCGCAAGTGCTCAAGCATTTCTCTGATTTCAAATGCAGGGATCTGCAAATCTTTTGAGTATTCCTCGCATAAGGTCTAAACATACAAGAATATTTTCATTAAAATCAAAAACGCCAACGAAATATCAAATAAAAAAGAAAATGATTAAATAATAAATAATAACACACTGTCGTTAATTGTTATTGTTAATTAAAACCAGGGACAAGCTACTTTTCTCGTCCCACATTTTCCGCAACTCACTTGCGGTATATTCCCTTGGTTATTTTCTGCTGTAGTATATGGGGGTAGCCAAAGCTTTATTTTCTCGGCGTTCAGTTTCTGTCTGACTTTCTGAAGCTGCATTTCTATTGTATATGCTGTTTTCTCCATAATTATTACTCTAAAAAAGCATCAAGCTGTCAAGCAGAAATCGTTGCAACTGAAATTAAATCCAATCTTTCCTTAGGCAAACTGAAAGGGGTCCTCGTCAAAACCGTTTCCAAGTTCCCTGAAAGAATTATGTTTGAATGTTAATTTTCGATCAAATCCTAAAATAGATATTGCTCACAATACCTGCAAGGATTATTTTAATCAAATGTGCAGAAACTCATCAAAACCGTTTCCAAGTTCCCTGAAAGATTTATGTATGAATGTTAATTTTCGATCAAATCCTAAAATAGATATTGCTCACAATACCTGCAAGGATTATTTTAATCAAATGTGCAGCGTCAACGTACTTTCATTTTCATGTTTACGTTTTACCGTAGTTTCGTATCTCGGGGGCACTAAATACCAGAGTCAAAAAGTATGAAAGCAAGATCGAGAACTATTTAAAAACCAAAAAATAAAAATGAAAAGCAAATAGATAACATGATAATCTAAGAATCAAATGCATATTATTAATGAGAGGTGTGTATAATTAGGACAGCTTCTTCAAAATGATTTTTTGGTTTATTTATTTTTATGCGCCCGAATCGATAGATCCGAGGCGTATATTGTTTTTATCCTGTCTGTTTGTCTGTTCATCTGTTTGTCTGTCTGTCTGTTGTCAACTTTAACCTTCGCCATAACTTTTGAACCATGAGAGATAGAGACTTCATATTTGGTATGCATACTCAACCAATGAAGCTCTTTCAAATGGCACCAAGTTCAATGACCTTGTGACCTTGACTGTGACCTATATGCTAAAAATAGCTTTTTCAAACTTTCGCCATAACTTTTGAACCATGAGAGGTAGAAACTTTATATTTATTATGCATACTCTTCTAATGAAGCTCTTTCAAATGACACCAAGGTCATGACCTTGTGACCTTGACTGTGACCTATATGCTAAAAATAGCTTTTTAGACTTTTTTGCCATTACTTTTGAACAATGAGAGATAGATACTTCATATTTGATATGCATACTCCACTAATGAAGTTCTTTCAAATGACACCAAGGTCGATGACATTGTGACCTTGACTGTGACTTATCTGCAAAAAATAGTTTTTTTTAACTTTGTTCCGCCGGGCGCATAGTGTTTCACAAACACATCTTGTTTTGTTTTAGAAAACTACATTGCATCGTCGGTAACCCACGGGTGATTCACGTCGATTCTCTCTATCATTAATGCCAATCTCTACACAAAGTTGTCATTCGCTGAACGCTACAACACTGGAACGATAACTCTGGGTAGAGATTGTCATTAATGCATGTTTTTCAGAACAAAAAAAAAAACAAAAACAAAACGCAATTAGTTATTACTTTCTCAAATAAAAAAAAAATTGCAAAAAAGTTTTAATATTGTAGCATGATTGAATTTAATGTTTAAAAACTTGAATTGATGTCAAAATTTCGAATTTAAAAATAGAAGATGATTTTTAATTGGGTTGGAAGAGGGGAGAGGTTTGGGGGGAGGGGCTGGCATTGATGATGGCTCTACGACCTTAAAAATATTCCAAAGCCCATTCAGCTCATTTTCGGGGGTTAAAAAAATTTGGCGTTATAACACGAAACTTTCGCGAATAAACGCATAACTTTCGCGAATAAATGCGTTACTTTTGCGATATAACGCGAAACTTTCACGATATAAACGTTTGCTGTTTATCCAAGACATTTGCATAAGTCTTAACTTTCTTTTGGTTTTGTGATCTAGATTATACATTAAAAAGAAAAGCAAATGACTATTTTAATCTTCGTCCACCACACGCTACAATTTTAAGTTTTCTTGCTAATGAATCCATTATAACCGTCATATTTTGTCCTTCTTAATTAACGCTGTTAATTCAAACCATTCAAAGTTAATGCAAGTTTTTCAAAAGTTAAACTTCTTTATTATGAATTTCGGGGGGAAAATCAAATCTTTCAGGCGTCTTTTCATACACTCTCAAGAGAATTTGAAATAAAATTGTTAAGATTAAGATCTCGGAAAATTGACAAAATAAGGTAAATTTGTCAATTGTGTCCCACCACATGGGTGAAAATTGAATGGTAAATTTTCATTTGTCTCCGTTAAATTCACTGTAGAAATACGGCATCGTATTTTGAGGTTGCGCCACGTGGTTATTCCATTGCTGACGAAAACATTGACTCAAAGTGTATTTTTAACTCTTTGCTGTATTCATTAATAGTTTTGATTTATTGTGCTAGACCACGAACTTTTCAATAACCCCTCGGATGTATAAATATTGGAGAAAAAATAAGAAAAGTAGACCCCTCCTCCTCGATCAATTTGTAATTAACAATATCCATTTATATTTATTACTTAAAAAGCATTTTATAGCACGTTGAACTCATGAAATGACACACTCTCTTTTAAGCTATGTTTCTACTAGCTATGATTTTTAGTTCCAAATGATGGATTACTTAATTTACTAGTCGTCCAGTTGTGGTGAATTTTACTGATAAAAAAGCAGCTAGCTTGAGAAAGTGTCAAGTGGAGATTTTTCTTAAATAAAATAATCAGTCTAAAGAATTTCTGAATTAAACAACTGAAAAACATATACAAGAAAGTACAATATAAATTGGTAGAGGTTTTGAGAAAAAATGTAATGACTAGTCTATCCTATTCCCGCATCATTTCTCCAGGACATCTTCTGAGGAAATGATATTTTATCAAAAAATTCATGAAAGTAACTGTCAGCGTTCTAGCTGCAGATCTGTAGCATTATGGTTTTATACTTGTCTTTGACCATAATGCTACAGATCCCGTAATGCAAAAAAGTGCCATTTACGACGCAATATTTTTTGCGCACATTTAGGGGAGAATTTCTCCACTTTCTAGCATTGTTCAATCAACTACCTTTCACTCCTTAATTCTAGAAACATTCTGTAGCCAATATGTGTATTTTATCCACCTCCCAACCATTTATAATTGTCTCTACAGGCAATAAACTCGCTTGAAGTGAATTTTCAGCAATCTAACAAAAAATTTTAATCAAGCGAGTTTATCACTTGCAGAGACGAATATAAAGGGTTGGGAGATGGATAAAATATACAGATTAGTTAAATAATGTGCCTAGAATTCGGGTGTGAAAGGTAGCTAATTGATCTATGCTGGAAAGTAGGGCTGGGACGATATATCGAGATATCGATATATCGTGATATATGTGAGGACAATACGCATATCGATACAAATGAAGAAATATCGAAATATCGCCCATGAAAATCTGACTTCTATTTTTCTTTGTTTATTTAACATTTGGGGTTTCATATATAAAATAAATAAGTTAAATATAAATAAAGACATGAAATAATTTAAATAATAATAAACACCATTTGAGTAAAATATTTTTGTTTTACAACATATAAACAACTATTTTGAATAAATTATTCTTATTTGCAAAGAAATAATTTGTTTAATTCAATGCAAAATAAGATTTTATAAGCAATTAAACATATCGTGATACATATCGTATCGTGGCTCAAATATCGTGATACGTATCGATATAGAAAAAGTTGTATCGTCCCAGCCCTACTGGAAAGTAGAGAAATTCTCCCCAAAAGTGCGCAAAAAATATTGCGCCGTAAATGGCACCTTTTTGCATTACGGGATCTGTAGCGTTATGGTCAAAGACAAATATAACACCATAACGCAACAGATCTGCAGCTATCAGCGTTCAGATCAAGGTACCTGAAAAATATTACTATATGGATATAATTTCGCGAAATAACGCGTTTTGCATTTATTCGCGAAAGTTTCGCGTTAAAACGCGAAAAAAAAAATTAACCTTAGTCCTACGAAAATGAGCTCAATGGGCTTTCGTAATAATTCACTACGTTCACTACCACTACAAATAAATAAATAAATAAATAAATAAATAAATAAATAAATAAGTTACAGCAGTGACGTTGCATCGTTTTGAAAGGGGGGGTGGGGGTCAGAGAAAAAAAAATACTTACCTGAAAAAGTTGACAAGCAAGCAAGCAAAAAAAAAAAAAGAAAAAAAAATTGCCCAAAGTCGAAATCCCTATTTTTTTTTGGGGGGGGGGGGGGGGGGGTGTAGAGGCCAACATTTTTCAATGCCAACTTCTTTTAATACCAATTTTTTGACCTACAATACTACATTTCCTTTATATCACAAAAAGTTGGGGGGGGGGGGCTGCCCCCCGTGCTACGTGCCTGACACGTATGCCATCAAAATGCTGTAATGGCGACAGAACGTAGCAACAACGTTAATGAATATTTTTGAATACGCAAGCTCCATTTTACGGTCGGGAATTCTGGGGAAACTACTGAAGATAGACTGTACGATAAACAATTTCGTTAGACTGGTATTGCCAGTGTATCTATTTTTGTATGACAATCAGCATACTGAATTTTTATTAAATCTATTGTCTAACCTACACATTATAAAAAGTGCATGAAAAAGTTAGGTCATAAAAATTTATACTGCTAAAAATTCTAGACATCTAGCTTTCCCTAGAGTTGTACTACCTTCCTGGACAACGAAACACGGAAAAAACAATGTCATATTGTATATCGTAAAGAGGCGTCAGTTTCGTTTTATCATCTGAAAATACATATAAAAAGTTTCGAGTTCTGTTGTCTAACCTGCATGTAAATGTCAAAAAGTAACAGAAACTCGGGTTTTATAGAACCAAGACTTAATCTTTTATCGCTAAAATTGTAATAAATACTTAGCTTTTCTAATCTACCTTCATGAATCTTTCAGGAAAGCTCAAAAAACCACAGCAACATCGGATATGTTTTTCGAGCTTGCAGGAAAGGCCCGAGAAGATGTGATTGCTTAAAAAAACAGTATACCACACTAGAATATATTATGTCTCTAATGACTTTTTATTTTTCACATCGCAAGTGAAATTACAGCATAATACAGAATTCTGTTAAGAGTTACTCAGTAAAAAGTTATCGATTGCTTACGTGAAGCCCACTCTTAGATTCACCACTCTGAATTGTGACACCCCCGGTACACCAATGTGTCTTCCTATTAATAATTGATTCAGCAAATTAAAATATGGTTCAAATATCTTCGTCTGTACTTATATTATGCTACAGCGCTAGGTCACCTATCTTTTTAAAAGATAAGCTTGTGATGAGTGTAAGTTGGCAATTGTTCACGGTCTCCTATAAGAATATATTTTATATACATGTACATGTATAACGATATTACTTTCGATGCTTATATAATGCTGCAGGCTAATAGCCCGAAATATCTGACGTTTTCATGGCCTTATTACGATTTTGAAATTTTATGTGAAACATATCATGCATATGCAGATAACGAACATTCAAGATTAAGATCAAAAGTCCACAAAACAATACAAAATAGGAACAGAGCAAACACGGATCTA